TAAAGAGTTCTGTTTTGATAGGTCCGTGTCTTCGAACACACATAAACTATATTAAGGTCCGAAAACTTGTCCATGCCAATATGCAGCTGTTAATAATAAAATTGCATTTTCTATATCAAACTTGAAAATCGTAAAATTCTAAAAAAGTAGATAAGGTAAAATGTTGAAATTCGTGACATATGAAAGCTTACTATTTACATCATTGTATAATGAAATATCCATTTACACGACATCGTAGAGAATGAAAAAGGGATTATAAATATTATCTCATAGATTCAACACTAAATTTACAATTTTTTTTTTTTTACAGGTCTTCGTTGCTGTGGCATCCGCATTTCACTTGCAGAGTGACCCTAATATTATAAGACAAGTTTGTGTAAGTAAAAAATAAGCTTCATTTGTGTAAAGGTGCATTCAATTAGAGAAAGTATTTACCGATATCAAAATATTTTAATATATATATATATATATATATATATATATATATATATATATATATATATATATATATATATATATATATATATATATTTCATTGCCTTTAAGCATTTAACCCATGTAAAATTATATAATTTTACATTTTCGGCCAAACTTGTCTATATGTGGGCATATATCATCTACAGCAATTTCTTGTTTTCAGCCACAAAACAAATTTAATTTCATTTGTATTTTTATTAAAACTAAATAATGTTTTCTTTTTGTATCAGAAATAATTTTATAATATGATCGCTATATCCTCTAAAGAATATTCAATTATCTCTTCCTAACCAAAATATCAAATTTTACTGAAATGTGAACACTTCTTATTGATATATTCTTGGATTTCATTTTTCTATTGAATGAATTTAACAAATTCAATACATTTTCATTGTAGATTATGGCATGTCAAACGTTGCAATATTCGATCTTTTCCATTTATATTGTATAATTTTCCATGTATTCAATAATTTTTCATTTGCATTGTAAATTTTTTATTTGTATTCAATATTATTTCGTTTGTATTGTAAATTTTTTCTCTGTATTAAAAAATTCTTCACTTGTATGGTATAATTCTTTATTTGTATTGTATAATTTTTTTTATCTGTATTGTATAATTTTTTTATTTGTATTGTATAATTTTCAATTTGTATTGTATAATTTTAAATTAGTATTGTATAATTTTCCATTTGTATTGTAAAATTAAACAAAATTATTACAAATGAAAAATGATTGAATACAAATGGAAAATTATACAATACAAATAAAAATTATACCATACAAATGAAAAATTTTACAATACAAATGAAGAATTATAGAATACAAATAAAAATTTTACAATGCAAATGGAAAATTATAGAATATAAATGGAAAATTATACAATACAAATGGAAAAAATCGAATATTAATTGCAACATTGGACATGCCATAGTAAATGTTCAGGGTCAATTAATATTTTATGATTCTTTTACATCTGAACATCCCGTAATTATCACCTACTTACAATATCGTTTACAGTTCCAATGGAATGCTTATTGTCAGAGCAGAGGTATGGTCTGCCGGGCGTTCCAGCAGTTTGATGCCAGTACTCCTGTGCCTCGATGTGAATATCCATGGCAACGAGGGTATGCGCTGTGTAATAAAGAAATATTTTAGAATCAGAAGTACACCCCCCCCCCTTTAAAAAAAAGCCCGTGTTTGTCCATCGCCTCCTTTCTGCGTGCACAACGAGGGTCGTTCAATAAGTAATGCAACATATACAGTGTGTACAATATTTAATGAAGTTCTGATTAAATTAAACCTTCCACTAGCTCCTTTATTCTGATGGACGTGACCTTCAGAATAAAGGAGCTAGTGGAATTTTCATTTTCATTAGACTGCTGTTGGAACTAAGGATTGCATCCAGTAATTACGGTTTCATGTTCTACTTTTTTCCTGCTCTACTTTTGTGGGCAATAAATACTTTAACAAGGCCGTAACTAGGCTCAAATTTTTAGTGGGGCAAGGATTCTAGTCGGCGCAGGACCGACGGGCCGACGCTAATTTCGAACACATTTCTGGGTGCAACCAGAGTCCCAAGCGGGTCGAGGTTAGTGCCCTGATGGGTATTCTCGGGGGGGGGGGGGTCTCAAAACCTGGGTTTTAGTACATTAAAGACAATCTTTGAAATTTTTCACGTTTTGTATTATTTTTTACATGCTTTCTAAACTATATAATGAAGCACCTGGTGAGAAGATCGATTTTCAGAAATTGAAAGTAAAGTTGAAAGTATTATAATGAGTTTAGTACAAAGACGCAAATAATTTCAGATCAAACTAAAGCCATTTTAAATTTTCAGAAAACTCTAAAAATTTTAGTACTTGCCTCAGTGGTAGTTACGGCCTTGTTTAATAAACCATGCTGGACGGGCGGGGGTATTCTTCATTATATATAAGGCTGCAAGTTTTCCTTTTTAATTCTATTATTTCCTTTTATAGTTGAGGATGGTGAAGAATTTCAACAATCCGACAGATCAGAACAGAAAATGGTGGCTGAAGAATTGTACTTACATCAATAAAAAATAAATCACAAGTTGGCTTGACTATTCTCCGGCTTGAATTTTCTACTATGTAAAAAATGCTAGGGAGATATAACTGAAATTAATTGCACACCATTTTTTTTTTTGCATGAGGGGTAATCAGAAAGCAATAGTATGGTTATTTGGTGAATGTTTTTGGTATATATATACAATACAAGAATATATTAGGTAAGGTCAGAGGAAGTGACTTTATAAAGAAGTTAAAGGCACCTGACCTTATTATTTCTCATAACAATCCAAAGAATCAGATACTCTAGATTCCTTATCTTACATGAGTACTGAATTTTGCAAAATGACTATGAAAGATGATATGATATGATTTGCAAAATGATAGATGTCAAATCATGAGCACATGAACCCACAATAGGATGTTTGATCCCAATATTTACATTTCCAAATATTTTTTCCTTAAGATTCTTTGCAAATTAGAAAAAGTTCACGTTCTCATGAACTACTGTGGGATGAGTAAGAATATTTCCATTGTGACATAACTGAAGTCAAAAAAGATCATTGAATAACAAAAATATGTGGCAAGTCATCAGAAAAATAATGTAAATATAAGATAAGCGCTAACACTTCATGAAATATGCCGGCATGAAGTGTCGTAGTTCATGTCCTCATGAGTTCTTCAAAATTAAATTAATCTTTTAAGTTTTTACATGCTTTGCAGCAAAATAAAGATAAGTAATTTTATTTTGCAAGTGTTTCTTCCATCAATATTATACAAAATAAATTACTTGGGTATAATTAGGAATCTACAGTAAAATTCAAAAAGATGCCCATGAGTCATATCGCTCACTGAGCACTTTGGCTAGAAAAAAGCAGAAATGTTTAGTTTTAAAAAGTTTAATTATATGTGGTCCCTCCCTATCCCTGGAGATGAAAATTTAAATACACTTGAATCTTCACTATCACATGAATGCTTACAAATTAATATGATTGTGAGTTTTCTGTTCTTGAGAAGATTTTTTCCTTCATATTCCTATGTAAAAGTTTGATTTTCTTTTGTGGCCCACTTTATACCAGGGGGTCATGATTTGAACAAACTTGAATCTACACTACTTGAGGATGCTTCTGTATCAGTAATCATAGCTTTGCTGTTCTTAAGAAAAAGATTTTTCCTACACAGATATATTCCAATGTAAAATTTGATGACCCATTGTGACTCCACCCTACCCCAGGGGTCATGATTTGAACAAACTTGAAATTGCACTACCTGTGGATGCTTCTGTGTCAATATGAATAATCATGACTTTGCTGTTCTTTAGAAGATTTTTAATTTTCATTAAAGATGCAAATAAATCTTATAGTGGTCAGCTATTTACTTGTTTATACTTAAGTATTATAGTTCATGCATTTGCCCCCCCCTCCCCCCCCCCCCCAAAAAAAAATCCATGGATAGTAGGACTGTGATAGAATCAGAATATGATTCCCCAATCCTCAAAGCTAAAATGAAATGTAGGAAATTGAAATCATTAGAAATAATTATTTATCATTTTATGTGTTTAATCCATTAATCTTCCATAATTAATTTCAGTCTGTCTTTACTGCAATTGTCAGTCTACAACCATCCATTTTGATATACTGATCCTGATTTATTTTCATAATATTTAAATTTCAGTTTGTGTAGTAACCAAGTGTACATCATACAGTTTCAAAGCACAGTTTCATAAGTGCATAAATGAAATATTTTTTAAAGGTTTGTCCCATCTTTTTTGCCAAAATTTTTTCTAGTCATATTCTTAGGTCTTCATTATATATGTTAAATCATTATTAGGAATATGTTTAAATATGGTCATTTCTAATTTTTGTCCTTATTTGGTGAATTTTGTTTGGCATACTAATAAATGCTCATTTACAACAACTGAAAGGTTCATGTTATATTTGGCAAGAGTAGAGTACAGAGTAGAGAACAGAGCAGAGTAGACTCATGGATTGAGAGTATTGATTACTTTCAGAAAAGTCCAGAACGATGGTATAAATGCTAATTATCAAAACAATTCAGAACATGAACCTCCAGAGTGTTTTTGCAAAATAGGTCAAAGGTCAAGTAATCAGTAAAGCTGGTAATTTTCACTCTATGACAAACTGTACACATGCTACTAAACATAAATTAGCTCTAAAATGTCAAAAGAATGCTGTATATCAGCACCATGAAGTATAAAGGTCAAGTTCAAGGGCCATGACATTGGTAACCATGGTAATTTAAGACATAAGTTGTGACAGACAGACACCAGCTAAAGTGATCCCTAAATGTTGCTCTGCTCTACAGTGACACAAAAATGACTTAACATGGTGTCTTTCCAGCTGCAATGATGCAGGTCACCCTGAGGTCACTAAATCAAGCTCAGTCATTGATTAGCAACAGCTGATACTTGAATACCTCCACTGCATACTCTGCACTTACACTGAACATCAATAATGAAATATCAAACAAATTTGAAAATAATGTCATCATCAGTTCATCACATTCATTTGTATATTGACAAATACATGCAAGAAAAATCAAAAACTTTCACATTTTACTTGTACAGTAAAATAATCCTTAACTGATGTATCAAATTATTTCAATGTAAAAATAAAACCACTTGTAAATTTTACATTTTCTGGAGGTATTTAAAAGGTAGGGATATAATTTGAAAATTATAATATAGACTTAGGATTTTATGTTACAATAATAAGATGCAAATTTAATTCACTGTTCAGATTTTTGTTCATAGTAGTTGTTAGCACTGAACCAAACTAATGTGTATGAAACACATTGCACAAATGATTTCCATCATTATTTCACATTTTATACAGTAACTTAGATCTACTGAACATCCTCAAATATAGTAAACAAATGATGTTAATAATGGTTAATGTTTTTATGTAGAGTCCTATAGGTGGACTACGACCGCGCAGCAGCTTTAACCTGCTGTTGTTGTAACTGCTGTTGGAGTTTACTTAATGCTTCCCTCTGGCTCTCTTGTTTCTTTTCTAGATCTTTGATTGCACCATCATGTCTTTTACTAAAAAAAATAATTAAGCACATTATTGAAACAGAAGTCTCTAACGAAACTGTAGTTCTACTGGTTTGTACTTATAACAAAGGAAGAGATTAGAAGCACTTGGACTTGAAACTTCGCAACAGCAAGAAATAGAATAATAATTCTTGGTTTCTTTTATGTTAAGATTTATTGCAGTCAGATTAAAATTGTAGGAAAAGTACCCTTTAAAAAAAATTTGACAGAAATTTCTATTTTTACTTACCATGGCAACATCATTCATCAAAATTAAAAACCAATTAAAACAACTATGCATCTTAGTGGTCTAATAGCATGCCAAGTTATATTAAAATCAGACTTGTAACTGTAGTAGTAGTGTCTTGAAAGTATTTCACAGAAATTTCTATTTTTAGAAACCATGGCAACACCATTCATCAAAATCAAAAACTGATAAATAGAATAATGTATCTTAGTGTAGTTTATTTGTGTGCCAAGTTATACTGAATTCAGACCAAAACTGTAAAAGGAGTAGCTTTTTGAAACTGTTTACAGATGGACAAACATATACGGACGACGGACACCTTACTATTGCATAAGCTCTTCTGATTTCTGACCAGTAGAGCTAAAATCTAGTGTACTAGAAAACAAGTGAGCCTAATATTTGGTAGCAATGCCATTTCAATCTCTAACATAAGTTTTTCATACCAAAGACTTCATTATTTATATACAGTTGAATTTCAATATCTCGAACACCAATATCTCAGATACCATGGATATATTGAAGTATTTTGTAAGTCCCAACCACTTACTGTAAACCAACTTTTATTCGCATGCAAGAAATATCTGGGAGTTTTGCGACCTTCATTCATTTTGCTTTGTATTTGTAGAGAATGATTCCTCAATTGCAAAAATTAATCGTCGCGTATTGATTTTTTACACCGACGAGTCCGAAATAAAAGATGACACGAAGTAATAGTTGGTTTACAGTGTCAATTAGTATTTTACCCTCAATACCTCAAAACCTCAGATATCTCAAAAGTTTTTTTTTCTTGGTCACTTCAAGTTCAAGATAACGAGGATTATCTGTACATGTATTTACAATGTTCAACAAACACCTTGATTGTTGATTGTTGATGACATATTACAGAAATACACATTTTAAATGTTCTTGACATACATTTCTCCATTGATGTAGTCTATTCTTTTCTGGACATTCTGCTTGGCCTCTGTCAAATCTTGCTTGACCAAGACTGGCCCAATCATTTTAAATACATTGGCACCGTCCTCTACACGATCTAGCTCCTGAAAAATATCATTGTTTACAAACATAACATACTATAACATTTAAATTAATATGTGTACAGGTTTGTGAAAATAATGAAGACTTTATCTGGCTTGAATCCACTACTAGTAACTGATTTAATAAGCTGCCTGTTTACATCTATACTTTTCATACCATTACCTTTCAATGTCAATAAACAAGACAAACTATAAGTCTGTGATAAAACTTTAGCTCTAGCTCTATTGATCTGAACTTATAATAACAGAGGAAAACATGCACCTGGACCTGAAATACTTCCTTTGATTTAATATTCAAAGGATTGCGTTGTCTTAACTTTTACCACATATCATTGAAATCAAACTGGAGGAGTAGCCATTTTAAAAGATTTTAGGTTTTTATTCTATTTTTCATTGCCTTGGGTACATCATTCATCTAAATTTTATTTCAGTAAATAAAAAATTGAATCTCTTGCAGTTGGTCTAGATTACTAACCCTGGGCTTAAACACTCTTTTTTAGTTTTCTATTTATAGAATTATGTATCCTGATATTTCTTAAACTAAGACATACAAAGTTCTACTGAAATCAAACCAAAACTGTAAGAAGGTTAATATTTTCTACAAAATGTGTTTGTGAAACACTGATGCCATCGTACGGCAGCTCATGGTGAAGGTTAAAAATTCTAAAATGCAAATCAAACAACAACGTCAGGAGATAAAAAATGTTGGTACCCAAAGAAAGGTCTTGTTACAATGAATAAACTTGTGAAATATGAAAGCCCATGCACCAACAGTTCAAAATTTATCTCCAAGTTTAAAATCTTCTGAAAGTAGGTCAAACTCTAGGGTCAAGGAAAAAAGTCAAAACTGTTGGTATCCAAGAGAAGGTCTTGTCACAAGAAATACACTGATGAAATATAAAAGCTCTAGCACTAACTGTTCAAAAGTTATGGCTAAGGTTAAAGTTTTTCAAAAGTAGATCATACTCCATGGTCAAGGTCAAAAGGTCAAAAATATTGGTATGAAAAGAAAGTCTTATCACAAAGAATATATAACTTAAATATGAAGCCCTAGCACCAATCATTCAAAAGCTATGGCCAAGGGTTTCATATAATATAGATATTATAGGTCAAAGTCCAAGGTCAAAAGATAAAAAACGTTGACACCTCATGAAGGTCTGGAATCTATACTACTATATTAAAATAATAGACTCGAATTTTTGGCCTTTAATACAGATAAATCGGAAGAGTACTGTCTTTTGTTTTATATATTTTAAACATAATTGGTACTTGAAGATTACCAATTTGTTTTTATTTTTTCTCAATTAGCCTTCGCTAATTAATAATCAACGAAAATTCCACAAAAAAATCCAATCTTGTGCGCGCGCATTACATTCACGCTAAATCACGGTGTTCAAATCAGAGAAGACAAAAGAAGTACTAAGTAGATATATATTTGTTATTTTATAATTTCTCTAATAAGAAATAAGAAATCATAAATATATATGAACAGAATATATAGCAAATTTCCAATGAAAATTTACACGTATTTGTATTATCTTTCTGAGTTTATCCATACAAATGTGATATTGTGGCCACGTGGGTAATCATTTGCCATCTCGGAGACACATTTATTATATGTTATTTATGTCTCTGGCCATCTCAACGGGGGCAAAAAGCTCATGATCGTAGGAGCAATATTATTATAACTACCCGATTTTATTTTATCCTTCCTTTCTTTTATGCTCTTTTGAGGGGAAGGGGGGGGGGTGTTACAACTCCAGCTTGAATCACATCTTAGTGAAGTAGGCATTCTTTTTCCGCATAAAATTACAATAACATTATTTTCATTTCTTAACTTTGAAATAAATCGAAGTAATTAAATAACGTCAATATAACCGATATTTTCAATTTAAAATGTGTCTAAATGATTGCAACTTGAATTTGTTCGCCATGTTTACTATTACATGTACCTTCACTGCTGAAATTTATAACGCGGTAAATATGAAACATAAACTAAGGGCAAAGAAATATTTGATTCCATGCAAAAAATTCACATTATATTTCTTAGAAGTGTAGTGAAATCAATAGTGCTAGCATTATTGTAGGTTTATAGCTTTGTTATGTAATACATGTAATGACCTCTGACCCTGGTCTGTCAACAATACGGTGAACACCCCCTGCAAAGCTTGCGCCGTGCATTTCCCACGTGAACCATCAAAGAAAGCATTTTATTGTTTATATTTAAATTCACCTCTAAAAATTTCTTTAACTTTCAAAAAAGTGGGTGAAATATGTAAATTATTGTTATTGATCTTCAGTACGTTATATAGAAGGGACAGCCTGTTCTTCTAAATATGTAAAGGTTGTCATGGTAACTACGCTTGATAGGTAGTCTGAAGTCAGCCCTTGCGGTCCGTACAGTCTTCATTCTTCATTCTATCAATGAAGCTATTCTTATCGATCGTTTGTAAAATATAATCCATGCATAGTAAATCTCAAAACTATGAGGTGGGACAAAATTAAGATCATAAAAAAATATTTATTCATTGATGAAATGAATTATATTTAATCGTAGCAAACAAACTAACGCTTTATTAAATCGCCACAAGAAAAAATACACCAGCGTAAAAACAAGTTGTCTTCTTCAGCAGTCATGACAGTTCTCAAGTGAGTAATGACTTTTGATTGAAAACGTTTAATACTGCAGTAGATTACCTTTTGTTATCACTAAACAGATATATAAATGTTTATGAGGTATGTATTTTATTTTTGCTGCATTATTTACGTATGAAGTAAGAAAAATTCCCATATTCAGTTCAAGATCCCGCACCCAAATTCTCATTGGCTGTCCCAAAATAAAATCGGTCAAGGTCAGTAAACTCAGACTTTACTAAATATTTTGGAAAAAATTATGTTCTGAATAATTACATCAGAAACATTTATTTTAAAATGTTTATGATTACATTGTATGATTTCATTTAAAAAATGGAAATGATATTGTATGATCCAAAAAGAGTTGTACCCCCCCCCCCCCCCCCCCCAGGAAAAGGCTTCATTATTGCAGCAAGAAGTACTTTCAAGTTCCTACTTTCCTACTTAGCTTGGTTTATCTAATAATAATGATAATTTATGTTTCCCATATATTTTATACTGTACTAATTCAAGGATATCACATTAATTTTTATCAAAACAGACAATTATGAGAGCATTTTCTTATATCATATATAAAGTACATTTGATATTCTTAATTTTTATTAATTTACTTATTTAATTAAACTTGATTTTCTAACTACCTGATGATGCTTCCATATCAATGTAACAAACGGCTTTGTTGTTCTTGAGCAAAAGATTTTTTCCTATATATTCATTTGGAAATTTGATCTCCCATTGTGGCCCCACCCTACCCCGGGAGTCCTCATTTAAACAAATTTGAATCTACACTACCTGGGTTTTGGAGAAATATATTGGTGAAAAATTATGCAGGTCTCTTTTATCAACATGTTACATAGGAAATGCATTGAGAATTGTAAAAATACTGATTTGACAAAATCTAAACAAGAAGGTAGGCTTGGTAGGTTAAATGATCCAGAATATAGTCTATTTAGTACGTTTAAACTTACTCAAGAGTTCTTGAAAAATTCTATATGATAACCAGGAACCTTGCCAATGTCCTTATAAAGCAGAACTCCATTACATGATCATTCAGTGAAACTATGTTGTGTATTCCAAAATCTTGTCTAATTTGATGTAAACTTTAAGTAAAATCAGTTGTTAAAAATGTTTTCTAATCCAGACTGTTGTCTTATCTGGCCAATTCCTATGGACCCAGTGGTATCTGGATTAGACAATTTTTACTGTAAAGCCCTATCCTAACACCAGATACCCTGATCTGGGGTTTATGAATGTCTCAATTTTGAAGGAAACACTCTTTCTCATAATAACCATGCATCTTAAGTTTCTATGCTAAATACTCAAAAGCAAAGAGGAAATTTCAAAGAATTCATGCATTTTCACTAAATAATCATTAGAGCCCCTCCTTAACACCAGAATCCTTGACCCAGGAGCCATGCATTTCACAATATAGAAGAGCTAGGAACTCTTGCTCATCATAACCAGTTAGTTTGTATTCTATTTAAAATTTAAAAAAAAACATGTACAGGAGCAGAAAAGTAGACTTTCAAAGAATGAACTTTCACAACAAGACCAATAAAGCTCCACCCAAACACCAGAATCCCTGACCCACTCAGCTATGTTAAGGACGGTAATGGAAAATGTGACAGTAATACTTTTTCAATATGTTTTACATTTAATAATCACTGTAAAATAGTAACTATAAAGTAGTAGGAAAGGTAATATAGTTGTCTATAATAAATAGGTTTGTGTTGTAGTTAGTATTTACATGACATGTATCAGCTGTTGTCATGTGACTGGTATAAAAATAGAATTATTAGGCTGAATGTAGAAAATGGCACTAGTGCAAGGGCATCCCGTTTGTTTTTGGCCATAAACTTGATACACATTAAAAGAGGTTTACATCCCTTATCTGAAAAGTGCTGGGAGCTAGTTTGTATTGTTTGGGAAGTAATCGTAGTTTTGCTGACAATGCCTGTAATGGCAAAAATTTTCCACTTCGCCTCTACATTGCAATGAGTTTAAAAATATTCTTCAGAGCAGAATCAACTCCCAGCACTTTTTAGAAAATACATGATATAAGCAATTAATTTTCGTATATCAGCATTAACAGTCAAGTGTATGCCCTTGCACTTTTTAAAAGGTTTATCAGGAATATTATTATCATATTAGTGATTTTCTTTACATTCTCTGATGCTGTGCAGCTTTATAAAGTCTTGATAAATTAATTTTATACACAATTGTTTTTAAGAAATGCTTTGTTTTCAGTTTTAATTATTAGATTTAAAGATTGGCAATGATTTTGTAATTAATTAAGCATTTTTATGATTATTAAACCAAAACTGTGTCAAGTGAAGACAAATGATGTCATATATGACACAAGATTTGTTTCTAAAAACTCAGCAGGTTTGTTATTAAATGGTGAGAGTTTTGCATTCCTAATAGATAAAACAAATGCATGCAATCTTTTATTTACATATTATCATGCTGTATAATTTATTTTTCTTACTTGTTAAATTTTTAATGATGTCACAATGATACTTGCAACACAGTGTCTAACAAATGTGAACTCAGGTATTCCTTAATGTAGCTGAGCAGTGGCTATGAATTTCACAATTTTAAGCAGCCTTGCTCATCATACCTATCTGCTTAATTAGTTTGTCTGGTAGATATATAGGGAAATAGAAGACTTTTGAAGATTTTTTTTTTATTAATTTCAATATAATGATCTATAGAGCCTCTACTTAACACCAGAACCCCTGACCCTGGGGATAAAAAATTTCATAATTTTTCCAAGGGGCTCAATGCTTTATTATAATCATTCCAATAGTTTCAATGCCTGATGTCCAGGAGTAAAGAAGAAGATTTTGAAATATTGGATTAATTTTGGGTTTTGTTAGCCCTATCCTCAGGCCCAAAGGGGGAGAGGATGGGAGAGGGACCATGAAATTCACAATTTTTGTTCCCCTTCACCCATAGATGCCAAAATTGGTTGAAATTCAAATTGGTACAGTGGTTCCAGAGAAGAAGCAGAAAATTTTCAAATGTTAACACAAGACAGACAACAGATGACACACATCACATGGATAAAATCAGATAACAATAGGTTACCTGACTTAGGTGATCTAAAAATTGTTTACAGAAAGATGTTGATACCTTATATTGCCTTAGCTCAACTTGTCTCAGACCCGTAGAGCTAAAGGACTACCGGGATTATTCGGTATTAATGACCAATATTTGCCCCCCATATCAAATTTTAATGGAGAAATATATAATTATGTTCTAAAACAGGGGGGTATCTGCAGACTTCAGGGCATTGAATATTTTCATCAGCCATGGCATTATGTGTTAGAATTATATGACATCAGGAAAATAACGTTAATTCAAATTTCCATGATTTATCAAAATGGTTAACTGAAAAAAAAATGAAAACTTAAAATCTATACTAAGAGATAAAATATGTATTTTTACACTTTTTTTTTTTGAATGAACAGCATATAACATAAGGTCTATAACTTATTACTCACCATTGTGAATATTTTTTGTCTTGTCTACTTATCATATATTTACAGATAGGCCTGACAGAACTCTGCTGTTTCCACTGCATGTGTTTCTGTGTTTGTTTGTACATGTGCAATTTAACTGATTTTTCTTGATACAGGGTTAAATTCTCAAAAGAAATGTATTCTTTTTTAATATTATAAAGCATGTCAAAACCTCATTTCAAGTAATATTTATCTTACCTCTTTAACCAAAGAATTTTCATTCATTTGGGCATCTAATTGTTGTCTTACATTGACATGTTTTTGATAATCTGAAAAACAAAACACCAACAATAAAATTTAAGTAAGATTTTCTGCGCACTTTGTGGATGTATTTTGTCACTTTCCAGCATTTGTCAATCAATTACCCTTCATTCCTAATTCTAGACATATTCTCTACAGACCACTAAACTCGCTTGTTGTGAATTTTATGCCATCCAACAACAAATTCACAACAAGCTAGTGGTCTGCAGAGATGACTAGAAAGGGAGAGGTGGATAAAATATACAGGTTGGTTATAGAATATATGTCTTGAATTAGGGAATGAAAGGTCGCTGATTGCCAAATGCTGGAAAGTGGCAAAATATGTCTCCAAAGTGCGCAGAAAATCTTGCGCCATAAATTGCACAATATATGCATTATGGGATCTGTAGCGTACTAGCGTTATGGTCAAAGACTAAAATATAAAACCATAACGCTACACTTCTGCAGATACCCAAATCAAAGATAGTTCTGACATTACAGCTAAAATTTTCACAAAGTCTGTTTTAAATTTGTGTAAGAAAATAAGTTACCACATGCTTTTTTCAGAATTATAGAGTTCTGCGACTTAAATTTAACCACTAAAATACAGTGTGTGTTATATATTCCTTGCCGAGGAAATGCGGACGAAAACTCGTGGTTTACCACCTAGTTACAGAATGAACTTTTACTTCTTTAAATACCATAAACATTAGCTTTTCAAAACTGTTTACAGGAACTCATACCTTATGAAGAATATTTAAAATGAGAGTTGATTTTAAATACTTTTTCAGTATACCTTTTTGAACAGCTTGAAATTTTTCAACTTCAGTTTGGAGTCTTTTCTGTATTTCAGCCATTTTGACGGTAAGCAAAATGCTTTTGAAAGGCCAACAATGATTAGCTCCTCTGTTCAAAAGAACCAATCAGAATTCTTGATAGAATTTCTCAATTCGCAGTAGACTAAAACTTGTTTCCTAAATGAAGAGTTCCCAAAACAATGTCAAGACGTGTTTTAGCAAGGATTTCTACGAAAGTAAATTATTAGGCTTCTTTACCTAATACTAAAATACGCCTGCCGACGCCTGACAGGGGAAAACACGCCTGCCGAAAAAATATGTACGCCTGCTGTGTTATTTATCGAATTAATTTGTATTTTGTTAGATTTTTTTTTTTTTACAGACCATGTAGTTGATGTTTTACCAAACAAAAATAATTTAAAAAGCACAGTTTGGAGTTTTTATTCGTTTTAAAGTTTGCATACTTCGTAGAGCACGCCTGCTATATAAGTATTGTGAAGTAAAAGTTATCTCCTTTAATATTACTGCAAACTCTTGTGTAGAATTTATCAAATCAAATCTTTCTTTCTTTTTTGTTTCATTTTTAGTTAAATTTCAACCAAATACTTTATTAAAGTAATAAATTATATAAAATAGTACATAATTATAGAGAAACAACACTGCGGGCATGTAGATTTTCTCGGCGAGCGTGCTCTACGATGTATGCATACTAGAATACGAATAAAAACTCCAAATTATACTTTAAAAATTATTTTGGTTTGGTAAAACATCAAGTAAATGGTCTATTAAAGTAATATATCTAGTAAAATATAAATTTAGTCAATAAATAACACGGCAGGTCTATAGATTTTCTCGGCAGGCGTATTTTCCCTTGGCAGGCATCCGCAGGCGTATTTTAGTATGACCGCCTAATACGGGAATTATATTTGGGTTTATTCAGTGACGGTTGTTTGTTAGTTATTCCTTTAATTAATTAATTTGTTTGGGTTTCCTTTTGAAAAGACATAAAGATCAAAATGATTAGTAACTTTGTAAAATAACTCCAAGAATACTTTTTAAATTGTTTGTCTCTGTCATAAACAAATAATCTTAACCAATGGATAGAATAAAGTCTTGTCGTAAGGTTTTTGACTTTCGGAAAAGTAGGAATCTAAATCACTGCATGTCTGTCAACATTTTTTGTGTTTTAATTTTTATGATAATTGAATAGATAATACATGTTATAGGAATGAACATGATACACGAAGACATGTTAATCATGAAGAAAGTTTTACAAACAATGTCATATGTGATGAGAAATTTACTCTTGAGCACATTTGTTCCTGTGTGCAAAAGTCACCTTGCCTCACCTATCCTCTTTGTGCCCGCTGGCACATAAGGCCCAAATACACTGCCTCCACCTGCCTTTGTCCTTGGCTGCTTCCCTTGCTGACGCCCAGCTTTACCATCCCAGCTGTAATCTTTCTTGTTCCGTAGTTCTTCTCCAATTTGTTTTCGGCTGGCCTACTTTCCTCTTTCCTTCGGGATGCCATGTCAGTGCGGTGGTACAAATTCTGGTGTTCTCCATCCTAATTAGTACATGGCCAATCCAATTCCACTTCCTGAGAGTTATTATCTCGCTTGCTCTAGCTGTCTTTGTTCTATTATGAAGTTCTTCATTTGACATTTTCTCAGGCCATATTACTCTAAGGATTTTTGTAAGGCATTTATTCTGGAAGGTGTCAATCATCTTTTTGTCTCCCTCTGTTGTTTTCCATGTCTCACTTCCATACATTAGAACCAACAGGACCAAGCTGTTAAATAGCTTTACTTTTGTTTGGATGGAAAATTTTGATGAGCTCCAGATTTTTCTGAGCCTTCCAAATTGAGATTTAGCTTTTCCAAGTCTGTTGGTAATGTCCTCATCAGATCCTCCTTTTGTTGTTATCACACCTCCAAGATAAGTAAATGTTTCTACATTCTCCAGGTCTTGTCCACCAATCTTGACTGGCTCTATCATGTCAGAATTGAGACTCATCACTTTGGTTTTGTCAATGTTTATTCTGAGACCAGCTTGTTTAATCTTTGTGTCTTTTGTTGGATGTCCTGAAATTTTGAGGAAAGTAGAGGAAGATCATCTACAAAGTCTAGATCTTCAATTTTTGTTGTGAAATTCCACCTTATTCCTGTTAGTTTCGTTTCTGTAGTTCTTCTCATTACAAAATCTATAACCAACAAAAATAGGAATCCAGACATTGTGTAACCCAGCTTCACTCCTGTTGTTATCTGGAACCTGTTGGATTCTTCTCCATCTTAGACTGCACATTGGAATGAATCATATAGGAGTTTCAACATTCTAACCAGTTTGTCTGGGACGTTATAAAACTTCATGGTAGATCAAAGGCTCTCTCTTTGAATGGAATCAAATGCCTTTTCAAAATCAAGGTAGTTTACAAACAATGCTGAGTTTGCATAGGAGTAAAGTTAGCCATATGATAAAGGCTACAGACACTCCAAAAATAGTCAAATTTTCAATAGTGTATTGTGTCAATATTAATTCTGAATCTGACAGTTCTCTTAATGTGCTGTTCAATATAGCATGCAATGGCCATTATTGGTATCACCACAGGCAATAGTTTTATAATTATTGTATTTATTTTTTCAGGATCTCTCATTTCACAGCTGTAATTGTGGAAGAGTTAGAAGGAATGGGTGCCTTCTAAATGAAATTCATTGTATGAAGAATGTTCCTAAAAGAACTTTAATGGATGTTCATGATGCTCCAAGTAAATTTAAGAATGCACCAAGAACAAAACCATTAGTCAGACCAGCTAGTATATCATTAAATATTTTTTTATCAGTAAGTATTTTTACTAGGTTAGTTTAACAATTTATTATTTTCAATTATAGAATTTATGATAATGAAAAAAAAAGCTAGTTCAATTATAGCTACATGCATCAGTTTAGTTTTGTCTATCTATTTGAATCTGAGTGGTTTTGCCCCAATTATCTGTTAGCGCTAATGGTTTTGCCCCATTTCCCTGTTTGCCATGAGGGGATTTACCCCGTGTGATTTCACTCGACCAGTGTTCTGGATGTTTATGTAGGCAAAAGTCGTTTCATCAGTAGGTGTTTAGATTAAAACTTTAATGAATTTAATAAATAAATGGGCACTTTAATAAATTTCAAAAATTTGCCAATCAATACCAATTTAATTATTTCCCAATTTTAAGACAGCTGAGATGCTAGCACCGAGGATGAGATGCTAGATGATAAACTCAAACTTTTTTTTTTCAAAAATCATGAGAATAACAATATCTTTGTTTATATAAGTAAAATAAATAAGCTAGGCCAGATACATGTAAATATTATTTCCTCGATCTTCATCTTTTTCTGAAATTTTTAATAAAGAAGCTTTACTTTATTAAAAATGTTATTAATCAAATACTGGCATGTGTCACTATTTAGATCTATATAAAAAGCTTTGGATAACTCAAAAATCTTCCCCATAGCAAGCACACAAAAACAAAAGTGTAGAACATTGGCAATTTGTCAAACAAGCTGCCCAAATCCACTTGTAATTACTAATATTGGTGTGGCAAAACCACTCAGAGCAAACATGTAATCAAGGCAAACCCACCTGTTACTGTCTATTTATCAATGCAATATCTTGGATGGAAAGTTTCTTCAGGAATGATATTAAAGTGTTTTTTTTTTCTTTTTCAAATATCTGATGGAAAAGCATAGATATAGATAAATGTGATCTGATCTTTTCAGTCTTCAATGGTATTCATTTAGCTCTGTGTGTAAAAAAGTTTGAATGCCAATTTGATTTATGAAAGAAGTGCAGTCTGTGAGTGTCTTATAGTATTATTTCGTATTTTCATTTTAGACAATTCCGTTTTGGACTATAGGCATTGCCTACTGGCAGTATCAGCGGAAAAGGGAAATTGCGGAACTGAGAGGCAGAATAGAAACACAAACTTCAAAACATCCTAGTCCTGTATCAAAGTTGTTAGTGCTTTCATTTATTAATGAAAAAAAACCCAGTTCCCTAAATTAAATAACCACTGGTACCATGATAGGGTTAATAATTTTAATTGAATGATTTTAACCCCTAGCTGATTTATGGTTTTGGCAAATAATTTCATGTTTTTATTTATGTACTACCTTGAAAATTCAATTCATTTTTTCATTAAGAAGGAATCATAATTATTCAATATATCATAAATTTTCTGCAGGAGTTTTTTTCCCTTGATCTTGAATTTTATAAAAAAGATAACCTTAAGTTGTAATAAACAGAAATTACTGTATACATTTGAATTTCATGTTACCTTTCCCCAGACTAAAATAATGAAACTGATAAAGATAATATAAAATGTGTATAATTTGAACCTAATGTAGAACAGCTATATGATCTACCAATGGTATACACAGCTTATGTTGACACTGTAAATTTTCCATTCCTCTAATAGTTTTTAGCTCACCTCAACAAAGTCAGGGCTATGCTATATTATATACTCAGCTCTTCTGTGCAATAGACCACTGTTGAATACTTCATTAATCATTGCAAAGCTGGCAATTGATGTCAACTGACCATTTTAGGCAAAACAGTTGATAACCTTGAGAAAAGAATTTAACTCCTAGTGGTCAACTGTTTTCAAGTATTCATTTGACAGTTAGTTGATTGTCAACTGGACAGTTTCATATGGGAGGTTTTTGGAGCAATTTTCTTTCAAAGTAACTGTATGCCCTATTTTGATCAGAGGTGCATAGATAATGTTTGGTGCATGTTTTTCAATACTTTCATTGTACCAGTAAGGTTTCAGAAGCTATATTTTCAATCAATATTTTACATAAGAATGACCAGGTTAATGTATTTGGAGCAAGTCTCATTCCCAAGTAACTATAAGTTCTATGGCGACAAAACTTGCATAGGTTATTGATCAAGGGATGCACAATGCCAGACTTGCTTTGAATGCTGGATCTGACCTACATTTTGCAGGTGATTAAATTGGCAAAGTTTTTACAGCATATCCATTCCAGGTAACTATAAGACCTACAATGACCAAACTTGCATGGATGATGTATTTAGGGATGCACACTAACCAGACTTGCTCAGTATGTTAAATCTGACGTACATTTTCCAGATGAGTGAACAGGTTAAAGTATTTGGAACAGGTGCATTTTCAAAATGATGAAAGCCTTACCTTGACCAAATTTGCAAGATGATGCTTCTAGGGAAGCACACTACCAGACTTGCTTTGGATGCTGGATCTGCCTGGCCTAAATTTTCCAGATGTGTGACTAGGAATAAGTTTTGGAGGTTTATTCCAAAGTATTTATAAACCCTTTTGTTACCAAACTTGTGTTGATGATGCATTTAGGGATGCAAATCAATACTCTTGCTTCATATGCTGGATCTGACCTACATTTTTCTGGCGATTGAATAGGTTAAAGTTTTTAGAGCAGATCTATACCTAAGTAATCTAAGACCTATCTGAACCAAACTTGCATCGATAATGCACCTAGGGATAGAAATTATAAGAGCTGCTTTTGTTGCTGGATTTGACCTACATTTTCTGGACAATTAAGTGGTTAAAATTTTTGGAGCAGGCCCATTACAAAGAAACTATAAGCTTTATATTTGGACCAAATTTGCAGGATGAGGCATGTAGACACTTCCAGGTTTGCTCCATATGCTGGATCTGACCAACATTTTCTAGACAATCAAACATGTTAAAGATTTTGGAGTAAGGTCCATTACAAAATTACCATAGGTATAAGCCTACCTGGATCAAACTCAAAGGAATGATGCATCTAGGAATCTACACTACCAGGCTTGCTTTGTATCTACATTTTCTGGTTACGAACAGTACATATTTTTTTTAATAGGTCCATTCCCAAGTAACAACAAATCCTAACCAGACTACTTTCATGGATGTTGTATTTTGGGATGCACACTACCATAAAAAAAAATGGTTTGAGATTTGCCTTATAGATAATATTCATCAAGGCAAGTTTTGAAGTCTTTGATTACCTAATATGTTTTAATTTCGGGTAGTAGGAAGTTATATAGAAAAAAAATCATGAATCATAAGCATTTAACGATTCTAGCAGTGCTCATGCTGATGACTGGTATTTAAACTGATATTGATGAATTGAAAATAAAATCATATTTAATGAATTATCATGTTTAATAAAGTATTTATTGATGGTAATTCTAAATATGAGTATGAATTGAATTTCTGTATAGCAAGAATTTTAAGCATCAACAGAATAATTTAATCTTGTGTGATCTTTTGATGTTTTAAATTAAAATACCATAACTAACACATTGCTGCAATATCAGCATCTTACAAGCTAATTAATTTACTACCACATATGTTCCAGAATAGAATACAAATGCTGTGTTATACAAGTAACATGTACAGCTGTATATACAGTAATATCATGAAATTTAATCAAGACTGTCTCAATAAAAGCATCCATTTCTATATTCACAGACTTGATGAACCAGATCAAAGAAAGTCAGAATTTACATATGTAGAATTGGAGGGAGAGTTTGATAATGATCGTGAGGTATATATAGGATACAGAGCCAATGTCAAACCAGAATTAACACCAGATGGAAGTAAATGGCAGAAAGGGGTTCTCGTTGTCACACCTTTCAAGCTTAAGGATACTGGGTAGGTCCCTTAAAAAAATTGCGTAGTTTTATCTTAAGTCACTTCTTGCATTTTTTGTGCTAGAAAAGTAGTAGTTGTTGAATGGAAGTCCAAAACAGTTAGAAAGATGACAGCTAGGTAAACTTTGGAGTCAGTTGATTAAATACTAGTATACCTCTTCACTAGAAAGTTCAACTGCAGAAAATACCATTATAAACCAAAATACCGGTATTTGCCATCATAAAAAGAAAAGAAACTGAGTTCTCATACTTTCTTTATTAATTTCTGGAGATATCTTTTTATAGAGATGTTGTACTGGTGAATCGTGGCTGGGTACCATTGCAGTGGACTAGTCCCACAAAAACAACAGCTAAGCAGGCCACTGGTGTGGTTAAGATCACCGGTCTGAGCAGGGCATCAGAGAGGGTGAGTCTTAGTGGCTGGACAATAAATATATGTGCAGCAATATAAACCTCAAAGGTTTGCAGAGCCTTGTTAATCATAACTATAATTCAAATACTAATATCAGAAGTTTACAGGAAAGTCTGTATTTAACTTTGTTTTATGCAGCTGTTTTATATATAATTGTGATAAAGGAGCTAAATTTGATTATACTGCAATACTCACTATCTTTCTACAGACAATTTATACATGTAGTGAACCTATATTGTTAATCACCTTTCTCTTCTCCTCATATAAATATTAGTTAATAGAATTTGTTAGCCAATATAATTGCAATTTACCAGCTAATGAATATAATTGCATGCTTTGAATTTTTTTTTTATTTCTTAGAAAAATCCCTTTGATTTCCGACCAACTCAGGACTCTTTAAATAAGAAGTTTTTTAGCCATTTAGATGTGGACACCATTGCTCACTTTCTGAAAACTAAGCCTGTATTTGTAGATGCTGATCTAGGTAAGAAAATGATCATGTTTTTTTTTTTGGCTGCAGTTCAGAGACATTTAAGGATCATTATGCCTTTTATCTGTCTGTTACCTCAATTTCTTTTGAAATCTAAGGAATTGGGAATTGATAATTTGCGTATGTACATGTATCCCCTTTTGCAGGATTACTCATGACAACAAACTTGACCTACTTTTGTTCCAAAAATAATTCATAACTAGATGAAGTCCCGCACAAGCGCAGGAAATAACATTGATGCTAATGTTGATAAAAGCTGAAATCCACTCAAAATACAAAATCAATAGTTTTAAGCTTTGATGTTTAATGTTTCATGTTAATACATGACAATGGGGTAATATGGGCTTTCATAAAAAAGATGATTTAAGAGATCTTTTAAACCATAAAATGTCAGGCCTTGATATTTCGCATGTATATTGCTAATCACAAAAAAAAAGATTATAAACTTTTTAGCTCACCTGAGCAGAAGGCTCAAGTGAGCTTTTCTGATCACATTTTGTCCGGCGTCCGTCTGTCCATCTGTCTGTCTGTAAACTTTTCATATTTTTTACTTCTTCTCAAGAACCACTAGGCCAAATTCAACCAAACTTGCCACAAAGCATCCTTGGGTAAAGGGGATTCAAGTTTGTTCAAATGAAGGGCCATGCCCTCTTTCAAGGGGAGATAATTAGGAATTAGTGAAAAAATAAAGGCATCATTTAAAAATCTTCTTCTCAAGAACCACTAGGCCAGGAAAGATGAAACTTATGTGGAAACATCCTCAGGTAGTGTAAATTCAAATTTGAACAAATCATGACCCCCGGGGGTAGCGTGGGGCCACAATGGGGGATCAAAGTTTTACATAGAAGTATATAGGAAAATATCTTTAAAAATCTTCTTCTTAAGAACAGCAAAGCCATGATTGGTCATATTTATATGGAAGCATCCTCAGGTACTGAGGATTCAAGTTTGTTAAAATCATGACCCCCGGGGGTAGGTTGGGGCCACAATGGGGGATCAAATTTTACATAGAAATATATAGGAAAATATCTTTAAAAATCTTCTTCTTAAGAACAGTAAAGCCATGATTGGTCATATTTATATGGAGGCATCCTCAGGTAGTGAAAATTCAAGTTTGTTCAAATCATGACCCCCGGGGGTAGGGTGGGGCTACAATGGGGGATCAAAGTTTTACATAGAAGTATATAGGAAAATATCTTTAAAAATCTTCTTCTTAAGAACAGCAAAGCCATGATTGGTCATATTTATATGGAAGCATCCTCAGGTAGTGAAAATTCAAGTTTGTTCAAATCATGACCCCCAGGGGTAGGGTGGGGCCACAATGGGGGATCAAATTTTTACAAATGAATATATGGTAAAAAATCTTCTGCTCAAAAACAGCAAAGCCATTTGTTGTATTGATATGAAAGCATCATCAGGAAGTTTAAAATTCAACACCCCCTCCCCGTAAATTTTTCAATACTGAACTGATTTTTGCTTTTTTTTTCCTAGCCAATGTGCTCAGGTGAGCGATGTGGCCCATGGGCCTCTTGTTTTATTTTGACACTGATTTTCAGTAAGCTATTTAAGTCACTCAGTGATTTATTGCCATTTTTATCTGTCATCATTCATAATCAAAAATTCAACATTTCAATTTTTTGACCTCTCAGTAAACAAACCGTAAGGTCATTTTCAACCAAACTTGCCTTTAGGTATTCTTTAATGGCAGAAACTCAGTTTATTCAAATGTAGAGCAGTACTCCTTTCCAAGGATGATAAAGAAATAGAGGAAATAGGTATAGGTCATTTACAAGTCTTCTTTTCAAGAATGACAGCAAAATATTTCTTAAAATGCTGTAGAATCTGGTTAACAACATTTGGATTTGCGCTCAAGATATGTTCAAAATAAGGACCTGGGAGTCAGGATTGGACCAAAAAAGAGATTCAAATATCTGTGTAGAAATGTATAAGAAAATCTTTCACAGTCTGGAAGACGAAGAATACCACCGAGCTACAAATTGTTTAATTATCCTCAACCAACCTCTTTTAAAGTACTGTAGACGAAAATTTACTCTAACCATAGCCCCATTGACTAGGATGAGGCTACAATTGGTGTCTAAAGTTTTACCAAGGAAGATTTTAGCTTTCCTTACAATCCTAATGACCCCATATCCTTTACAATTAATTCCAAGTCATATTAAAGTTTTGCAGAATTCGTACATATACACACATTATGTAGTCCTGTATTTAATTTACCTTCACTTTGTCTACAGAGAGTTCAATTCCTGGTGGACCTATTGGAGGACAAACAAAAATAATGCATTACAACTCCATCCGAGATCTTAGTTTAAGCTTGTAAGTAACGTTTTGTCTTTAGATTGAAAATATTCAATTTTAGAATCAAGTGAGATTTTTTCTGAATATTAGAATCAAGTGAGATTTTTTCTGATCAAAAAACATTCGTTGTCTGTCTGTCCTTCTGTTTGTCTTGTGTTGTATTGGGTTGGTTGGGCCACTACAGGGCATCAAAGTTTTACATAGAAATATATAGGAAAAATCTTTAAAAATCTTCTTTAGAACTTGTCATATCACAGGTAGTGTACATTTAAGTTTGTTCAAATCATGACCCCTGGGGGTAGGTTGGGGCCACAACTGGGCATCAACATTTTACATAGGAATAAATAGGAGATATCTTTAAAAAGTAATACTATGATTAGTCATATCAATACAGAAGCACTCAGGTAGTGTAGATTCAAGTTTGTTAAATCATGACCCTTTGGGGTAGGGCAGGCCTCAATATAAATTCAAACTTTTACATAGGAAAATATAGGATAAAATCTTTAAAAATCTTCTTCTCATGAAGAGCAAAGCCATGATTGGTCATTGATATGGATGTATCCGGGGGTAGAGAAGATTCAAGTTTCTTCAAATCATCTCCCCTAGAGGGACCAATTAAGCCCTAAAAAACTTTTTAATACAGAACTGATTTCTGCTTTTCTCTAGCAGTAGCCAAAGTACTGAGGTGAGTCATGTGGCCCATGGGCCTCTTGTTTAACTCACCTGAGCTGAAGGCTCAAGTGTGCTTTCCTGATAAATATTTGTCTATTGTCTACCATTGATTTTGTAAACTTTTTATGATTTCATCTTCTTCTCTAGATTCAATTTCAACCAAACTTGGCACAGAGTATTCTTTGAAGGGGATCCAAGTTTGTTCAAATGAACGGCCACACACTCTTCCAATGGGAGATAATTGAGAAATAAAAAATTCGGTGCGGTCATTTAAAAATGTTCTTCTCAAGAACCACTGGACCAGAAAAGATTAAACTTTTGTGAAAGCTTTCTTAAACAGTGTAGATTCATATTTGTTCAAATCAAATCATGACTCCTGGAGGGTAAGATTGGGCCACTATGGTTGATCAATGGGTGTATATAAAAATCTTCTCAAGAAAAGCAAAGCCATGATTAGTCACATCCATATGGAAGCATCCTCAAGTAGTGAATTTTCAATTTTAAGCTCTAGTGGTCAGCAACCAGAAAAGCTTATGCCATAGTAATGTCCTTTGTTAATTTGTCTGTCTGTCCGTCCGTCCACCTGTAAACATTTTTAGCTCACCTGATCCGAAGGCTCAAGTGAGCTTTTCTGATCACATTTTGTCTGTAGTCCGTCTGTCTGTCTGTCTGTCCGTCCGAAAAATCTTCTTCTCAAGAACCACAAAGCCAGGGAAGATGAAACTCATGTGGAAGCATCCTCAGGTAGTGTAGATTCAAGTTTTTTCAAATCATGACCCCCGGGGGTAGGGTGGGGCCACAATGGAGGATCAAAGTTTTACATAGAAATATATGGGAAAAATCTTTAAAAATCTTCTTCTCAGGAACAGCAAAGCCCTGATTGATCATATTTATGTGGAAGTATCCTCAGGTAGTGTAGATTCAAGTTTGTTCAAATCATGACCCCCTGGGGTAGGGTGGGTCCACAATGGAGGATCTAAGTCTGAAATAGAAATATATAGGAAGATATCTTCTGATGAAAAACTGCAAAGCCATGATTAGTCATTTTGATATGGAAGCCTCCTCAGGTAGTGTAGATTTAAGTTTGTTCAAATGATGACCCCAGGGGATAGGGATGGGCCATAATGGGGGATCGAAAATTTTACATAGGAACATATAGGAAAATATCTTCTTCTCAAGAACTGAAAATCATGTTTAGTCATTTTGATATGACAGCATCCTCAGGTAGTGTAAATTCAATTTTGTTCAAATGATGACCCTCGAGGGTAGGGTGGGGCCCAATAGGGGGATCAAAAGTTTTACATAAGAACATATAGAAAAATATTTCTTCTCAAGAACAGAAAAGCTGTGTTTAGTCATATTGATATGGAAGCATCCTCAGGTAGTGTAGATTCAAGTTTGTTCAAATGATGACCCCTGGGATAGGGAGTAGCCACAATGGGGGATCAAATTTTTACAAAGGAATATATGGGAAACTTTTTTAAAAATCTTCTCAAGTACAACAAAGCCATTTGTTATATTGACATGGAAGCATCATCAGGTAGTTTAAAATTCAAGCCCCCCCCCCCCCTCCCATAATCTTTTCAATACTGAACTGATTTGTGCTCTTGCCTTGCCAATGTGCTCAGGTGAGCGATGTGGCCCATGGGCCTCTTGTTTTCAAAATGCAGGGTTAGAAATTCACTATATACAACTCGCAAAACGCGAGTTAGAATTCCCAAATTGCGAGTTAAAAATTAGGTAACTCGCAAAAACTTGCAAGTTGATTTTTTTTGCATTGAAACTGTAGCAAAATTATATAATATGACAGAACACAATGCTTTTGATTTCAATCAGTAATTGCTAGCGCTCTCAACCGCTAGCAACTACGTTAGTCTATATTTCTGAAATACGCATGCTCGACTTCACGGTCGGGGATTCTGGGAAAACTACTGTAGATAGACTGTACGATAACAATTTCGTTTTGTCATACAAAAATAGAAATGATCCGAATTTACACTGGCCTTTCCTGTCTGATATGCGCGATATACATTTCGTAGGTTCGAGACAGTCAATACCAGTCTAGATCCGGATTCTGAATTTTTTTTTATTTATTGTCTAACCTACACATAAAAGTACAAGAAAAATTTGGCCATATAATGCCAAGATTCTAGACTTCTAGCTTTCCTTACAGTTTTACCACCTAAGTGGAAGCTCGGAAAAAACAACAGCAACAACAACAAAAATCTTTTTCAGAGTATGTCGGAAAAACATGTCAATTTAGTGTTCATTATCTGAAAATACATATGATCTGAAGTTTCGTGTTTTGTTGTCTAACCTGCACGTAAATGAACAAAAAGTAACAGTAACTCGGGTCTTATAAAACCAATACTGTTATTTCTAAAGTTGTAATAAATACATAGCTTTTCTAATCTACCTTCATAGATCTTTCCGGCAAGCTCGGAAAACCGCAGCAACCTCGGATATGTTTTCCGAGCTTGCCGGAAAGGCCCGAAGGTGCTCATTGGTTCTACTGGCCTTTTATTTTTCACCCCGAAATTGAAATTACAGTAAAATACAGAATGCTTGAAGCACAGTTAGGAGTTATGCCATTGCCGACGTGAAGCACACTCTTAGATTCACCATTCTGAATTGTGACCCCCCCCCCCCCAAACTCAACCCCAAGTGCACCAATCTGCCTTCCTATTAATAATTAATCGATTCAGCAAATTTAACAAATGGTTCAGATATCTTCTTCTGTATTTTATTAAGCTACAGCGCTAGCTCACCAATCTTTTTAAAAGATAAGCTTGTTTAAATAAAAGTCACACTGTAGTTGTATTTTTGTATTGTACAGTAGTTACTTTTTCCTTAAGTTACATGTATTTAATTTATATAAATTTAACTTTATATGAAAATTGCGAGTAGTCTTATAAAATTGCGAGTTAACTTTCTTGGTACTCGCAATTAATTGCGAGTTGCAATTTTAGGGAGTTTCTAACCCTGAAATGCTACTTCTCCTACAGTTTTGGTCTGATTTCAGTATAACTTGGCATACATGTAGACTGCACTAAGATACATAATTCTATATATCGGTTTTTGATTCCCTTGAATCCTTAATATAATAAATATTATACAAGGCAAGGATGTGTATAACATTAATTTCATGATTACGCCAACCACTCAATATCCAGTGATTGCACTAAATTTTGAATACTTTAATTTATGTACACGTACAGTACCTTGGGACACAAGACTACTGTACTCTAAGATACATAATTCTATTTACCTGTTTTTGATTTTACTGAGGGGTGTAGCCATGGTTGCTAAAAATAAAATTTCTGTAAAATCTCTCAAAAGTCTTCTCCTCCCACAGTTTTAGTCTGATTGCAATAAATTTTGCCACAAAAGGGACTAAACCAAGGATTATAATTCTATTTATGGCTGTTGCAATGTTTCAAGTCCAAGTGCTACTTTTCTTTGTTATATAAGTACAAACCAGTAGAGCTACAGTCTTGTCAGAGACTTCTATTTTTTTTTTTCAAATCATGACCCCATGCAGGGGTAGGGTGGGGCCACAATGGGCAATGAAAGTTTTACATAGGAATATAGAAGAAAAAATCTGCTGATGAAGAACAAGAACATTGTTTATGTACATGTATTTTATAGCTGTCAGATGGTGTGTTAAAAACGTTTAACATGAACTGTTGTAAAGATAATGTATTTAATTTGGAAATCATGAAAATTTATCTTTCAGAGTTTATATGTATTAAAGTATCAATTCTGTGAAGATGATGTTGATAATGAATTGGGATTATTTTTTTGGCAGTTTGATGATAACAGCAGTATTTGGACTGTTCTGGTTCACACAGATCCATCCACAGAGAGCAGCACAAAAATATGTCAAATTGTATTATGCCAATAAGCAACATATTGTGACAAATATTAAATAATTTTCTAAACTTTATAAAGATTTGTTTTCTTGAAAGAAGATTCAAGATTTAGAAAAGAGGGTATATTGTTTTCTTGAGGTTTGCTCAAAATTTTGGCCTCGACCTCTAAACCTTGTACAGTGTACATGTATATACACTGTACAAAAAAATTTCACATTCAGTATTTTTGTACAGGCAACAGTAAAGGCTGAAAATAATTATGCCAATATACATGTACATATTGCTAGAATGCAAATTTTCTAAGGATAAAAGCCAGTATGCATACTGGCACTGGCTTTGTGCTCCAATATGAAAGTTTTTTTAAAACAAATTTCAGCATATTAAGTACATGTTCATATGCATGGATTTTCTGCTTACTTCAACTTGCAAAATATTAAATATGATCAAGATACATAGGCCACAACACTTATCTGAAATGGCAATTTCTTCCTGCAAGTGAATATGTAGTTGAGTCCCCTTTATGTATATGTAGCTGTCAGTATAGAGTACAAAATTTCAGCAATTGAAATTCGACTTTATTGATATTTTCTGGGTTTACCAGTTAAAATGTAACCTTTATGTTATACAGTGTAAATTGCTACATAGAACTTTATTCCCTATTGTGGCCTTTATTTGAGAGAAACATAGGTAATCAGAGATTACAGAGCTCACCTCAACGAATGTTGTCTTTAAGTAAGGCAAAGTCCCACACTAAACTAATAATCTAGGAGTGTGCATCTCTAGATGCAACATTTATGCAATTTTAGTCTGATAGGGCTTGCAGTTACTTGGGAATAGACTTATCTGAAAACTTAAAACTAGTCACTCATTCAGAAAATGTAAGTCAAATCCAGCATCCGAAGCAAGTTTTGAGATTGTTCATCCCTTGATGCATCATCCATGCAAGTTTGGTTCAGATAGGCCTTATAGTTACTTGGAAATGAGATCTGCTCCAAAAAACTTTAATCTGGTTACTCATCTGGAAAATGTAGGTCAGATCCAGCATCCGAAGCAAGTCCAGTAGTGTGAATCCTTAGATGTATCATCCATGCAAGTTTGGTCAATATAGGGTTTATAGTTACTTGGAAATGAGATCTGCTCCAAAAACTTTAACCTGGTCTCTCATCCGGAAAATATAGGTCAGATCCAGCATCCGAAGCAAATCCAGTAGTGTGCATCCTTAGATGTAACATCCATGCAAGTTTAGTCAATATAGGGCTTATAGTTACTTGGAAATGAGATCAGCTCCAAAAACTTTAACCTGCTCCAAAAACATTAACCTGGTCATTCTTTAGCTGAAATTGCAGCATCTGAAACCTTGACTGTACAATGAAACCCACTAGAAGCATCCTCCATGCATCTCTGACTAATATAGGCCATAGAAGTACTTGAAAAGAAAACTGCTCCAAAAACCTTAACCTGGGACGCCGACACCGACGCCGAGGGTATTACATTAGCTCCCCCAACTTCGTTGAGGTGAGCTAAAAAATTAACCTTTCCAAAATGGAAGGTGATTATTGCCTATAATTTGTATGAGTATAGATAATATATAAATGCAAAATTAGAAACCTATAAGTTTAATATATGTACATGTCTTGTAACCATCTGGGCTAAAAATAAATATTTTCTCAAGTGCTTCCATCTATGTATTACAAATATTATTGGACTTACACAAGTACACACATTCCTTGTACATCGTACAGACCAATTGTACACGTCCTTAGTATAGGGTAATGATAATACTATATTATCAATTTTAAAAATGTAACCATAAAAATCTTTTTCAAACGCTTCTGTCTGAAATAAAGCTGAAAGATGAATTGGTAGAAATGTGTTGATCAATTCCTACATTCCCAGCCACCATCCCCTGCAGTTTTGCAGATATTTACATGTACCTTTCTTTAAGATAATTATTAATAAAATCATTATATGTCATGAGGATTCAATTGTTATGGGTTTACCCCTTGTAGCAAAATATCGAGAACCCTGACAAATGAGCCGTACAATTCTGAACAAGACATTCACCAATAAAATTGTTGCTGCAAACCTTGAAATTTTTGAAATCCACAAAAACTGTCTCCCTCAAATTAAAATGATTATGTGATATTGAAAATAAGAGAGCAATGTAAAATGATTATTTATTATTTATCTATGGAACTACTAAAACAATTTATGTACATGTATAACAAGGACAAACCAGAACACACATAAGTGTTGAGAGTTTTTTTTCTTCAGTTACATGGATACACTGTATTATGATATTCACAAGATGTAAACATAGCCGAGATAAAACCATGTACAAAACATGAATGACCAGGATACTCAAAAAAATTTCCACATCACACAAAATGTTATCGGTACAAAAAACTATACATTACATGGGGAAAAAAACAAGAACATATATTTTGTGATCTACACACTACCAGCAAGCACATTTAGTATATACATGTACCTAGACTGGATGAAAGATTGTAACCTTTGATTTTTTACACATCAGGCCTCAAAGTAACCTCTAAAATTTAGGCACCAGCTGGCTCCTAATCAAAAAAAAAAAAAAAAAAAAAAAAAAAAAAAAATAGCGCCACCCATGGGCAATGCAAGTTTTTAGGAGCCTGGCCAATTTTTCTTTGGTGCCACCATCAATTTTTTTGAAAGAAATAATGGAAAGAGTATTTTTGTGCTTGGATGAACTTGGATATCTGTATTCTTCTTCAATAATTTTTATATTGAAGATTGTTTACATGATTAATATTTTATCCTGGTACATACCCACCATTACATGTACAATAATGTGGAAACTCTAATGAATGAAAATTTAATTGACAAACAATTGACCATAACACCCTTCAAATTTACTGCATTTCACAATTATTAATTATCTGGAACCTAAAATTACCAGATACCTGGGGTACATGTAGTTACTGTCTTGTCTTGGCTGAGTTCAAGATTGTAGCTAAGTTAGATATCTAAGTCATATTGAATACATTGTATGAATTAATGCTTGCTATGGCTAGGTTAGCATTACTGTTCATAGCAGTTACATAGACCTACATAGCTGCTACCATTTTGAACACAGCCCTGGTCTACCTGAGCTCTGTGTACATTGAAACAACATGAAATTCGTTCACATGTGCACTGACTGAAATTTAACAATCACCAAGTCAATTCAAAATGGTCACCAAATTGGCAACTTGTGGTGAGATTTTAGTCACCAATTAAAATTTTAGGCACCATGACAACTAAATTAGTTGCCAATTACAGCACGTACATTATAAATTTTTAACAGATATACCTGTCTTACAAAATTAATAACATTGTACAGTATACAAATTGAGATTAGAGTAATTTTTAACTGAATTTATACATGCAAGGTCTTTGAACTTGAACCACTTTATTTTTCAAGACAAGCACATGTTATTTCCTGAACACAGGGTGTGAATAAAAAGAAATAAACTTGATGTTTAGCAAAAAGGTTAAGTTCAACATACATGTAAAAGTTTAATTTCAACATACATGTAAAAGTTTGAGTAAAAAAAATTTTCTCTACTATTAATACCAAAATTATGAATATTTTTCATAAAGAAGATGAGTGAACAAGGCAAGCAAAATTCCTATGGTGCGACAAATAATACAGTGTAAAAAATAAAATTTTCTTTGAATTTTCATTTAACATTAACATTTACTTCATGTAAAATCTCCACAATTTGCAACAATCTCACAAAGATTGAAATTAAAGAGGGCAGAAATGATCATATCTTCAAACAAGAGGCCACAACGCTCACCTGAGTATCTTTGGCCCTGTGGTTTTCACCAGACTTTGCCCCCTTGTAATACCTTTTGTGGCCCCACCCTAGCCCCAAGGTCATGATTTTAACAATTTAGAAACTACACTACCCAAGGATACACAAGTTTCAGCATTTCTAGCCCATTGGTTCTTGAGAAGATTGTAAAAGATTTTTCCTAATGTATTTCAATGTAAAACTTGGATTTCCTATTGTGGCCCTGCCCTACCCCCAGGGGTCATGATTTTAATAAATTAGAATTTACACTACCCCAAGATGCTTCTACATAAGTTTCAGCTTTTCTAGCCCAGTGGTTCTTGAGAAGAAGATTTTTTAATGGTCCCACCCTATTTTTGTCTTTTCTTGATTATCTCCCCTTGTAAGGGGGTTTGTCCCTTCATTTAAACAAAACTTAACAATTTGAACCAATTGTACCAATTTTGGTTAAAATTGGCCCAGTGGTTCTTGAGAAGAAGTTGAAAATGTGAAAAGTTTACAGACGGAGGGACAGATGGATGGATGGACAATGGGTGATCAGAAAAGCTCACTTGAGCTTTCAGCTCAGGTGAGCTAAAAATGAGTACTGTAAAAGATGTCAGAAGAAGTGCCAAGTTGTTATATATTTGAAAATTTACAATACGTAGACAAATGAATAAGTGGGTCTCATCATGCCTCAAAAACAATGAAAATTAAACCCCCATGAAAACGAGATGTTTGTGAAACACTTATCCCCCCCCCAAAAACAATTGGAATTTTTCAAAGTCCAAGGGGTATAACTCTGTCAAAAATTGCTCGATCGTATCCAAAACAGAATTTAACCTAGACATTCTTATGATAAATCTGGATACCAAATTTCATTTCAGTATGTGCAACTCTGTGAAGAAAATGAATAGAAACTGCAAACAATCAGAATTTTTCAAAGTCCTAGGGGCATAACTCTGTCAAAAATTGCTCATTTGTACCCAAAAGAGAACGTAACCTAGATATTCTTATGAAAAATCTGTATACCAAATTTCATTTCAGTACGTGCAACCTCTGCGAAGAAAATGAACGGAAACTGCAAATAATTGGAATTTTTCACATCCAAGGGGCATAACTCTGTCAAAAATTGCTTGATCGTACCCAAATCAGAACTTGACCTAGATATTTTTTATGATAAATCTGTATATCAAATTTATTAGAGTATGTGCAACCTCTGTGAAGAAAATGAATGGAAACTGTTGGTGGACTGACAGACCGACTGACAGTCAGCAGCAAAGCAATATGCCCTCCCTTCTTTGAAGGGGGGCATAATTAGTAATTTCAAAGTATGAGTTTTATATTTTTAAAGCTATAGGCATTTTGCACACCTTGTTCATTCATCTCCTTTGTTATACATGTATTTAATACACAGTAACAGTTTTACATTCTGACATATAATGTAAAACATCACTGGGCCATTGAAAAAAGAGCTTCTCAACATGTGACCTACATGTTCATCGTATTTTGCCCCATATTTGACTGGATCCATGTGAGATGAATTTTTACAATTTTGGAGACACTCCATGATTCTTAGAAAATGGAACTCTTTTGTTCCTCTTTATATTACCAAAAGATGCTTTATATTGACACTCATTTAAATCTATTCAGCTAACTATAATGGGAACTGATAGCATTCAGGTCATATGAAAATCTAAAGGCCTCTTTCTTACATTCTTCCAGCTATGTATGAAAATCTGTAGCTGATCTATTTTAAAGTTTTGGTGTCACATGACAGCTAGTGTATTTTAAATTGTATAGTCTTAGAAAATAAGGCCCCAGCCAGGATCATGAAATAGACTTTAGACTTGTCATGATTCAATCATCTGTAAAATATTTATTACTTATAAAACTGAAATCCTAAATCTGCAGACAACAGCAGTTTAATTATGTAAGGTTGAAGGGCAGTTTATTTTGGACTGTTGTTCATCACACTACATATATTAAGTTTTCAACAAAAGCTTAAGATGTTTCATGATCCTGGGGCCAGTTTTTTGTCCTTTGACTAAATGACATTAAATCTGTAAGTTTCTTCCCCGAACCATTTTTCACCTATACAGTGAAATTGTAATAAGGTTTAAAAAAAAACAACCAAGTCACCCATAAAACATAGTGGTGAAATAGTATCACAGAAATATATAGGAGTCTTCCCCTAACCCTTCTCAACTTATGTGACAAAAATGAAGTCTGTAGTTGAAAAATACTCAGCTTACATCATTACAGGTAGACAGACATGGTGATTACCATAAGTCCCTAACATTTGATGCAAAGACCTAATTATGTTGAACATCTTTACATTAAAATATATGAAACAAAATATTTGTCTAGAGAAAAATTATTTCCAGTCCATGCTAGAAAATGGCAGTGAATGTACATGATAATAAGTTGTTAAAAATCTCTCATTAACTTGCCAATAGTTATGAGTAGACCAATATAACTTGTCACTGAACTTTTCTGGACTGCATTTTTTTGGATGGTCACAGTCTGAAATCCTAATGTGGTCTGCCAACAAAGGAGTCTGAGTTGTGACGCGGTCTTTTGGCACTGACCATGCTTTTAGAAGGGCGCAGTAACTCTTGAATGTGCTGCACAATTAAATCAATTGCCACTGCAGAGAAATGAATAAAATTGAATATATTAGAAGAATACTTAAATGTTGGCTTGTTGTCCTTTCGAAGTACAATGATGGTTGTTATTGAAAATTCCAGACAAATTATAACTTTGTGAAATAGCTTTATTTACCTGTATTATCAGCTCCTCTGGGTATTATAACATCAGCATATTTTTTTGTCTTGAAAAGAAAAAAAAACAGAAATACAATGTATATATCATCTTTAAGACATAAATGCCCCCCTCTGAATGTAGGAGAGGTTGTTACATAATTTTGGAATGGTTTAAATATTCTCACTCTGATATTCATGTATCTAGTATGTAATACATGTATTCTACACAGGAATTCAACAATCACAATTGAGCTCCTCCAAAGTTAGAAAATAACAGGCATAAGTCATAGGCAGTTGTGGTCAAATTCACAATTAACACAACAACATTCAAAATAGAATCTACTTCTTTCCAGAAACAACTGTTTTTGGTTTATTGGGATTTATACATGTATAATGAACATACATGTATCAATATATACATTGGAGCATGTGATAATCCATATAAAATGGTCAATCCATTTAATATGCTTAAATTACCTTGTGTTTTAATGTACAATACATATACAAATGTACTTTTAACCCCATGGATCAAAATGAAAACCAAGAAAGACATTTTTTTATGAATTATGACATATTTGAACTACAGGTATTTAGTATGTTTGAATCAAAAGACCCCTAATTTGCAATAAGTTTATTTTTAATGTGTCATAATCAAGACTATGATATCATGTTCAGTGACTGCTATTACATACTGTGTACAAGTTCACACACACACACATTGAGATGTAAAGGAAGTATCACTGACTTGACATCACTTAATGAATATATTCAAATACATGTATATCTGTGCCTGGGAGAATCTTTAATGATATTCTATAAAAAAAAGATGTAAATGCAAATGAGAAAATTCAAGTTGATGAAGAAGAGGGTCAAGTCAAAAATAAAAATTAATAAAACTGAATTCCTCTTCTCACAAAGAATGTTTTAAAAAATATTTTACATGTTTAATGAAAATGCATAGGATGCCTTTGTTTGTTTGTTTGTTTGTTTTAAGTTATTTTTTAAAGACTTACTGGGAGACAAAATTCTTCAAAAGCTGGCTTCACTAAGGTAGTATACTGATGTAGTATATTCTCTATGTCCCTCCCTCTCTCTTTTGTGTCTCTTAATACTGAAAATTAATGTCATGTTTCATAAAATGATTACAAAAATAAGATATTTTTTTTTTCTATAATAGAGCATAACTATATAGTCAGTGTCTATTTGTTGAAATAATACTTTGAAATATAGTCTGGGTCTATTTGCCAAAAAATACTTTGAATTAGTCTGTGTCTGTTTACTGCAATAATATTTTGATTATGTTTTTTTTTCCCGAAAAAAAGTTCTAAATGCTCAAATTCTGGTATATTTTTCATTTCATAAATATTAATAGCAAGTGCAGTGAGCTCAATAGACTAACGTGTAAGAACAGAGAAAATTCGGAATGACATATACGTCTGGCAACTTTTAGTGTGAAACCTTCCCAGAATTCCCTCACTACTAGGATTCCCTGGTATAATGGCGAATATGAAAATAATATAAAATATAAAAGGCCTGCAGTTTGCTGAGAGCTTAAAATAACAAAAAATAATTATATTTACACTACAACGTATTTCGTTAAAAATTGCACTAGGCCTGTAGTCTCGTTCAACCAGATGCTCAACTGTCTCCGTAAATTCCGACGTCATGTGACATCACAGTCTAGACTGTGTCTCGTTTGGAAGTTTGAAGAGGCGGATCAAAGTTTACAAGTGTAAGCTGTGTAAGGGTTTTTGATGGTACAACTGCGCTTGCCCCAGTGGTCACACCGTAAAACATATTATTTGAAAATTCTTTAATTAAAATTTAAAAACAACACAAATATTGGTCTTATTAATTGTACCTCTTCTGGATAATCTTGTGTCTGGATCTGTGTCCACAAAAAGCTTCATGTGATACATATCTCTAAGTTCTTTGAAATAAAACACTAAGATGCCCTCAAACAGAACAACATCAGCAGGGTATACAGTATGCCATTCCTCATTTCTGAAAATGAAAGAAAAGAATACAATAATTTTGAATCTCAATGGCACTAAATACCTTATGCTTATACTACACCAAACATTGGTTTTGCTGATTGTTTTTACAATACGAGAGTATTACAACCCCTTCATAATTTGTATGTTACACTTACCTGGCATTTGTCACATAGTTATATTGAGGTAATTTCACTGCTTTACCAGCTACAAGATCCTTTAATGTCTGTGACATAAAATCATAGTCAAAAGCATCTGAAAAAGACATTGATTTCCGTAAAGGAAAAAGGTCCTTTTGTACTTTCAATAGTAGTTATAAACTGAAATACAGTGTACATTTGATCTGTACGCAATATTTATGTCATCAAATCTGCCCTAATGGCACTTTATACTGAATGACTTCGTATCATATTTGACTGTAAAATTTGCAATATTTTTCATTATCCTAAGGTATTTTACCAGCATTAATGATAATTGTTATACCTCTAAAAAAGTATAATATTTTTGATGTTTTACTGAGTGGTCATAAAAAAAATAAATGTTTGACCGCAGAGTGAGATATTGGACCTGTCAATGAGATATTGGACTGCTTACGTCACACTGTGGGCCGATCAGCTAAATCTTTTTTACATTCATTGGTGTTCAACAATGCAGAATTAATCAAGTTTTGGTGCAGGTAAAGGAAATTTATATCATGGAAGCCAGCACAAGATACATGTATGTCAAAAAAATAAAAGATATAACAAAACATTATTGACTGTTTTCTTGGGCAAAAGGCTTTTTGTCTGACCCAGGAGGGGTCGACAAAACAAATGTTGCCCTTGAACCCAGTCAATAAATGTGTAGTATTCAGTAACAGTGACTGTAAGTTAACATTCTATTATTTCTTTATATTTACATTTCCAAATATTTTCAAAGATTCTTTGCAAATTAGAAAAAGTTCACATTCTCATGAACTTCTGTGGGATGAGTAAGAATATTTTCATTGTGATGTAACTGAAGTCAAAAATAGTGCAATCTTTTTTTCAAAAATGATCGCTGAATTACAAAAAAATGTGGCAAGTCATCAGGAAAAATAATGTAAATATAAGATATTAATTTAATTTTTGAGAATTCATGAGGTACATGAACTACAATGCTTCACGCCTGCATATTTAATAAATATTATTTATCATGAAGCGCTAACGCGCTTCATGAAATATGCTGGCATGAAGAGTCGTAGTTCATGTCCTCATGAATTCTCAAAAATTAAATTGATGTCTTAAAAAACCTTCATCTAATAAATTTTCATGCATGATTCTTCATTATTACTTTTTCATTTTATGCATGTTTGTTATTTTTTCAAAGATGCAGTTGATTGGTCATTACTCAGCCCTTTCAAAATTTGCGGTAACCCCCCCCCCCCTTTTTTTTTTACCTGGTTGAAATCGTGATTGTAACACCCAAAATATTCTATAAAATATAAATTATTTTATTGAGAAAAATTCAATAACATATTTAATGAAAATCCCTTCCACAAGGTACATCCTATTTTTGTACAAGTATTACCTCATGACCTGTTTCCAATTTTTTGAAAGCCCTGATTACTACACCAAATTCTGGAAGAACTTTTTGCACTGTTATGGTCATGCTTATATCTTTACCTCCGAAAAATCATCAATAGTGGATAATAGCTGAATTTGGTGATAAAAGGTTTAACATATATAATAATTGAAGTTTGTGCTTGAATAGTATCACAGTTCTCTAATCATTATTTTATACACGTACCATTAATTCTTTTTATGTGCATCAATTCAAGGAATCTTAGGTTTATACAAAATTTCAGGATGACCAAAAAAATACTGTATCCAAATTGAACTCCTCATTAGCAGAGAAAGAGATAGAGATTCACTCATATATCATGTACATACGTAGCTCATATACACATATAAGAAATATATGAGACTGTAGCGAGTGTACCTGGATGATCAAAGTTGAACTCTCCCTTCAATGCTCTTATGTTCTCTTCAGGTGTGAGAGGACGGTAAAATGTGTCTTGATTTATTATAACGACCTGTCTCTGTCGGTGATCCACATCATCCTGACCCAGCTGCTGCATGATTTTGGCACACACAGAGGACTATGAATGTTCAGGGGAAAAAATCTTATTCATTAAATTATATCAGTTAGTTAAGTAAAATTTTCCCTCCAACACAATATAATTTAATATCAGTATTCTATCATCTTAAGAAAATCCCTTATAAAAGTCCGGAACAAAAATAAATGTTACTGATATCATGAAACATACTAGCTGCATGTTGCATCAGGTACATCAATTTTTACAGATTATTCCTTTAATTGTATTATATAAAATTTATTCATAGTTTACTTTTCCAGAGGCAGTGCCACCAGCTACACCAATAACAAAAGGTCTTGGAACTCTGTCTCTTTCGAATCCATTCTTTCTCTGTCCATTCGTCTCAGAAGTGTGTGCTGAAGCCATCATCTGCAATTTGAAGTTTGTTGCAAAATATCTACAACAATTTAATATTTTTTGACGAAATATCATAACTGAGTCGTCGAATTTTTTTGAGTTGTAGGCTAATTAAAAAAGATTTTTAAACAAGTCAAGACACATGACGCAATAAAACAGACATAAGTTGCACCCACATGGTTTTGTTGACTTTTCACCTATTCTCACATAATCCGTCCATATGCGCTATTTGGATGTCGCAAGCAATTTAAATTACATTATTATTAAAATAATTGGTAAATTTTGTAGTGTTTTCGTTTGTGATACGTCTAGTTACCAAACCAACATCGTTAAGTGTTAATACACAGGTTAAAACTTCCCTGGGATCCAAGTATATAGTCTAATAAATGGCTTCTCGATCTGTCGCTTAGGCAAAAAGCAAAGTTTGGACCAATGAATAAAACAAAACAATTACATTTTATGCTAAAAAGCACGACTTTTACCTATAACAATGCATGAATATATTGATTTTTAACACTTTTAGATATTTGTCTACAGTGAAATTTTTAAAAAATATATAATAACGTTGTCGCTAAATTTCTGTAATTTACGTTATCAAAATCTTAGTATTTGTGTAAACAGCATAAAAGGGTATCTAAAAACATAAAATATCTACTAGAATATCCAACAAAGTCCATAAAATGCAATCAGAAACAAAGAAAAGTTATATGACAGAATACCTACAGAAACACATTTGTCTTTTAACCAGAGGTGAGTGGTTCGTTTTAAGGATGTATTTTACGTTATCAACGATACTTAAAGAACACAAGTAAAATTGTCTTTGCATATTAATTTATTTCTTCTTCCTGACCTACCAAACACGTAAAATATTAAAACGAACATTGATCTGTGCGACTACACATTTTACACCAATTAATCTGATAGAAAGTAATTTACGTTATGTAATTTACGTTATCAGTATAATACATATATGGTACCTATCTTGCAAATAAGACGTCGGGACAATACGGAACCATGCAGGAAACGTTATTGGTTTCTTCTCGAAAGCATCTTAACATCACCGAACTTCCGATGTAGATCTGATGCAGGAAGCGCCATCAGATAACGTAAATTACGTGTTACCTTTAAAAACTTTCAAATAATTCCTCAAAGATGTATTTTTGGCGTGAATTTCAGTTGATTTTACAAACAAGGTGTACTTCTATTTATTTGTAGCAATATTTTACGCATAAATCTCTCTTCATTGATTACTTGATGAAGCAAAACATTCATAACGTAAATTACAGTAAAAATAACATAAATTAAATATAATTTAATTGCCTTTCTCCGTAATTATATTTCATAGATTTCATTTAACAGAGATTGTAAAGTCAAAAACAGAAATTAAAAAAGCATATGGGGAATAAAAGAAGAAAAAATAGGGAGAGGCATAACTAGAGAAAGATAGGAAAAAAAACATACCAAGAGCAGATCTTACATTGTCATTATATTTAACTGTGAATCTCTCAAAAGGATGAAAAATAATCAGTGTTTGTGGCATTTTGTGGGCAATTGAAAATACTGCATGTCATTAGATGGATGAAAATAAGTTCAAGAAAATATTAATTTTTGGTTTGAATACCAGTAAAATTGTAATTTACGTTATCAATATATTTCTTAAAGAAAAACCAATTTAGAATTTTCACTGTCTCTTCCCAAATTAAATTTTAAAATCCTCTTCTCTTATGATTCATAAACATAAAATTAAGTCGCACAGGAATTCAGCTTAAACATTTCTAGTAAGAAGGAACAGAATTATTTCAGTTGAAAAATAAGATTAAAGCAAATAAAATTTGTTAATTACAAATTAAGAGAAAAACACTGGCAAAAAACAAAATATTCGAAGTGTTTTTATTAGTACAGACATAGTGCTAAAAAAATCCAAGTGAAACTGAATATTCATTTTGACAATATTTTAAACGATTTTTGACGGGTTCATTTCGACGTAAGATAATAACGTAAATTACGAAGGTATATACACTACCTATATTGCATATTGAATATTTTTGTCATCATGCATGGTTGAGTTCTGATATTTTGAAAAATAATTCTCCCATGTTTTGTTTGCTAAAAAACATCGACTTCTCACCCAAATAATGACTTTATTTTTTTAATGAAAGTTAGGCTGCATGTGGACGGATTATGTGAGAATAGGTGTTTTACGACATTCCCCATCAATTTGCGGCGTATATATTTTTTTTTATTTATTAATGCGTACTAAAATCATTTCGAATCATAAGCGAATTTTTCTAGAATATGTAAACACTCTGCGACATTGGTTTATGACAAGTTTTAAATACCTTTCTAGAAAAATAATATATTCCATGTGCAAAGAAAAATCTAGCATTTTTAATCGAAAATGCCTCATTCATGCAAAGTTGTTCGTTTATCTCTCAAACCAGAGCATACATGTATGCCATTATATGGCAAGAAATTGGTACTGTAGTGCACATAATCTTGCCATAGAAAAAAAGGTAGACATTTGTCTATACCCACCTATGAAAGATTTGTAATATTTGCAACACAGGAGAGATTGAAGATGAATTTCATTTTCTATTCAGCTGACAACAATCATAGGTTAACTTTTGAAAGGAACTTAATGATTTTTTTTTCAAGGAAAAATATCAAATAATGTCTTATACTAAAAAAGTTCAACTTTGCTTTAATAGCTAATGTCCTGAAATACTGAAAATAATACACTCATTTATTTAAAAAAGTCATATGTCTAGATATTATTGTATTACATAATAATTGTACAAATGATTGTATGATTTATGCATATCCTCACATTCTAGAAAATTGTATAAATGTATCAACAATTGATGATTCTTATATGTTGTGCCTTTGCCAATTATTGTATCGTGTTGTGTCTTGAGGTTTATTCATCATCAATTCAATCATGTATATACTTTTCAGTTTAATTTCGTCCTTATTAACATAGTTTACAATGTAGTAGTACGCTGATTGTCTTTCATAACTCGTGTGACCTATATACCGGTATATGGAGAGCGCTCTAGTGTGCTGGAGCTTCACCCATTTGTTTGTCCTCATTTTCGTAGAACTTACTATCTTTTTTTTACCTGTTTTGTTCTTATTGTTCCACGTCGAGCATGTTCATTCCGTAAACATGGTAAAAGGGTCAATCTCCCTCAGCTTTCTAAAACATATCAGTTTATTTTCATTATTTTACAATGCCTGAATGCAACGACAGGCACATATTATTGTTTTTGAAAAAGGGGAGGGGGCAGCCTGAAAAAAAATATTTGACTGATTTATCTTTGACAAGCAAATAATTATAATAATAATGTTAAAAAAGAAGAAAAAAAGGAATGAAAAATTGTCCACACCCCAAACTCCGTTTCGGGGGGGGGGGGGGGGGCTAATTAGGTTATTTCACTCTAAGATTTATTTATACATTAGCACATTACCTTGATTTAAATATACCGCAACCAAAAGGGGGGCTAGCATTTCCATGAATATTTTTGACAGTAAAAAGTTTTGTCTGGAAAAAAAAGGGGGGGGCAGCCCCCATCCCCGATATTACGTGCCTGAACGAAATTTACCATTAGTACTTCAAATTGTTGACTACCTGTAATAAGCATTATGTGCATGTATGTAAGTGACACTGAGGAAACAAAACAAGATCGAGGTTTCCGAGCCTGAGTTTCACAAAGCATTTAAGTAAAATAAAACGTATTAACTATTTTAAAGCAACTTTTTTTTGACATAATTTATAAAAATTAACAAATTTAGGAAATATCAGGTTAACAAATCTAATTACATTTTTAAATAACTGATTTTTTAAACGATTTTTCAAATGATGGGTAGATAGACGTCGTAATAGTGTGTTTTTGACGTTATGAATAACCGAGGTTCTTTAAGAGGGGTAATTAATTATGTCATAAAATGAAAAGTATTTTAAATAGATGCTCTTGAAATTTTAAACATAGGAAATTGAGAATCTCACAATCATTTTTATTATTTTTTATGTAAATCTGTGGTATCTGACATGTTTTGTTGTACTCCAGAAGAACAGGAAAATATCACGAATTTTTACATTTTGAGATGTCCCCTCTGGAAACCAGACGGTAGAATTTTGTGTTTCTTTCGTAAAATGTACAATATAGTATTACCCATCAAATAATATAATTTGAGCAAAAAGTCTATAGCAGCATTTGTATAATTTGCTCCGAAGTGCGAAAAAATGGCATTTTCCTTTATAATCCCATAGTAAATGTACCTGTATTTTGAGATGGTCCCTAAAAAATAACTAGACGGTAGATTTTCACTAAACTTGGCATATAAACTGAAGTCAATGTAAGGTACATATGGTATAAAATTAAAGAGTTTCACTATAGTAGTTTTCACACAATAAAACCCCAGTCGGCTCCCTTAATTTTAGCCACGTTACTTGTTCTTTAGTCATTTCTTACTTTTACTTATACATTTACTTGAATATATTTTGAGAAGACAAGTTACGTTTTTGTCTCATGCACGATCACTTTTTCTTTTTCTTTTTTTTTTTTATTTTTTTACCCCATCTCATGAATATGATGATCAATAAGTTTACAGCCAAGGTTGGGGAGCCTAGGTGATCACTTAGCTTAATTCTAATTTTCTGGTACATTTTAAAGTTCTTATAAATTGGTTTCATAAAGATGAAAAAAGATGATTTGTAAAGATGATTTGTCAACAGGCTTAGGTTTGCAGTCACCGACTAGCACACTTTCGTATAGCAACATAAAAACATGCAGGTATTCTTTTTTGTATTAATTATACACGCTAGACTCTCCTATTTAAATATCCACCTATACAGCTTGTCTTCTGAAATAAATCAACAAAAAAAAATGTTCTGCAAAATAGGCTTATATAATCGCACAAATAGGATTTTGTTTCCAAATACAGTTTTAAATTAGAAGCTAATTAGCATATGCCATAATAGGTCATATCAAAAATAAAAGTTAAAATTCAACTACATGTACATAAAAGTCATTTCAATTTGTTTGCTGTAGTAGACAAATTTAGTTTTGTATCTATAAAATTTACAATAATAACCAATTTACAGTAATAACACAATTGGTTATTCCACATCACTCTGAATGATAGTTTTTGCATTTTTTCCAGATATTGTTGTTGACATTTAAACGTAATATATTTTTTATTTAATGGTTTACTGGTTTATTTTCTTACAATGCAATTAAAAAAATTATCTGCTGATTGATACAATGAGAAATTAAGCCAGATGTGTGCCATAAACCCAGTTCTGATCAATAACTCTGGCTTTGTATATAAACATGTCATGATTTCAATTAGAGTGTTGTTTGTTGAAATTGTGAGATTGACAAAAAAATCACCATAATGCCCCCACCCAATCTTTTTAAGGTTGATAGTGTCCATCTTTTTTCTGTGATGTTCTAAATCATGCATGGTTACAATGAGTCAGTGCTTTTTTCAAAATTTAGAACAATCCATTTTCAAGCCAACTAATAATAAGTATAGTGCATGGCTTTCGTATTTTAAATTTTTGACGAGGTGTTTATTTACGTTGTCGTTATAAACATCATTAATTATCTCTGTAAAAAATTAAAGGTTTTGATATTTTATCTGATCAGTTGGTACCTTTATTGCGTAAAAGAATTTTTACTCTGGTAATTACAATTTTTATACATTTATTTTAACAATAATACATTATACATTGTATTTTAACCAGATATCCTCAAATCTAGCAGCTTGTACATGTATGTCGTATACTGTTGTAGGTAAAGGACACATAAAAATACGAGTAACATTAAAAAAAATAATTGATATCGAATAAAGTCTCGACATTCCATCATTTACTCCAAGACTTTGCTTGTTCAATAACAATTCCAGGGGTTTTCGCTCGTATTACAACAACAATAAATAATAATAATGACAGTACAATGCATCTTCAGTATCAGACTATATAAACAGTTCTAATATTTTTTTTATTTTGACTAAAAATGTTAAATTGTTGCATTCAATTAAATACAAGGATGTTTTCAAATGATTAAGCATTCTATCATGTTGAAATCGTTAATTAAAATGCAGCAGGATACATCTGTTAATAGATTCTAATATATACATTCAATTATGTGTTTCAAGTTCTATAATTTATGTTTCCTCTGCTGAAAATTGTGCAAAAAGATCCTGTTTCAAAAATAGAATTTGTTTGACAATGTCAGAAAAATGACTCTTTAGTTTATCTAAACTACTATAGTATGTTAATGACCTGTCTAGGTATATTTAAATCGCAAAGATTAACGACAATCCTAGAACATATATCCCCCGCCTCCAAATTTTTCAAGCTTCGTAACTTTTTAATGACATATTCAATCAAAACATACTGGAGTAATATCCATGTTATTATATTGGTATTAAAAGTTTTGATTTAATTTGTAGTAACCTCAAGAACAGAAATTCAATAGTTAATAAAGAGATATTCTTAATTTCGCTTTGCTAAATTTGCATTAATCTTTTCATAAGTGACCATTTTGTAAAAACATAATAAACTCTTCCTTAGGTAAGCAATAAGGTTAACCTTTGCTCAAAGTTTTATGACGTGTATAGAGCTGATGCTAAATTTATGAAAACAATCTCAATGTGAGACTTTTAAAAGTTCTTTTAAAATCCATTGTACCGCTTAAGATAAATTTTAAAACAATGACATCTATCAAAGTATAAAGATAATAGGTACGTCTAGGGCTGGATTTAAAGTGCGGGAACTTTATTAAAAGAAATCTGATCGAAGGCTTTTCTAACAATTCACGGTATCCAGAGTTTGATAAAGAACACGCATCTGATTCATTACAGATTAAATCAACTTTATCAAGCAGACTTGGACATGAATTTGCGTCCTTTTTAGTATGCAGATATTTCAAAATGGCTGTGAACGACTAAGGGTGGTTTCATTCGTTCTGGAATTCTTGAGTGATAGAGAAAACTAAATCAAAATGGCAGGAATATCAGCGACGACATCACGCCAAGGAACTCAGTTATCGGCTCGAACACGACCCACAACATCACTTCGCGGTGACGATGAAGTCGGCGAAAATCTTGTTATTTGTAAACTTTGTGATAAAGAGCTCACAACTCCAAAACATTTTCCATGTCTCCATACCTTCTGTGAGGGATGCCTGAATATCCACGCAAAAGCTGCAAAAGAGTCAGATCCCAGCGCTCAAATAAGGTGTCCGACATGTTCTGTTCCAGTCCCAGAATCTACAGAGGTCGACCCAGAGAAAATTGTAGCCAGACTTCCATCCAACTATCTTCTTTTGGCACACGTTATGAAGCGTCAATTGAAAACCAAAAGATGTAAGCCATGTCAACGTCGAACAAAAACGTCCACCGCTAAGTCTTGGTGTGCGGACTGCGCCGAAGCTCTTTGTGATGATTGTGTGGAGAACCATGCTTCTATCCAATCTTCAAATCGACATCCCGTTATTCCGATTACCGATGCCGAGAACAATCCGTTTACTATGCAGAAAAAGGTATACTGCGTAGACCATCCACGAGAGCAGGTAACAAAATTTTGCATGGAGCACCAGACGGCATGTTGTGGTAGATGCAAGACAGGAACCCACTCCCAGTGCACTTCCTTTCTTCCAATCGACAGAGCAATTGAAGTTATGCGAAAGAAACAGGAACTAACTGTTCTTGTGTCTCAGCTTGACACGATGAGCAGCAACGCTGAGAAAATCGTAGCCGAAAGAAAAAAAGCTGTGGAAGATCTTGCCAGCCATAAGACGGAAGAGGAAAAACTGATACCAACATTTCGAGAACGAGTAAATGAACATTTGGACAGCTTAGAAAAGGCACTAAAAGAAGAGTTTGAAGAATTACACGAGAAAGAAACGAATCATATAAGACAGGACATTGAGGTATTTGAACAGAAACTTCAGAATATCAATTATTACAAAGAGCTTCTAGATGCTGCAACCATGAACATTCCTCCACTTGCTGTCCTTACAGAGGGAGCGAAAATTCGACAGCAGTGTCAGCTGTTGGAGGAAAACATGCAACATCGTGCTGGTAAAATCGTCAGGACTCAGTACGAATTAAAGGAGACGGACCTCATTTCCAAAATGCCAACATTAGGAGTGGTTGAAGCAAAACACACAGCCATGCATTCTGATAAAACAATTGACCACTTGCAGTTGTCGCCAAGAAATCCGATCCGGATGTCAGAAAAAAGACATAATTTCTTGGCACTGAAGTACCAAAGTAGCTTAATATCGGGCGGATTCGCAATGAATAGAAACCTGATTTTGGTAGACAACAAAGGAAGAGAAGTTAGAGGATATTCCGATTCTGGTCAACGAATTGATACTCAAGTATGTCCCATGTATGGAAATCCCTTTGACGCAACTTTCCTACCAGACCGAAAAGGTACAAATATAATTGCTGTCACGATCCCAGTGATGAAAACGATCCAACTTTTAGAAGTAGGGCCAAAAACGTTAACCATCATGGACCGTCTCCATTTCAAAACGATAAACCAATGTTTTGGCATCACCTTCATAGACGGTAGAATCTTGGTTGCCTGCTTGAAATCCATAGACATATGGGACGTAGATCCGGAAAACCGATTAAATTTCTTCAATAACATGGAAATCGAAGGAGAAAAGGTCAAATACATTTGTGCAGCAGATCACAACCGTATATACTACTCGGATTCCGATTTTCGCGGATGTCTTTACTGCATCACAACGGATGGAGACAAAATTTTTCGATATTCGCATAAAAACTTGCGCGTGCCGATGGGAATTGCGTTGGATCAACGCGGGAATGTATACGTGGCTGGCCATTATTCCAACAATATCCACCAGGTGTCTCCAGAGGGAGGTCTTATCCAGATCATCGCCCCCGAAGACGAGGGCTTTAAGAAACCGATCATGATGATATACAACGGAGAAAAGATCTTCTTGAGCTACGAGAGTCACACCATCACCTATATGTATCCGTCATAAGATGTCGTGTTTAAATGTAATTTTTTCTTATTTTAACATTTACATATTTGCTCTGTGAATCCAAGAACTCCTTTAACATATCTTTTGTCGAAAAGTCCGTATGTATCTTAAATCGTAAATGTGTCAAATGCAACTTATAATTAAATACATGTACCTGTATTTCAATCGTAATCATTTTCTGTTGTTTTCGAATTGGCGTTAAGTCTGCACAATTGGTTATATGATGTAATGTCACTTTATGAATACTAGTGCTGTCACTTTTTGTATCATATATGTATACAGTACGTTTAATATAGTACAACAGGTACTTTGAATATATCCCTCTCCTTTGAGTTGAATTTCCTGTGATCTATTTCTTTCTGTGATAAATCTTTGGAAAAAACGCCCCCAAGCTACGAAAAAATGTTTACAAATGTACTAACATGTATTTGTATATATAAACAGTCACTTTTTTGTCCCCCTCTATCACTGAAAGGGAATATTAATTTGGGTCCGTCCGTTCGTCCGTCAATCTTCCTGTGTATAACATTTTTTTCCGGATAACATTTCAAAAAGCCTTTCAGCTTTAAAAAAATTGCAATCATATTATATTTATATCGTATCTCCCTATGGCATAAGAAGACCCCTATGGATTTTGAGGTCAAATGGTCAAAGGCCAAGGTCAAAAATTCATACATTGTTTGTTAAAAATTCGTTTCCGGACGATATCTTAAAAAGCCTTTAAGATTTTGTAATGAAATTTCACATCACATCTCCTTGTGGAAAAAAAACTATAGATTTTTAGATCAAAAGTCAAAGGTTAACTCAAAGGTTAACCCAGGTCAGAAATTTATACATTGCAAATAACATTTTCCAGATGATAACTTTATTATTTTTTTTAGCTTTTGTAATGAAAGAGCTAAAAACACGAAGGGGCTAGATCGGTCTAATTTTTCGATTTTGATACTTCGAGTTTCTTGTTCTTTATATCACAACTCTGTATGACCTTATAAAGACCTCCATTGATCTTGAGGTGACAAGTCCAAAGGTCAAGTTCAGAAATTCGTACAATCTCTTTGTGTGTAACACTTTCATTTCCGGACGATATATTAAGAAGCCTTTGAGATTTTGCAATGGATTTTTTATCACAACTTCCTATGCCCTAAAAAAGGCACCTATCTATTTTGAGGTCAAAAGATCAAAGGTCAACGTAAGAAATTCATATGCACATGTTTTGCTGGTTTCTAGAAGATAACTTTAGTTCTCTTTGGGCCTTTTGAACGAAGATATTTAAGTATTATACTAGTAACTCCTAGTAACTTAAAGAAAGATCCCTTTTAATTTTCGTGTTAAAATATCAAGGTCAGTGACAGAAATATGTACAATGTCAAAAAAAAAAAATTGGTTTCCAGGTTTTAACTTTGGTTTTCCTTGAGATTTTTCTATGAAATTTTAAATTGTAGCTCCCAATGATTTAAACAAGAACCCTTTTGATTTTGATTGTAGGTCAAAAGTTCAATGTAAAAGATTTACATCATTCATAGAATGGTTTCCAGGTGATAATTCTAGTTCTTTTTTAGGCTTTGCAATGAAATTCCATTCCTTTAATCAATATGACTTAAAAAAGACAATTATTGATTCTGAGATCAAAAGGTCAAAGACCAAGATCAGAAATTAAGATCATGAATTTCTTTAATTAAAACAAGAATGTGTTTGTGAAACACTGATGCCCCCGTATGGCAACTTATAGCAAAGGTTAAACTTCCTCAAATGCAAATCAAATAGGTTGGTACCCAAAGTAAGGTCTTGTCTCGAGGAATACACCTGTGAAATATGAAAGCCCTAGCAGCAACCATTAAATAGATATGGAAAAGGTTAAAGTTTTTTTTTTCAAAAATAAGTCAAACATCAAGGTAAAATGGTCAAAATTAATGGTGCAAAAAAGAAAGGCCTTCTCAAAAGAAATATACATTTGAATTATGAAAAACATAGTACCAATCGTTCAAAAGTTATGGCCAAAGTTTAACGTTTTTTTCAAAAGTAGGTCAAATTCCAAGGTCAAGGTCAATGGATTACAATTGTTGGTATCCAAAGGAAGGATTACATATGTGAAGTATGAAATCCCTAGAACCAACCGTTCAAAAGTTATGGCCAAGTTTTTTTTTTTCAAAAGTAGGTCAAACTCCTAAGTCAAGGTCAAAGGTCAAAGTTGTTGGTATCCAAAGGAAGGTCTTGTCATAAAGATTACTTGTGAAGTATGAAAGCACCAGCACCAATTGTTCAAAAATTATAGCCCAGGTTAAAGTTCGGTAAAATTTTCCAAAAATGGATCAAACTCCTAGGTCAAGGTCAAAAGGTCTAATTTGATGGTACCCAAGGGAATGTCTTGTCATAAGGTATACACATGTGAAATATGAAAGCCATAGCCCCAACCAGTCAAAAGTTATTGGCAACGTTAAAGTTTTTGCTTACAAACACACAGACAGACGGACGGACCAGGCAAAAACTATATACCCCGAATCTTCGATACAGGGGCATAAGAAAGACCCTTACTGACTTTAAAGCCAAGAGCTGAAAGGTCAAGGTTGACCCTTTTTTCTCAATCTGCTTCCATCTCCTTTTTTCTTAAGCGAGCGGGAACACAAATTCGTTATGGAGTGATTTTATCCAGATATATATAATGAAATGATGCATTTAAACATTAATATTAACTTCATACACATTCTTTTTTTTTGGGGGGGGGGGTGCACCTCATACACTTTGTTTTTGATGATAAGGTTTTGCTTTTATTATCACTGATAGGCCGGTTTCCCCACACTCCCAATTTCCGTTGCAGTATTGTCTAATGGATGTCTTTTTTTCTTGTCCCTCGCAAAAGGAACGTTGGAACCTAATCCCAATCAAGATTGTTTTTTGTTTGTTTGTTTGTTGTTTTTTTTTTTTTACGATTTGGGGACATTTTATAATTTCCCTCTTTTTTTTCTCTTTGTGTCGCCTGCAAAGCAGAGCGCTTACCCGGCTGTCTGTCACACCTTTTATCTTGAGAAAGAAGTATGGATTTAATATTTTGCACATATATAGCTTGGCACTATGGCTTTTGTAGTTTACTCTTATAGTAACTTTTGAACTTGACCTTTGACCTACTTTTCAAAATACTTGTACATGTATATTATGTCTAACATATATATATATATATATATATATATATATATATATATATATATATATATATATATATATATATATATATATATACACGAGGGTTGTTCGGAAAGTTCGTGGACTATACCAATCTTCGTTATACTATCTTCAAGAAATTTAAAATGAGCACATTGTCATATGTAAAAATATTTATTTTGTTTAATTGTGAAGTTTCATTCCATGTGATTTAATAGAATTCATGTTATTAAATTTTAAAATCAACACGTTTAGTAACCACGGATCGAGCAATCTCAACAACACTGTAACGTCAAAAACATACCAACATGAGGTTCTCAAAAATATCCCTATACATTTCACACAGTATTGCCCAATACCAATGCACTCATCAAAAACGTTTCTCTATCACTTGAAATCTATTTTGCTAATAATTGTTCCAGTAGCATTATTTTGTTTGTCAAGGTTATTTTTTTTTTTTTACTGTATAAGTGTGCTTTCACAAGATCATCATCTGTGAAGCGCCAAACTCTTAGCATGACGCTACTAACTTTTCAATGTTTAAAGATAATCCGTTTTCTCAGAGATCACCATCGTCTAAGCAGAGTAGTCTATCATTCAAATACCGCTTGTACTATATACACACACATGTATGGCTCGCTTTTGACATATTTCTTACTTCCTCCGGCATTTTCAGAGTTTTTTTTCTGGAGTTTTCCAGAGTTCAACACAAAATTGAACTGTTAACTGCTGCTCCGCGAGTTGTTCGACGTCATTTTTTTGCCTTTTTCAAAGGACTAACTATCTTCTGAAACTGATTTCTTTTCACTGAAGCAAAATATTAAGTCATAATTTGGAATCAGAAACGATGAAACAATTCTTAATTTGAACGTGTACAATTTTTCCGTTGTGGTGTCATTTAACAGAAGATATGACTTCAGACATTATTTTGTGTCTTGCTTGTAAATTTCAAAATTTTGATCTGCTCCGTGATCCGATTTTCGCATTTTTTAAGGCTAAATAAGTCTGAAACAAGCCACGATATTTTAAAAATTCTTAATACACATCATTTGAATTTTCTGTTGAAATATTTATTCCAAATTTGGATATAATATGACGTTAAATAAAAAAGTTATGACGATAGTCCACGAACTTTCCGAACAACTCTCGTATATAGGCTGCGCCTCGGTTGACAATGGTTTTCTTGGGGTGAAAGTTTTCAGTGTTACACTCAACTACATGCAATATTTATATAATATATAAAAATCAGACACAGTTATATATATGTAATATTATCTATGTCTCTGCGCACACAAATAACTTTCTTTATTGAGTGAATACAAAAAGTAATCTTTGAATGATCATGATAATTTACTTTAAAAAAAAAAAAAGAGTGACAAAAATCAACTACATGCAATATTTATATAATATATAAAAATCAGACACAGTTATATATATGTAATATTATCTATGTCTCTGCGCACACAAATAACTTTCTTTATTGAGTGAATACAAAAAGTAATCTTTGAATGATCATGATAATTTACTTCAAAAAAAAAAAAAAATAAAGCTTTAGTACATAAATGCATCAAAAGTTTGAGGCAAGCCAAGCGAATGATGTTAATTCTTTTTTAATGTAAATGTTATAAAAAGAGGAAAATATGAAGTTGGAAAAATCAAAAGAATAGGCAAGAAAGACGGATGAGACCATCGATCAAGGCCATGACAAAGCCTTTATGCAAAAATTAAGAAATTATAACTACCATGCCATTCGATTCAGTGGTGGTGTTAAGTATAGCGTGCGGACAAATCAGTTTTCTGGACATTAATGACCTTGACCTTTGAGATACGACCATGGATCAAAACTGTCTAACTGTACAATGTTTGAGGCATTTTTTTGGGAAGAAAAAGAACGATATAAATTATATTTACCGAAAAAAAACCTTTCAATTGCGGATTAATGATAAACATTTGATAACATGAATTTTTACATTTTGAATTGAATTCTGAATATGGATTTTGTTTTAATTATACCAGGTGTTGACTTGTCATGATGACAGGCATGTATATTTTTATAAAACTATTATGTACTTGAATTTTTTTTAATCTAATTTATTTGAAAATTTAACTACTATAACATCCTGCTAAGCACTGCCACGGGGGTAGTGTTACGAAAAAGATCATTAATTTGCTTTCTTTTTTTATTCAAATTAATTAACTCCACCATGTTCGGTTAATCACTTTCGCAAGAAAGATCCTTTTCTGAGAAAGGAAATGCATATATAGACGTCGCTGGTCGTGAAATGTGTTGTTACCTTGTAAACAAATCGTAAAACATTATCCCTAAAGCTGGAGCCTTAGAAAGCATTAACGCCCAAGTCTCGAACATGAACAGGAATTGGATGTTGTGTGTTTGCTTTCTCTTTGCAGGAGTTTTCCTGGAAAAATGTGAATGTAAGTCTGCTTTATTCATTCTAAATGCTGTTAATTGACTATAGATATCTGACTGAGAAATCACAAAAACACATGAAAAAAATATATAGTAAAAATTATTATAAATCAACACTTTTTTAATTGACCTGCGATATGATTTTTTGCGAGTTAAGGATTTGGATGTTTTGAAATTCCTAATCAGGGCAATATCTTTACTCTAAATACTGATTGCATATAGTGTTTTGTTCAAGTAAAGCAACGTCATTTTCAATATACATTGTACTTTCACAGTTGTTTTGTTTTGTAGGTCTTAATGTTCCTAAATTCATTACTTCACATCCAAGACTTGGAACAACAAATGATAAAGCGCATTCTTTGAAAACAGCTATTCTTTTTCATTATATTAACTACTTTGGAGCGTGAAAACCCGAAAAGATGCACACAATGGAGGTCAAAATATGTTTTGCGTGCATTGACGCTGCGTGCGCTCTTATTGGCGAGAGACCGAGAGACAGGAAAAGTGCGAAGAAGAACAAGTTGACAAAGCTCTGTTACCTGGCCCACAAGGGGAAGGATGTTACAAGATGGTTCACAATCGCAAGTCAAATAGCCGAGGTCCTTTGTGCCGCTTGTTCCGATTTAGTGACTGACGAGGAAAAAACAGTTTGTGAAAAGAAAATGTGTCAGTGAATATTCTACACAAACAAGGCCGTGATCGCGAAACCCGTCCAACCACATGAAATCTTCGTCTTATTAATTGATCACCAGCGAAAATGGGAATTATCTATGCCACATACATTTTTAACAATTGAACATGTTCAATAATTCAGCAGGTTTTATAATCATTACTGTGTCAGGAAGGGCGATGTTCTTTTGGGTAGTTTCGATCTTATTAATAAGAGCACTGACATTTACTTTACAATGTATTAGAAACGTGTACGTGTTTGTACCTTCTAGAGATGCTGTAGTTACTCCGAAAAATCTCTCTTTTATTGGAAGAATGTGGTTGACTAGGATAAAAAATTAAACATTTAGAGATAAAATGTATTAAACAGTATAGATATGCACATGTATGTAATAATTAAACATAGATATGTACTTGTGAGTGATGTGGTAGAGTAGCACTGAATGTAATCAATATTTGTATAATCTATAAAATGTCAAATAAATTGCAATAAATATTAATAAATATACACGTTGATTATGTTTCAGAGCATATAGATTTTAGTGGTACTTGTGATGTGGTAGAGCAGCACTGAATGTAATCAATTTTTGTATAATCTATAAAATGTCAAATAAATTGCAATAAATATTAATAAATATACACGTTGATTATGTTTCAGAGCATAGATTTTAGTGGTACACACGCTCACAACAAACATGATGAAAGTAAATTAACTCTTACCGCGAAGTAATTTTCACTTCGTGGATATGAATCAAGATTACTCCTTCTATAGTTTTTAGATATAAGTTTCCATTGTATATTAAAACTTTTGAGTGTTTAGAAAACAGCAAGTTGCCCTTAGATATGGCAGTTGGGAGGGGGAGGTCACCAAAGTGCGATATATATATTATGGCACATCCTCACAATGTCAAGGTTTTGTGATTTCGGAACTCCACGTGTGTGTGGATTTCCGAAATCACAAAACCTTGACATTGTGAGGATGATTATGGCATTTTTTAAAATCTATATTTATATGCGTAAACTGAAATTTTATTGAGAATATGCCCTCCACGACCCCCCTCCCCCTCTAAATCCGCAGTGTGCAGGCATTTACTTAATTGTTTCTGTATTAAAAAAAGTTCACTACCATTGCACACGTTGTGACCATAGCATGCGCGGACCTAGAGGGGGGTTGGGGGTCCGGACTCCCTTTCTCCCTAGAAATTGCAGAGGTATTAAAAGTATATACTGAAGCAAATAAAAAATGACTTTGGACTCCCCTAGAAAACGTGTACCCACCATCAACACCACGAAATAGGTGTTTTTCACGTTTGGGAAATGGATTTTTTTTTTAATTTTATTATTATTATTATTATTATTATTATTATTTTTTTTTTTTTGCTTGTCAATAAAATAAATTTTTGAGTTGGATTTTTTTTTTTGACGGGGTGAACCCCCCTTGTAAAAATTCCTGGATCCGCGCCTACCTGACGAATGGTTGGTGAACACCCCCCTTTCCTTCTGAGATTTTTTTAAGACACGATAACTTAGAATATATATATGAATTCCTAGTCTATCATAACAAAACTTCGTTATTTGATATCATTTTCCGTTTTTGTTAAGTTTCAGAAATTATGCAAGAGGCATTTCAGGGAGATGTTTTACAAGCCCCTTATGTCTATATCTGTATATGTATAAGGAAGGAAAAATTACCTTGGAATCCGCCTTAGGAAACACAGATCCCACTTGAAATGTGAGAAGAAATTCTGAACGAAATTGACTTAGGAAAGTGTCTTCCCAAGAAAAAGGGTTTTCAGGTATGGGGAGGTTGAATAGTTTTTTTCTGTTTGTTTGTTTGTTTGTTTTTATTTATTTATATATTTTTTTTTTGTGAGTCAAAACATTACCGAGTCTGACATCTGTTAGAGTTGATGTGGAACACCCCCTCCTGGAAAATAAATTCTGGATCCGCGCCTGCATGGGAGGGGACCGTCACAGGTGGCCTCAAGATAGCCTTCAGACCCCTTTCAAGTGTTTTAATGATCAAATACGTGTATACAGGGGAAAAAAATACTCAGTGGTACAGTATATTTTAGTTTGCTTCGAAACCAAAGTAGTTTTTGCAAATCCAATAAAAAAGCCGTAACCTACCTTCGGCCAATGAATTTGTTTCCCTCGTCCAATGAAACGGTAAGAAACTGATGCCTATGGTCAACTTTCAAGTCTGATTGTGGTAATCAAAAATAACATAATCGTACTTGCCTTACTCTTATTTTAGTCTTATGGGGTTATTGAACTTGGTGAATATACATGTATTTGCAAGAGTTGGCTGTACAAATGCACGAGCTTGCGACTGCATTTGCACAGTCAACGAGTGCCATAATTCAAAAACTCCTTTATTATATGGCATTTCCCATTGATTTATCTTATTTGTTTCAATTAGATAACTCAAATTAATGAGGATGTTTTGGTATCAGTATATTTAAATTAAAACTGTGCAATATCAGCGTCTATCCTGAAAGTGTACAATATCACATCATTCCAATCATTGGCGGATCCAGAGTGGTGTTTTCGAGGGGTTGGATCCCCCCTCTTTGTTTCTACCACGTGGAGAGGTGGTGATGAAACGTGTTTTCTGGAATACATATTTTTGCGTCTACCTAATATGATTCAAATATAAACATAGTTCAAAACAACTCGATCGGCAATCTTTGTCCATTCCCTTACTAGGTGAAGTCTCGCGCATTTCCTTTCGTCCGTTACCTTCATTATCCTCCCTTTCAAAAAACATTTTCATTTATGAGTGAATGATAGAAAATATATTGCTAAATTTGATATACGATAAGTAACATGCGAGATTTCAATTTGATATTCTCAAATTGAAATCTGGCGAAATTTGGCAATACCATTTTCGAACATCTTCTAAAGGAACTTACTCAGTAAGTCATTAAAGGGAGTATGCGTAAGAACATTCTTCTAGCTTCCTCAGTGAGTGTGTTGAATGTGTGTGTGGGGTTGGGGGGGGGCACCATCCTGGAACCCTCCCTTTCAAAAAATTGCTGGATCCACCCCTTGCTAATGACCATACCAAGCGTTATGATTTGCTTATTGAGGTTTTCATTGAGACTAACAAGACAGTACTAAATTATTAATTTCAATTTTTTGTGTAAAAACAGACACATCTTTCCTAGCTGCATTTACCCAATGATTTTTGACCTTGTAACAAGGTAAATGTCAGGAGTTGCCTCACCCTTTATTTGTTTAAAATTTATTTGTCCTCTCTCTGAAGCCACTTGAAAATCATCCCTGCTATTATTACTTTGTTATTTGGTATTTATGTAACCGTTCTTGTAGAAATTAAAAATAACTGCAAGATGGTATAGGGTTGGATTCTTAATATTTATTCCGTGGAGATAGTTGATTTCAAGATGAAATAAATGTTTTAATCAACCCTAAAATAACAATAACAACATATAAATACATAGACAACATATAAACAAGCACATTCACTTTACAACACAAAACGATCACAATTTAAACACATAAAACATTCATTTAGGTCATTACTTTACACTTCATACGAACGCATTCAAAGGGCGATAACTCTTTGAAACTCTTATTGAATTAATTGATATAAATTATGTTTCTCTATACTGAAATATTTACAATACTTTATAAATATGAGTTTAACATACCAGTGTATGGAACTGAGTGATTACACTGTATTCTCTCACTCGGATGACTTTAAGAGTTTACATGATGACCTAATAGATTAATAAATTATAAAATCATAATAATTCAAACCTAGATCTGATTTTTAAATGATCTACATGAATTAGATTAAAACATATCTTGCTCATACTTTACAATATCAATCTTAACTTTAATAACTTTAGAACCTTCACTCTAGCACATTCATACTCATTTAGCAAGTTTGAATCTAAAATACTTTATTTTTATTCATTATCTTTAATTTTAGTTTATGATCATTAGATGCAGTTTATAAAAGGATTACTTCGGTTTATGGGCGTTTAATATACTCCAAAATATCAAATTTAAATAATCAGACACAGAACTCTGACTACACCCTTCTCAGACAATATCTCTGAATGGAATAATAAAACAAAGGTTTCCCGCCTGAATGGACATCTCTGACCAAACAATGCCAACTGACCAATAGAATGTATGAAAACAGACAAAACCCTTATTTATAAATAGACTAATCCATATATCTCCTTAACCAATAGTCTTTGGGTTAAACCATTATTTAAATAGGGATGTTTATGATTTTAAACATATCAGTAATGCATGCGCAGGCAGCGCTTGTGTAAATGTATGGATGAATGAATGAAGTGAAATTCCTGAAATAAAATATACATTGATTAAAATAAAATAAAACTAAGTACAACTATCACATTTATCTTACTTTATTAAAGATTTAAAACTTTATTTTAATATTTATTTGTTACTGGACCAGTCTCACTCTAGATAGGCGGACTCCAATTTGCCTGGAAAATATCTATTTAAAGGTTAAATACAGTACAAAAACGACTAAAAACTACAAAGGAAGTATGAAACATTTCAATAGTAGTGGCTGAATGCCCAACTACTGCTGTTGAGGTTTTTCAGAAGAGATGTTTATTAGTCTCGACGAATCTCGCTGAGATTATCTACATGTATCCTTTATTATATAAAGTGTCAATAAATTTGTAATTTAGGCGCCTAAATATTTTTGGTCATGTGACAAATGTCATGTGCTTTTAAAACACATGATATCAAAATGGACGATGGTCGCTGCCAACGAAAATTATTTTTCATATGCACTTTTGTCCTTTCTGTAGCTGTAATGATTTGATTATGATTATATTATTTGTCTTATATAAAATTTGAAATTTGGCCGTGCTTTATCTAATTCAATATTGAAGTTAAATGGGATGGTTATTTTTATTTATTTTGTTGCATAAGAGTTTTGGGTAATGTGAAATGTACATGTATTTGCTTCTCAAATTGTGGTCTTCGAAATAAAATATGCGTTTAAATGTTTTCTTCTTAAGAAATACTTTCCGTTTATTCATTATCATAGATTTAAAATTCATCAACTTTTCCTAGTGATTATTTTAAAATACTACAGAAATGTTTAGGGCATGTTGTACATTTAATATACTGATATAGACATGATAGATGTCTTGTGAAGCATGCGACCTAGATTTTAAATTGGGTCATTTTGTGTTTCAGCTCCTAATTCATGGACTCCATTCCAGTAAAGATGCAACCAATGTCAAGTTTGTCCATGTTATATTTATGAATCATTTAGGTAAGCATGGTTAGATTTTTTTGTATGAGAAAATTTTTAAGCATTATTTTATACCATCCTCACAATGTCAAGGGTCCTGAGTCAATTTGTTGACCAAACCAGCTGACATTTGATATTCTTTCAGGGAAATAACAAATCTTGACGGATCAATCTCTCAACCAATCACATTAAAATTTTGGTGATTAATTAGCAACCTGTAACATGTGCATTGAGGTGTCAACTGCTTACTTTCTGCTTATGTTTTATATCAACTGAAAGCTCCGATTGGATTGCTGCTTATCAATGAGAGAAACGATCTTGTAAAAAAAATTAAACAAATGAATTAAATTTGTCAAGTTGTCAAACGGCATTAACAAGTGAACTCAGGATCCCTGACGTTTCAAGGATGTATTTTATACACAGTGAAGAGTATGATTTATTATATTTGACAAATACTAAATTTGTGTGGACATAATTTTCAAAATTAGAGGATCCAGATTAAAGAATTGAGATCATAATAACAACAATTCACAAAATGTATTTTCAGTGAAAGAAATTATATCACTTACAACGATGTGCATTGAAATTGGTAAAATTATTCATTTCAGTGGAGGTTTTGATCTTTCTTATAGAACTTCAATTATTTCATAATCTCGCAGGCATTTCTTCAGAAAAGAAAATGCAATATTCATTACAATTTTTAAGGCACCCCATTCTAGCAATGCAAGTTTTGCTGAAATTTTATGAAGTTAAGTACTCAAGAGAGTGAGAGACTCCCCACTTTTGTAAAACTTGCTTATTGTAATGAATATCACAGTACATAATTATGTGTTTATCAATGTTCATTGAAGTTATCATGTGTATTTATTGAACACAGCTTACCTGCTGTTTATCTGGTTGGCTTTTGTATATATTCCAAAACGTATTATGTGTTTTTCATCCCAATTTTTTTTTTACATGAATATTGTTTTTTTTTTTTTAAAGATAATTGGTCCAAGTAATTTTTTTTTTTTTTACCAATTTCTGATTTTACTTACATAAATTTAGAACTTTATGTATTGACCATCATGTTTCTGTTTAATTTGTTTCAGATGTGGGTTATGATGGGATCTCCCCAGAAGTAGGATTTATAAATAACATTCTCAATAAATACTTTCATGAATACTTTCCGAGAGCTGTCAATTTGTCCATACAATTACGAGCCGCAGAATATGTTGAAAATTTTGTGTATACAACTCATCCTTGGCTGGTCAGCTTGTTTTTGGATTGTCCAGGAAGTTTCAAACTTACAGACATCCCTCTTATGGTAAAGTTTATTTACCTATATTTATGCATAAATATTTACATTCAGTGTTATTTTCTTTATGAAATCCATTGGAACTACAACATTCAATACCCTAGAACCACGTGGAACCTTGTCACTGCATGGTAGAATACACAGTAGGAACTATATGCATTTTCAGTTCTCTAGCCAAACCAAACCAAAATGTAAATTGTTTTCTTCAATTTAATTAAAACAAATACCCTATTAAATTATGCAAAAACTGTCATTTTTTCCACTTGCAATATTCAATTGCATTGTTTAACTTTCCACTTCACAACGGGTCTTTTGTCTATTAAGCACATCATTGTTGAAAGATGCTAAATTCATTATGAAGATTAACAAAATAAACAGTTATGAAGAGAGAATTGGAGAATGTAGCTACACATTGAATTCTTATTTTTGGATGTCGTCGGTCCTATATTATAACAGCACCTGTCCATGCCGACATATTATCATAACGCACTAACGCGTGGTATTTAATTTGTTAATACGGCCAGGTGCTGTTATAGGACCGACGACATCCCAAAGTAAGAATTCAATGCTTAAGTAAAGAAGCTTATTTTAATTGATTTGCTACTCATATTCTTTGACATACATGTGCAGATAAGTTTGGTTTGCTATATATTATAAAAGATTTGTTCTTCCTGTTCAAGATTGAAAACAAATGATACAAATACTTTGCATTAAAACCATGAGTTGTAAGTAATCTTTTACACCCAATTAATCTTATCTAATTAATTATCATGTCTATGTTAACCAGTGTCCTAATGAAACTGAGAAGGAATACTTTGAGGCAGCTATTAAGAGAGGAGACATAACATGGCATGCTGGTCCAATGAACATGCAGCCAGAGAACATGAACAACCTGCTCTTCCAGATGAGCCTGAACATGAGTTTTGAACTAGACAAAAGATTTGGAATTACAAGATTGTTTCCGACACTGAGTCAGAGAGATGTACCAGGTAAGATTATATGTACATTGCACCTACATGTATACTCAATATATGTTATCAGTGTGTCAATTGAATTTCATATCAAAAATGTTATGCTCAGTTAAAATTAGAAATTGTCATCCTTTAAAATTTGTTGACATAAATAAACACAAATCCATATAATTTATGAAATTAAGCCATATCACTTATTTTTACTTTGTTGTTGCAAATGTTTTCTTTTATATAACACTATTAAAAGCAATGCATATCTATATCCGTATAAACACGGGTTCCTCACGTCATAAATGTTCGACGTAATTTCTCAGTGACATCATAAAGGGTCAACACGCAATCAATGGATCGAACACATACGGTTGAGTTTGGAAAATAAAACATTTCACACATTAAAGATTATAATCAGGCAAATATATAATATAAATAAGTCACAAATGTAAATATAAGTAATAAGGTATCATTTTCGGGCTTTATGGAATTTGATCTCGTGACCAACCTGATAGATATTTAAAAATGATACCTTATTTCTTAAATGATTCCATTTTGTCATGTTTTATTATAATAAGGACTGACACAGGCAGTGATTCCTAGCCTGGTGCAGAGGGGGGTTTCTGCTGTTTCTGTTGGGGTCAATCCAGGCACCAGTCCCCCAGCAGTTCCTCCACTTTTCAGGTGGAGCTTTGAGGGTGATGAGGTTATGGCAACATGGCATCCAGGTAATTTAATTTTTATCATTCATAATGTAGTAGTGGATTGTATGTTGTAAGTTCATTGCATGTGTAAAAGTTGAAGAGAGAAATGTGACAGACCAGGCCAGGATTCGAACGCGGGCCCCTTGAATCATTAGTCAGGTGCTCTACCAACTGAGCTATTTGGCCACCAGCAATCAAACCAGCCTGACCACCACATATGTATAGACTGACAAAAATAAAATTTGGGAAGGATAAGCTGTGAAGTTTATTTTGAAATGTTTTGAATGGATTTAGGAAACATTTAGTGAACTTAGAAAAAAATCTGCCTGTACATTTCATTCATGTAATGTTTGTATAATGTATTTTCAGGAGGTTACCCACTGGGACCAGGACCAAACCCGGCCCGCCCAGGAGGGTTGTCGACTAAAGACTGTGTGGTGAAGCCAGGATTTGAACATGCTCTCTGTTTTGCATTTATACAAGATAATGGAGGTCCACCAATTGATGTCCTGGTAAATGTGTATAATACCTGAATTTGTGCACTCTATTACTTTGAAAAAATGTATATGAGAATTATTCATATTAAGTAATGTTTAATCTTTACTTTAATCCTTGGAGATATTCATTTTCCTTTTCATAGTGTTGGTTAAACGGATTTTGTATAATATTTGCAGGAAATTTTAGGCAATTATGAAATCCTCAGAAAAGAATTTCCAAATGCTAAAATAAAAGGATCCACATTTGAGGATTATTTTGCTGAGGTGAACAAGATCAGACATAGTCTGCCCATTATTAGACAGGAAGTGGGCGACACTTGGATACAGGGAATATCATCGGATCCTTTCAAAATGGCCACCTATAGAGCCATAAGTGAAGCAATGTCAGACTGTGTAATCTCAGGTAGCAAATTCTAAAGGTGTACGTTTTCCTAAGTATATGTAACAGTTATATTAGTGTATTTGTTCGAGTGCCAATGAATAAATATTATATATATGATTTATGTACAGTATTTTATGTAAACGTTTATAAAAATCTTTTTATATAGAATTATTATTACTGCAAGTTGCAAATTAGATGTTTAAGAGTTTTTCATTACAAAAATAGGTGCCTGCAATGTGTCTGATCCAAGCATAGTGAGTGCCGTTAGGCTGCTCATTAAGTTACCAGAACACACATGGGGTCTTCCAGGGGTAGGGGACAATGTAAACTGGAGCAACCCACAGTTTAATGTAGCAAGATCAGGTAGGCACTCAATGTGTTAGTAAAATCAAAATTACAACCCACAGTTTAATGTAGCAACATCAGGTAGGCCCTGGATGTGTTAGTAAAATCAAAATTACAACCCACAGTCTTATGTAGCAAGATCAGGTAGACCCTGGTTGTGTTAGTAAAATCAAAATTACAACCCACAGTTTAATGTAGCAAGACCAGATAGGCACTCAAAGTTTAATGTGACAAGATCAGGTAGGCACTCAATGTGTTAGTAAATTCAAAATTACAACCCAAAGTTTAATATGACAAGATCAGGTAGGCAGTAGATGTGTTAGTAAAATCAAAATTACAACCCACAGTTTGATGTGGCAAGGCCATGTAGACACTTAGCATGATTGTAAAATCAAAATTAGACCCAACATGATTGTAACAAGTATGTAATAGATTATCAATGATGTTATGCCAGTGTTGGCTTTTTTTCATCTCAAGGCACTGAATAACAGTGTATTAACAGTTAGGATATGCATATTTCAATTTGCCCGGAGTGTTTGATAATTTTTCCAAGTAGTAGGAAACAAAATTTTACCACAGGATTAAATTAATTCTATTTGAAGGTGAGAATTTTAGAAACTGTGAAAAAGCTTGGCAGGAACAGAGAGCATTTCTTGGAATGACCATGGATCAGCTAAAGAATGCACAGCTATTGTATGATATGATTGAACAAGCCTTATCTCAGTTGGTGCCACAGGAGCCAGATCTCAATGGTTAGTCTATCTTTTGTTTTACCACTTGTTGAGCTTTAGTTAATATTTTTATCCCAACAAATTTACTTATTTAAAAAAAAATCTTTTAATTCTAATTCTTATATGAACTTTAGTCTGGTGTTATTTTTATGTTCTATGATTTATTTACTGTTCTTCGTTTTATATTATACTTGTTTTTACATGTAATTAAGGTATGTCACTCATGAAATTTATTATGTCAAGGATTTTTTGAGAAGTAAATTTTAGATAAGTACTCATATAGCATGACTCAAAATCGGAAAGAAAATGGGGGGTCAGTGTGCATCATACTGAGCTACGGTACAATTAAGATGACCTTTTTGCACTTAAATTGTAACTATTTGGTTAATCACTTTAATCTTTATCATATTTTATCAGATGTAATTATGGCAATAAATATGATCTTATTTTACGTAAAATAGTTTGAATAATATTTATCATTGAACAAATCATGCAAATTAATGTGCATAAATTGTGTGACCTTTTTGCACTAAAAAAGTATCATATTTGAGGCACAAAAAAATCTAAGTATGCAATAAAATATTTTCTTGTATCAAACTTTTTATGACTTGAGTGCAGATTTGTTGGAAGTATCGTGTTGTTTAAAATAATGAAAGAAAAGGTTGGGGTCAGTGATGTAAATTTTGAGATATTGGTCAAAATGTGCGATTTTCAAGCAAAAAACGATGTAAATTTTATCATGACTTATTTAACGAGGTTCGCTCCTGAGCTTTTGAGCAGATTTATATCTTAACCTATATTTCAAAAATTCTGCATAAACTTTTAATTCTTACAATAATTTTGGATTCTACAATGTGAATTAAACTATATTCAGTTAAAACTCCGTGATTAAATTTCATACCAAAAGCATTAAGTGATGAACTATATTTTGTGGCGGAAGGTTTTTTTTTAGAAGAAAATGATCATTTTTTTCTCTTTCGAAGTATTTAAAGTATGTGAAGTTTGGATTCCTATTTTTACATGCAGTCTGCACACAGAGTTATTTTGTGCAGTGAACTGTTTTATACTGGTCCTAAATTATATATTAAATAAAATGGAATGAATTCTATCATCGTATTTGATAAATATAGCAAATATATTGTGAAAATCAGGAAAAAAAATATCCTTATTTTAAGCTTAAAATTAGCATTATTTTAGAAATATCTAAAAATTAACATCACAGACCCCCACTTTTTATGTTCTTTTCTGAATATATAAAATATTTTTAACCATTCTTCTTAAATTCAGTAAAATGTCATTACCTTCAAATGATATTTTTGCTTGTTAAATTTTTAATGCCAGAAAAATGAATTTTTTTTTAGTGCAAAAAGGTCAAATAATTGAACATGCGGAGTAATTTGAAAATGTTTTCGTTGTCACAAATTTTAATGTGTCTATTCAAGATGAAATAAGACTGTGTTTGTTCCCATAATTTATTTGAATAAAAATATTGGAGGAAAAACTTTAAAAATTGATTTATGTGTAAGACGTATTTACAGTGCAAAAAGGTCAAACTAAATGCTCTGTAGCGCCAAAAGAAGTGCATTGACCCCCATTTTTTGTTTTAATTTTTAATTAAGCTGTGTGTATAAAAATATACTTGATAAAAAATTCTCATTACTTTTGGTGGCAGGATCCAACCTATGTGAAGATTTGAAGAATTTTTTTCTAAATATCCTTCCACCTCAAGAAATAGTCCCTGACATAAATCTTGTTTCTTTATGAATTTGTGAGTAGTTTTTTAATTGAATGTTGAATAGTTTGCATTGTTTAATTTAAATATGTTATAAAAATTGAATTGTAATAAATAGTTTTGAAGTTAAAGGTTCTGACTGAAATTTTCTAAAAAGCTGACGAGTGACATGCCTTAAGTGCTTTAGGATAATTGTAGAATTAGATAAGGTGCTATATAAAAGTAGAATAATAATACTGTTACTTAAAAATTGACAACAAGCTTAATATATTTTGATTAACCTTAAAACACATGGAAAACTGAAATATTTTTGCATAGATGAGATGGACCATTTCATTTTAGTATCTGTTGTTTTAAATTTGATTCTTTACAACATTCTTTGATATTACATATTTTAATGTATTTACAGCATATGAGATATTACATATTTATGTATTCACAGCATATGAGATATTACATATTTATGTATTCACAGCATATGAGATTGTCAGTGACATGTCGGAGACTTTTAAATGTGAAGATGGAATGAAAATCCAATTTGGAAAGGATGGATCAATTCTGTCACTATATGACCCTTATAATTTTGTAAGATTGAATTTTTAATAGGGAAATATTTTGTAATACAGAGAGTAAAGAAAAATTCATTTTCCTTAAGGAGGGATTCTTGTCTGGTTTCTGACTAGATGAAATATTCAAAGTATATTTGCTTATATGTTTTATATATTTAGATGTAAGAGATTTAAAAGATCATATTTTCTTTCCTCATCACAATTGTACAACTTTAAATAGATATGGTAAACTGAGTTTGAAATCTAGCAGGGACTATATTTTTGGCGGAATGGCGGCGTATGAAAATATCTTCTTTTCTGCCTCTCAAAATAATTATAGAACAATGAATTTAGTTATAATTTTTACATAATCAAAGACTTGGAGAAAATTTTTAAATGTAAGTTAAATTAATAATAAGGGACTAACGTTTTAAAATATATGAAATAAATATGATTTTCCAAACAAACTAATTATGTTAGCTTTTAAAAGCTTCCAATCTAAGTTCAGATTTGAGCCAAAAATCCGTAAAAAGTGTTTTTTCTCTCTTAGTAAATGGTCAAAACTTTTTTGTTTTTATATCATTTTGTATCTTGTGATAACTTTACCATATGTGAAAATAAGAAAAATTTAAATATAGGAAGCATATAAAAATAACTAAAATATCTTAAAATTTGAAGAAAAATAGAGAAAATTTGGATTAGCCAATATCCATTTTAGATAAATTATTTATGTCAATTTGGTAATATCATCTTATAGACCCTATATGGTAATATCTCTTTATGCAAAAAGAAAAACATTTGATTTATTGAAATAGAAGTAGGCATCGCATGATTGGCAACAGTAATTTTTTTATTCTTAATGTCCAGGGAAAAGGTACTGACCTTGACCTGACCTTGCCTCTAATATAAAACGGTCAAATTTAATCTAACTGATACCATCACTTAGTAATATTGTCTTCTTGATTCTGTAAAATTTCATTGATTTTTAAATATAAGAAATAAATGTTCTTATGAGAAGAATCCCTCCTTAACAATCTGCTTTATGAACAGTAATATTTCAGTAACATTAAAATTATGCTTTTTTTCTCCAAAATATAGCATATTATTTTTCTCTTTACCTTACTCTATGCATTATAAATTACTAGTATTATTTGTTGTTTGAAACCTGCTCAGGTAGAATGGGCAACAGGTGCCCCTCTAGGACAGTTTCTGTATGTCACCTATAATGAGACAAATTTTATGGACATGGCCAAGCAGTATAACTATTATGGCGGAGCAGGGTACGACAAGAAAAACTCCACTAAAAATGCCCATCCTGAATCTAGGCCTTGGTCAACAGTTCTCAGTCAAATGTACCGAGCCAAAAAACCTGGTAATTCAACTTATCCCATACTTTTGATATAGCTTCCACTCATATTGATGATTTGCTTACAAAAATCCATCCTTTTCTCAATTTAACTACATGTAGATTCAATGTACATGTATTTCTTAAGTTCCTAGGAGTTGGTGAATAATATTCAATCTCATTTTGTTATACTCAGCTTTAGATAGTTGTGACATTCTACTTAAGCTGGTGATGGCAGAGTCAAAAAGTCACACATGGTATGGTGCCCCAGAGTCTGTGTGGATAAACTACAAGTCAAGAGCTGAAGGTAAACTCTTTGTTCTCTAGATAAAATTGTTAGGAGCTACGTTTCATAATTTATATTTAATCCTATATTTTATCAATAAGGGTTTGATGTAACATTGCAATGGACAAACAAAACACCAACTAGACTTGCAGAATCAATAATGTACTTCTTCAGTCCAGCTAAGAAGAAGGGCTTTAATTGGAGATTATCTAAAGTAGGCCACCTGGTGGACCCTGGTAATGTTATTCTAAATGGAAGTCAGTATGTTCATGGTGAGTTGAATATTGTAATTTTAATACATGTTTATATTTCATTTTCATTTTGTCTGTCCTTTCATTTTGGCATCATGATAATGAATTTGATTATCATCAAAGATCATTATATATCCATGAACATGTACATATTATTTTAGAAAAATATCCCTGAAATGCCTTTTGCTTGGTGGCTATTCAAATGAAAATTATCTTTCAAGTTTGAATCCTAATAAAAATTGATTAATGAAAGTTATGTGTTTGTCAGTGAAGATTATTCTGCTTGATTACCAATGCATACCTAGAACTGAGGTTAATTTTACCATATTTACAGCTGTTGACAGTGGCGCTTATTACATCAATAACATTGGACAAGGTCTCCAACTCCTTACTCCGGATGTACCACTGGTTTCCATAGCAACAAAAGAAAGACCACCATCACCTTTTCCTGTTCCATTAAAGCCTATTTCACAGAGTGACATTTCTGGGGTAGCCTTTAATTTGTTTAATAATATATGGAATACAAATTACATATTGTGGTATCCGTACAATGATGGGGCAAACTCTTCTAAACCTGGTGATTTTAAAGCAAGATTTCAAATTAATTTTTATGTCCCATAGAAATCATGGCTACTTTTATCATCAATGAATCATCAGTATTCAATACTCAATGATTTTTTTTCATTGCTTTTTAACTCACTTTGGTAAAGTTATGGGAAGCTCTCCTATCCCTGAAAGACCTACTTTCAAGTAACAATAAACCCTAGCAGGACCAAGCTTGCAAGGGTGATACATCTAGGGATCAGGGCTCGAAATAATTGATGGCCCGCTGGTCTGGGGCCATTGAATTTTCAATCTGGGCTAGTACATTGCAGAGGGCACGTGCCCTTTGGGTCAGCATTTTTTTTATGCATAATAAAATTCATTCACAGTAGGGCGAGTTAATTGGACAGAGTTGTGTGTCCCAACTTCTACTGTTTCTTGTTTTGTTAAGTTGTACTAAGTATCACAATATAAAAAAATATTACTATTATTATTATGGTTTTGAGCCAGACTTTTTAAAATCTACTGGGCCAGTGGGACAGTGAAAGTACTAAGCTGACCAGTAAAAATTTAAGGCGATAGCCCGAGTGACCAGTAAACAAAAATAATTATTTCTAGCCCTGGGGATTCTTACTAACAGTCATGCTTTGGATGGTGACTCCGACAAATATTTTTCTTGATGAGTGAGGAGGTTAAATTTTTGGAGGAGGTCCATTTTAAAGTAACTTTCAGCACTTTATGAATCAAACTTACATGGATGATGCATCTAAGAGTGCAACACTACCAGACTTGCTCTGAATGCTGTTCGTTGCATTGTACATGTATATGGATGGCGATTCTAGAAATATCAACTTGCAATTTTGCTCAAGCTGCTGCAAGTAATCTGTATTTTTAGCTGCGTAATCAAGTATGATACAAATATTGGAGTCATTTGGTATACTGCCGTACTTATACTGTAGATAACATTCCTCAAGGAAAGCTATGTACATATACCTGAGCTTTTGATAACTTACATTTTGCTACTCTTCAACCTTCATTATATACATTTATTTACAAAAGTTGAGAGAGAATTTGAAATTGTATTGTGTAAAAATGTGATATTATTCACTGTATGAAATAAGTTCAGAAAGAAAGAAAAATACATATATAAAGGCAAAGGGACACATACTACGGTTAATAACTGATTGTCACAGTACTAGGCATTTCTTATCTAACCAGTTTTATTTTCATTGACTTTAAGTTTTGATTTTACTAACAGTCTGTGATAAATGAATTTGTAAAAATTTTGTAATAAATTTGGAAATAAATTTAATTTAAAATAGAGTAAAATGTATTTTCCTCATTTTAGTGCTAAATTTATGCATACTTGTTGAAGACTTTATCCCTTTGTCTGCCAATGCTAATCCTCTTACAATTTTTCCCATTTTCAATCAGGAGGCCTATGCTCAATAGATACCAGAGTACTCTACAAATCATGTCCACAAAATTGGCAGAGAGACTTTAAAAATGACCATGACCTTTAAACCTTTTGTGGTGGTCAGATGGATTCGATTGTAAGTGGCCAGATAGCTCAGTTGGTAGAGCACCTGACTGGAGATTCAGGGATTTGAGTCCTGCTCTGTCCTTCACGTTTTTCTCCTCTCCTGTTATATTTGGTGCTGTGACAGGTGAAAGACCTGCCAGGGAAGAGCCTGGGTTGGTGTCTTCAGGGGTGAAGCCTTCAAGGAGAGAGGAATGTGGTGGTCAGGCGGATTCAGTTGCCGTTTGAGCCAAGGATATCAACCTGGGTAGCTCAGTTGGTAGAGCACCTGACTAGTGATGCAGGGGTCCTGGGTTCGATTCCTGGTTCAGTCATACATTTTCTCCTTTCTGTTACATAATTTGGACTTGCAGGTGAAAATCCTGCCAGGGGCAATAAGAACTTGCCCAATGGGTTGTGTCTTTGAGGGTGTCGACAATTTTAGGAGGGAGGAATGTAATGGTTTGGGCTGTGGATATTGGCCTGGATAACTCAGCTGGTAGAGTACCTGACTAGTGATGCAGGGGTCCCGGGTTTGATTCCCTGTCTAGCCATAAATTTTCTACTTTCCTGTTACACATGTATAATTATACACTATATAAGGTTTGGAATAAAAATGGTCAAGATGTTGTTTTAATAATTTTATTAATCTTCCTAAATGGCTAAATTATAATCAACAAAATGTCATGAACTTTCATAACATAATCAAAGCAGCTTGACTCCAACTTTCTACTGGATCTCTTAACTTATAGCACTATTCCACTGCATCTATTACATTAAATAAATAAACTAATCACTTGTTCTTTAGTAATTACTTGGAGAAACCATAAATAACAGTTGAAAAAAATTATACAAGAATTTATGGAATGCAACTCAACAATTTAAAGTTTACAGAGAGACACAATTAACATAGCTCAGAACATCAAGATATTCTATACTATAGTTTAAAAACTAGCTTTAATGTTTTTTTTAACATATACACTGCTTTAAATGTCTACAATAGAAATTACAACATACTGTACTTGTAATTAATGCTCCTATTTATTGCAAAGGTCAAAATATAAATAAGAAGATAAACATGCAATAATACACAAGTTGAAAGGCATCATTATTATATATATACATCATTATACATGATGGAAAGCAAGAGGTACTGAGATGAGAAACGAGATGTACACTGGTCTGGTTTTAGCTCTTTCAATATACTTGTACATGCACAGTAAAACATGTATAACAAACATGCATAAAGCAAAACCAGTAAGCCTTATAGCAATCATCCTTTTTTTTTAACCATGCTAGGAAATAAGATAACAAATTAATAATATTAAGGACCAATTTTTGGTTGCCTCTGCAGTTTCGAACCATGTCTTTGAGATGTAGTAGTTGATGCTCTAGCAACATTTAAGGAGACAAAGTGACAATTTGAGATCAGTCAGCATCTTGATACAAGTATTTTTTTGGGAGGGAATTTAAAATATTTTTATATGTATGTTCTAGTGGTGAGCATATGCATGTACACCAATAAACACAAAATTATGAAATTAATATACATTTAACATTTAAAGTTTACTTACTAAGTTATATATTGAATGCATTCTAAATTTTATTTTGAATACCATTAGTAAGAATCTCATGTTTCTTTTAAATAAAATTTTTCTTCTCAAATTATTAAATCTAAAAAACTTCCAATGTTATAGGGAAAGACTATATGTGTATCTCAATAAAACATTGTTGAAATCAAATACATGTATGTTTTAACACTGATACATGTAGTTGTTATCAATATTTATGATTTTAGATCAAAATTAACATTTGTTCTGCTTTTAAAAGTTTAAATTTTAGAATTTCCTACATTTTGTTTAAATATGCTCTACTAGTCATTTATTCAAAAGATAAATATCCATGCAGAATTTTCCTAAGGCCATAAAATATTAATTAATAGTTTCTCGGGTCAAAAATTTCAAAATTCTATGTGGCAGGCAGGTTCTTTTTTTTTTTTTTTTTCTTTTTAGAAGCATGTGTTTTACCTTTTTTTCATGTCAATTGTTTAAACAAAATGATGATATAAACTGATTTTTACTTTTTTTTGTTCTCTTACATCAATTATAATATGTATTCAACTTTAAATAATGTTATTCCAAACAAAGTTAATTCATAAAATACCATATTAACAAGAAATGTATCGTTTATCTAATAAAAACGTCTATCTATTAGCATTTATGAAAAGGGGAATAACTAAATTTTCTTTTTCAACTTGGAAAACTAGAAAATTGAGTTATTTCCCTTTTCAATATGTCAATAAAATTGATCAATGCGGTAGTGTTTGACCTGATGCGGCGGTGCCTGAGAAACTATTGATTATTTTTTTTGGCCTAATGATCAATTATTGGTACATTTCTTGTCACCAATTTTGAAGCACAAGTCTCTGGCAAGACTAAAGTCTACTGTTGTGTACATATAATGAAAAAAAAATTATCTTTGTTTAGTCTACTGTAATGTGTATAAAGTTTTGAGGAAATTGGACCAAAACTGTAGATGTAATGTTTTGAAAGAACTTACTATTTTTAGTAATCATGGCAACATCATTTGTCAAAATCAGATACAGAATTTTATGAATATTTGTATTTTAGTACTTTCCTATTTCACCAAGACTGATTATAAAATCAGAACAAAAATGTTAAAGGAGTAGCATTTTGAAAGAATTTCAAAGAATTTTCTAATTTTAGTAACCATGGCAACAATGTTTGTCAAAATCAAAGAAACATTACACAGAATTATGTATTTTAGTGTAGTCTACTTGTACTCCAGGTCTTACTGAAATCAGACCAAAACTGTAGGAAAACTGGCATTTTGATGGAATTTCATAGAAATTTCTATTTTTACTAAAGATGACAGCACCATTCATAAAAAGCTGATGAAGAGAATGATATATCTTAGTAAAGTTTACACAGAAGTAAATGTATACATACAGTGTACATGTATGTAGATAGAAGTATGGACAGCAGAAACCTTACTATTAAATGCATAAGTTCTCCTGGTCTCTGACCAGTAGATCTAAAAACCACAACAAAGAATGTACATGAAGTTTAGTTCACAGACCTCTTAAATCCTTGCAGCTATGATTTTCATGCATATAAAATATCTGCAAAGTATGTAACCTATTGTAAGAAATATAACCAGAAGTCTCTGATGAGACTGTAGCTCTACTGGTCTGTTTGTATAACAAAAGAAAAGTAGCACTTGGATTTGAAACATTGCAACATGCAACAATAAATAGAATTATGTATCTTAATGTAGTCTACTTTTGTGACAAGTTATATTGAAATCAAATGAAAGCTAGGAGTAGTAGCGTTTTGAAAGTATTTCACGGAAATTTCTATTTTTAGTAACCATGACAACACCATTCACCCAAATAAAAAAAAACAGAAATACATATTATGTATCGTAGTGTATTCTAACTGTGTGCCAAATTAGATTGAAATCAGACCAAAATTGTAGGAGGAGTAACGTTTAATGGGAATTTCACAAAAATTTCTATTTTAAGTAACCATGGCAACACTGTTCATCGAATTCAAAAACCAATGCAATAAATTATGTATCTTAGTATAGTCTTCTTGTATGCCTAATTATATTAGAAGCAGACTAAAACTGTAGCAGGAGTAGCGTTTTAAAGAAATTTCACAGAAATTCCTATTTTTAGTAACCATGGCAACACCGTCCATCGAAATCAAAAACCAATGCACTAAATTGTGTATCTTAGTGTAGTCTACTTGTGTGCCAAGTTATATTGAATCGGACTAAAACTGTAGGAGGAATAGCGTTTTAAAGAAATTTCACAGAAATTTCTATTTTTAGTAACCATGGCAACACCGTCCATCGAAATCAAAAACCGATGCACTAAATTATGTATCTTAGTGTAGTCTACTTGTGTGCCAAGTTATATTGAAATCGGACCAAAACTGTAGGGGGAGTAGCGTTTTAAAGGAATTTCACAGAAATTTCTATTTTTAGTAACCATGGCAACACCGTCCATCGAAATCAAAAACCGATGCACTAAATTATGTATCTTAGTGTAGTCTACTTGTGTGCCAAGTTATACTGAAATCGGACCAAAACTGTAGGAGGAATAGCGTTTTAAAGGAATTTCACAGAAATTTCTATTTTTAGTAACCATGGCAACACCGTCCATCGAAATCAAAAACCGATGCACTAAATTGTGTATCTTAGTGTAGTCTACTTGTGTGCCAAGTTATATTGAAATCGTACCAAAACTGTAGGAGGAGTAGCGTTTTAAAGGAATTTCACAGAAATTTCTATTTTTAGTAACCATGGCAACACCGTCCATCGAAATCAAAAACCGATGCACTAAATTATGTATCTTAGTGTAGTCTACTTGTGTGCCAAGTTATACTGAAATCGGACCAAAACTGTAGGAGGAGTAGCGTTTTAAAGGAATTTCACAGAAATTTCTATTTTTAGTAACCATGGCAACACCGTCCATCGAAATCAAAAACCGATGCACTAAATTGTGTATCTTAGTGTAGTCTACTTGTGTGCCAAGTTATATTGAAATCGTACCAAAACTGTAGGAGGAGTAGCGTTTTAAAGGAATTTCACAGAAATTTCTATTTTTAGTAACCATGGCAACACCGTCCATCGAAATCAAAAACCGATGCACTAAATTATGTATCTTAGTGTAGTCTACTTGTGTGCCAAGTTATACTGAAATCGGACCAAAACTGTAGGAGGAGTAGCGTTTTAAAGGAATTTCACAGAAATTTCTATTTTTAGTAACCATGGCAACACCGTCCATCGAAATCAAAAACCGATGCACTAAATTATGTATCTTAGTGTAGTCTACTTGTGTGCCAAGTTATATTGAAATAGGACCAAAACTGTAGGAGGAGTAGCGTTTTGAAAAATTGTTTACAGACAGACGGACAGACAGACAGACAGACAGACAGACAGACGGACGGACGACGGACACCTTACTATCGCATAAGCTCTTCTGGTCTCTGACCAGTAGAGCTAAAAATAAGAAAAGATTATGAAATGATCCTTATGTTCTAACATGAACTGAGGAAAACAATACACAATGTCTAACTTTAAAGAAACGCTCCGAATTAATGTATTATAGCCTACTTGTTCTAGAATAACATCATTTTAAAAAAGTACCCATATTACATGTATTCCAATACAGTCTAAACATCAGAAGAGTCTTTGTTGGAATGATAAACTTTTACATTTAAGTCATGGATTTTTTTTTTGGAGTAAGATGATAAAAACACTTACAAGTCTAAGTTACAGTATACAAAATATAATAACATGTACATAAAATAACTTTACTAGTGGTAATTTAATGGATAACTGATATCACAGTGCAACAAGTTATATAACATGAAAATATTACTCTCGTTATCTTTAATTATAATATATTCATGATTATGCAATGAATTCTTAAAGGATAATATTGTTCAAAAGAGAAAAAAAAGGAAGATGACAGGCAGAAAAATTATTAACGTCACACAAAATTTTAATCGATGACTTAATTACCAATATAAAAAACAATTACTTTACTAGTATACCAAATTATTTTTATACATTTACAACTGCTCAAGTATTCTTTTTTCCTAACTTATAAAACCTTCAGATAAAAGTGCCTTGTCTACCAAACTTTTGCTGGGAACTTCTTACAGTGTATTCAATCCTGTTGTTTTGTAAACTTTTCCTTATAATCTTGATATGACTCCATAACAAAATTTTCCATTAGATATCAGTATTTCAAAAACTCATTTCAATATGCAGTTTTTACAAGCTCAATTTTTCACAAGATGTAAAAATTTCTTCCCTAAAACAACAAAAAATTGCAATGTACATGAACAGTGAAAATGAACTGTAATAGAAGTCTTAATGTAACTTCAAAGTTGAGTATACCTGTATTGAGTATACCTGTACTGAGTATACCTGTCCTAATTATACTTGTAGTACTTGACATTCAGCGATCACAAGCAGATTATAACACAAAAGTATGTCAACTTCTCTTGTCTGATTATGCATGAAAACACTGTGTGGACCACATGCACAACTTTCCCATATAAATTCTTCTTTTTCCAACATGATCAACAATTCTTTTTTTTTTTCTTGAATGCATTCATTACATCCATTCTGCATTCTGCAAACCTGTTGAAAAGCAGGTAACATGCATGTGCACTTCGTTTAAAAGATTGCACTGAAGAGTAATATGTATTAGAGACATATTGCAAAATACACATTGCCTAACTTTTAGCTTTATATTTTATTGTTTACTGTAGGCAATTTGACAACGATGTAATAATTGGGGAAAAAATAACTATAGACTACCCCTGTGAAAAAATATTAGACTTACAACATTATACATGTACATGTATGTATTTGATGTACAAGAAAGTGAAGACAACATTCCAATGGAATATATATATCACAACATCAAAAGTGTATACAGAACATATTGTGTACCACATATTATTATGAATAATAACAAATATTGTAATAGCTATTTCTAACTTGTATTTAGAAGCCAATGTCGAGATTTTTCATACACCACATAACTAATTCCAACAGCTGGAATAACTTTCATAAAGTTTGGTACAATGCCTCTATATAGTCCTGTAAAACCATCCTGTTTCACAATCTTCTTGAAAAGTCCTACCATTGAATCAGCTTTTGCACCTAAAACAATCAAATCAATAATGAATGACAAAGAATAAGCCAGATTAGATGGAGAAATCTTCTTTCCAGATTTTCTGCTGGCATGAAGGCTTTGCATTAAATATGAGGGTCAAAAGGTTATCAAGTCATTGTATCACATAACCAGAAGTCTCTGATGAGACTGTAGCTCTACTGGTCTGTTTGTATAACAAAAGAAAAGTAGCACTTGGATTTGAAACATTGCAACATGCAACAATGAATAGAATTATGTAAACTGTAGGAGGTGTAGCGTTTTGATAGTATTTCACAGAAATTTCTATTTTTAGTAACCATGACAACACCATTCACCCAAATAAAAAAAACAGAAGTACATATTATGTATCGTAGTGTATTCTAACTGCGTGCCAAATTAGATTGAAATCAGACCAAAATTGTAGGAGGAGTAACGTTTAATGGGAATTTCACAAAAATTTCTATTTTAAGTAACCATGGCAACACTGTTCATCGAATTCAAAAACCAATGCAATAAATTATGTATCTTAGTATAGTCTTCTTGTATGCCTAATTATATTAGAAGCAGACTAAAACTGTAGCAGGAGTAGTGTTTTAAAGGAATTTCACAGAAATTTCTATTTTTAGTAACCATGGCAACACCGTCCATTGAATTCAAAAACTGATGCAATAAATTATGTATCTTAGTGTAGTCTACTTGTGTGCCAAGTTATATTGAAATCGGACCAAAACTGTAGGAGAAGTAGCGTTATAAAGGAATTTCACAGAAATTTCTATTTTTAGTAACCATGGCAACACCGTCCATCAAAATCAAAAACCAATGCACTAAATTATGTATCTTAGTGTTGTCTACTTGTAAGCCAAGTTATATTGAAATCGGACCAAAACTGTAGGAGAAGTAGCGTTTTAAAGGAATTTCACAGAAATTACTATTTTTAGTAACCATGGCAACACCGTCCATCGAAATCAAAAATTGATGCAATAAATTATGTATCTTAGTGTAGTCTACTTGTGTGCCAAGTTATATTGAAATCAAACCAAAACTGTAAGAGGAGTAGCGTTTTAAAGGAATTTCACAGAAATTTCTATTTTTAGTAACCATGGCAACACCGTCCATCAAAATCAAAAACCGATGCACTAAATTATGTATCTTAGTGTAGTCTACTTGTGTGCCAAGTTATATTGAAATTGGACCAAAACTGTAGGAGGAGTAGCGTTTTAAAGGAATTTCACAGAAATTTCTATTTTTAGAAACCATGGCAACACCGTCCATCAAAATCAAAAACCGATGCACTAAATTATGTATCTTAGTGTAGTCTACTTGTGTGCCAAGTTATATTGAAATTGGACCAAAACTGTAGGAGGAGTAGCGTTTTAAAGGAATTTCACAGAAATTTCTATTTTTAGTAACCATGGCAACACCGTCCATCAAAATCAAAAACCGATGCACTAAATTATGTATCTTAGTGTAGTCTACTTGTGTGCCAAGTTATATTGAAATCGGACCAAAACTGTAGGAGGAGTAGCGTTTTGAAAAATTGTTTACAGACAGACGGACAGACAGACAGACAGACAGACAGACAGACAGACAGACGGACGGACGACGGACACCTTACTATCGCATAAGCTCTTCTGGTCTCTGACCAGTAGAGCTAAAAATTCTGACACACACAGATGTACAGACACAATAATTACTATAAGGCACCAGCAACTTGGTGTAGAACCTACAATATCATTTTCCATTGGTTTGTCTATATTTATAAATATCTCAAAAAGACCTCTGAAAATATTGATCATAACATAATAAACCAATGTACTACATGTACCAGTAAAGACACAAAATATTTTATTCAATGAACATACCAGTAAAAACTCAAATACTGAACACAAGGAACAGGCCATACTGGCTAAGCAATATACATGTATTCATTATAGTGTAAATCTTTACTTTTGCAAAGGTAAAAACTAGTGCAAAGGCCAAAATTCACATGCCTCCTAAGCCCTATAGCCTGCTTTTGCAGATTTCAGACTAACAGTAAAGAATTATTGAGATGAAATCTATGCTTTGTTTCATAATGATAACTACATATATGTACTTCAAAAATAATCATGTAAATGAGAGTTCAAAAATCAAAATAGGTGTACAGATGTTAAGTCTACTTCCCTACCTTGAGCTTGGAGTTTAGTCCGTACAAGAGCTAGAGGATAGCTGGCCAGTTGACCAGCAGTACAGCTAATGGTTCCACATCCAAGCAGCACAAATATCCCAGGGTTTTTGTTTTCATATGTTTTCATATACAATTTCTTCATTGTCTAAAATACAATTAAAATTTTACAAAAATTTTCTGAAAAATATATAAAAATACATATATACTATAATATATGTAAGTTTAAATATACAAGTATCCTTAATGACAATTGATTACTGTTTAAAACATAGGCGTCGGAACCGGGGGGTGGGGGGGGGATAGACAAAATATAGGCATTGAAAACTGGGGCTTACCTCTTTCTGTTGGTTTAGCCCCCCACCCCCACTTTCAATTAGCCACCCCACTTTCAATTTGCTTCCGACGCCTAAGTAAAAGATGATACCCCGGTATACTGTATAAAACATTCTTTTTTCCTTAACTAGCTTTGAAATTTATTTCAAAGTGTACTTAAGAGCAGAGATTTTTTATTGGGTGGTAAATCTCAGGGGCTTAATTTTACAGGTGTGGATGTCTGGAGTCTATCTGCGGTCATGTTCTCTGCTAATCTCTATATACACAGGAAGTGACTTGATTCACAGTAAAGAATCATGCTGTGGTTGAACTTAAACTATGTTAGATTTACTTGTAATGTCACTAGGGCAATTTTAAAATTATTGTAAAATATTGGAAATGAATTACTCCTATTGTTTTGAATTATAATGATTTTTGCTTGTATTAGTTTTGTATTTTTTGATGTAGAAAATGCAACATTTCTCCATAAAGTTTTTATAAAATAATTTAACATGATTAGAGGACATTTGCCATCAGACAATTATACATTTATTTTTAATTACAAGGAAATGCATTTATTATAGACCGATGCAAGTCTCTGCTTACTTCGGCGGATTTTAATTTCTGACTATATAGTGGTCATGTTCCAAAACTTCTTATAAATCTTTTTTTAGTTTGAATTATTTATTTTTTATTTTTTTTTGGGGGGGGGGGGGGGGGGGGAACAGTGCATACATGTAGGGATTTTCTGACTGACAAAGTTATCTATTTGGTCCATCTTTGATGTCCTCAGAACCGTATTACAGTTGTTATGACCGCTAATAAATTAAGTCGTGATTTTGTCACTATGTATCGAAAAGTGACGTTTATAAATTTTCAATCAAATAACACCTAAATTACAAATAATTAATAATAAAAAATGACGATTTCAATGAGGGTCAGTATTTTCAGTTTGGCTTAAAATTGATGTACATGTAAATTTGGTGTACATTCTCCATAATGATCAATTATACCGGTACTTTGAATTGACTTATTAAAATATTATAACCTAAACATAATTTAAAACGTGTATCAATAATCCATTATAAAAAAAAGATTTTAGATGCTGCATGTATTTAATATTTCACCAAGTTAAGAAGGAATTTTGTATCAGTACAGTGTCTTTCTCGCACTGGTATAATACGGTAATCATCAAAAGACTGAAAGTTAATTTGACAATCACCAAGAGCCCCAGACAAGGTACCTAAGGATGTAGAAGGTATACATGGGGACTAAGAACTAAACATCAATTAATTTCTAGCACCGAATCTTGGAGACCTTAATTTTTTTGATTGATGGGGATCCCAGACCAGGTAAATTTGGAGGAGGTGCTTATTTTCTCTGATGATCTTTAATGATTATACACAAATATTTTAAAAACTACAAAACAAAAACGTTTGGATCCTCACCTCATAGACAGCTAGATCAATTCCAGCATATGGAATAATTCCTAGTAAATTTGGTACATAGCCTCTGTAAAACACAGCGCCACCTTCTTTTGCATAAATTTTCATAGCACAATCAAGAATTCCTTTATACTGGCCAGTCTTCCTGATAGCAAGTCGAGTTTTAAGAACCTGTTGAAGCATTTCAAATTGTGTTATATCATCTTTAATAATTTTCAATCAAACTCTTCCACCTTTAATTCTAAAATGTGAGATGGTTCAAACTTTTGTGTACTAACAATGTCTGATACATGCCTAAATGTTAGATATTAATCAATTTCAATTTAGAACATACTAGTTAGACATCAAAACAGATGAATCCAGACCTTATAGATCTGTTACTACCCCTTACCTCCATTGGGTAGATAACGGTTTGGGCCGTTGCTCCAGCTAATGACCCTGCCAATAATCTCTCTGCAACAAGAAGTTCCTCTTTGGAGTCTCCATGAATCATTCTCTTAAACTGTAGATCACAATTCTTAAAGTTATTGTTTTATTGATTACAGTTACACAGAAAACAAGGCCACCACAAAGTGGAGCATCCCTTCCCAAAAGAGCACATTTCTAAGAGGACTTCTAGGCCACTTTTAAAATAATGTTTGTTTGCCCTCTTCCAACTCAGGGTAAAAAAATTGGGTTGGTAGTTAGATGAGAAATCCCCCCCTTGCCGCTTAAAGCTTAAATATAAAAGTGGTCTCGACGTCTGATCTTCTATTGAGGCCTTGCCCTACCCCCAGGGACATGATTTGAACATACTTGAATCTACCCCACCTGAGGATGCTTCTGAATTAATTAATATGACTAATCATGGCTTTGCTGTTCTTGAGAAGAAAATTTTTATTCATATATCCCCTAAATTCCTTTGTATAACTTTGATCCCCTGTTGTGGCCCCATCCTACCCGCAAGGGTCATGATTTGAAAACCTTGATTCTACACTACCTAATGATGCTACCATAAAAATATGACCAATAAAGGCTTTGCTGTTCTTGAGAAGGAATTTTTTAAAAATAATTTTCCTATAAGATGTATTCCTATGTAAAACTTTGATTGTACATTGTAGCCCTACCCAACCTCAAGGGCCATAATTTGAACAAACTTGATTCTAAACTACCTGAGAATGCTTCCATATCAATATGACCAATCCTGGCTTTGCTGTTTTTGAGTAGATTTTTCCTATGTATAACTTTGATCCCCTATTGTGCCTCCTCCCCCCCCCCCCCAACCATCATGATTTGAACAAAATTGAATCTACACTGAGGATACTTCTATATAAATATGACCAATCATGGCTTTGCTGTTCTTAAGAAGATTTTAAAAGATTTTTCCTACGTAAAAATTTGAGTGCCCATTGTGTCCCCATCCCACCCCCGGGGTCATGATTTGAACAAACTCGAATCTACACTACCTGAGAACGCTACCATATCAATATGACTAAACATGGCTATGCTGTTCTTGAGAAGAAGATTTTTAAAGATTTTTTCCTGTATATTCCTATGTAAAACTTTGATTTCCCATTGTGGCCCCACCCTTCCCCCGAGGGTCATGATTTGAATAAACTTGAATCTACACTGAGGAGAGGGTTTCATATAAGTTTCAACTTTTTTGGTCCAGTGGTTCTTTTTAAAAGATAACATCACTACTTCCTAATAATCTCCCCTTGAAAGACGACATGGCACTTCATTTGAACAAACTTGAATCCCCTTTACCCAAGGATGCTTTGTGGCAAGTTTGGTTGAAATTGGCCCACTGGTTCTGTAGAAGAAGTTGAAAAAGTGAAAAGTTTATAGAGGGACGATGGACAAAATGTGATCAGAAAAGCTCACTTGAACTTTCAGCTAAGGTGAGCTAATAACGATTAATACAGTCAAACCTTGTTATCTCGAACTTAACATGACTAAGAAAATACTTTGAGATATCCAAGGATTCAAGATATCCAGGGTAAAAAACTTAAGAAATAAGTGCTTGGGACTTCAAAATCACTTCAACATATCCATGGTATACATCTCAATTGTAGATGCATAATATCAGCCCAAAGTAAACTGATTTCTAGTGTGTAAGTGTATTCAAACATGATACTTTCAGAATAACAATGTAAGATTGGTGAAATCTTTAACAGACTTTGGAAAAATTTAAAAGTAGATCTGCACAATTTTTTTCCAGGCAACTAAAATGGGGAAAAATTACATCTACATGTACTAGTCTAAGAGAAAAATTGGATATAACCATTTAGAACTAGGTGAATAAATGAAATGTTTTTGGCACACATGTATGTCTTGTTTTATTCAAATATTACATGCAATTTGTTTTTACTACTTTCAATTCTGTATCATAAGGTTTATTACACATAGATGTGCAGGAAACTATATCATGTGTGCAGCATGAAAAACTGAGTTTAAAAACAGGTCAGAATTCCTTATACCATAAGATACATACAACATGTGCGCATCGACCAAAATATAGATGAAAAGTTGGATAAAAGTATGCATGATATAACACTATTTAAGACATAATGGTAATAAGATAAAATTCTCCAAGTACTGTACCTGCTCATATGCCATAAATTTTAGGGCAGTCTCTGGGGCTATCTTGATGACATTCACACCATTTCCTCGCCACATGGATTTTACACCACCTTCCTCCAGCATGTGTTTGAAACCATTTATTACACCAAATTTATTTTTGCTTGTTCCATGCACCTTTCAAAAAAAAAAAAAATGAATGTTAATTTTGATAATTATGTTAATATAAAATGTATGCATTCTGACTGATGAAAGGCAATTAAAGATTATGCAGAAAGAGGAAAATTTGCTCTGAGGTTAGAAACAAGCCAATTAACATGATTAAAGTGACCCTTACACCTTTAAACAAGAGGCCCAGGGGCCACATCCCTCACCTGAGCACCATGGCTAGGAAAAAGCAGAAATCAGTTCAGTCTTGAAAGGTTGAAAATTTTTAATTTAAAAGTGGTTGGGGGGGGGGGGGGGGGGGGTTGTTGATTTGAACTAACTTGAATCTATACTTCATAGGGATGCTTTTGAATTAATATAAAAATTAATAGCTTTGCTGTTCTTAAGAAGAAAATTTTTATTGATATATCCTTTGTTATGAATTGAACAAATTTGAATCTACATTACCTGAGGATGCTTTCATTTTGTTAAAGATTTTTCCTACATATATTCCTATGTAAAAATTTGATCGCCCATTGTGGCCCCTACCTACCCCCCAGGGTCATGATTTGAAAAAATTTTAATCTACACTACCTGAGGATGCTTCCATATCAATATGACCAATCATGGCTTTGCTGTTCTTGAGAAGAAGATTTTTAAAGATTTTTCCTATATATTCCTGTATAAAACTTTGATCGCCCACTGTGGCCCCACCCTATCCCCGGGGGTCATGCTACCTGAGGATGCTTCCATATAAGTTTCATATTTTCAAACACAGTGGTTCTTGAGAAGTAGATCTTTAAATGATGCCATTAATTTTTCACGAATTCATAATTATCTCCCCTTGGAAGATGGTGTGGCCCTTGATTTGAACAAACTTGAATCCCCTTTACCCAAGGACACTTTGTGGCAAGTTTTGTTGAAATTGGCCAAGTGATTCTTGAGAAGAAGATGAAAATGTGAAACGTTTACGACAACGCCGACGACAACACCAACGACAGACAACTGACAAATTTTGATCAGAAAAGCTCACTTGAGCCTTCGGTGAGCTAAAAAGATGCTGTTTCACTTTTCTGCGACTCAACACTGCTTTTCTCTGAAAAAAAAATCCTGCTTTTCCGTGACAAATCATACTGCTATTCTGAGATTTTATATTTTGCTTTTCAGTAACTTGTTTAACATATACCTGATGACCACCTCATTTTTCTAACCAATCACAGAAAAGCAGTGTGAAGTAGTTGGGGAAAAAGCAGATGCGGCTAAAACTAAATCGCAAAAAAGCAAGACGGCCAAACAAGGAAAACCATAACTTTCCAGGACCAAACCAAGGTAGCTCTTGTTAGATTATTTCATTCATCTTGAATGCAATGAACATCCTTTACCTGTAACATGACCTTGATCCTATCCAGAGGGGCTGTACATGTCCTTGACACCGCCCCTGCCATGCCTCCAGCCATCAGATTTATCCTCCAGATCCCTGTCTTCATTTCTTTCTCGGTGAAGTCATCTGGTACAATGATGTTTTCACCAACATCTATCATCTACAAAATTTAAACCAAACTTCTATCATTAAACTCTGGAAAGCTTGTGTTTTCAATAATATTTATTTTAAAACTTTTAAAATATGTTAAAAAGGAAAACTCTTTTCATTCATGTAATCAACTTATAAAAAGAAAGATTTTTTTGTATGCAGTTTTAAAAGGTAAAAAATTATGTTTCTTCCCTTGACAAATATTATCCAGAAAATATCTAAAAAAAAGGAATATTTTGCACCAGTAATAGAAAATCTTTACTTCAGATATAGTCTTCACTTTATATTTCATATATATGTACACATTCATTGGAAATTAAATGTAACTATCATATTACTTATTATGCATAATCCATTCAGGTTTTGTGAATGTCTTGAAGAGACAATTCGGAAAGTACTTGCTCCTCTAGTTTTTGTCACTCTTTCTATAAGATTTGTCCCATTTAGTAGTGGAAGATAGGCTTAGAGTGAATTATTACACTCATCATCAGTAAATAGTTGGTCAATGAGGTAAAAAAAAAACAAAAAAAAACAAGAGGCCAATGGGCCACATCGCTCACCTGAGCACATTGGCTAAGCAAAAGCACAAATCGGTTCAGTATTAAAAAGATTACCGGGGGTTGGATGGGGGAAGGGGGGGGGGTGTATTTTAAACTACCTGATGATGCTTCCATGTCAACAGAACAAATGGCTTTGTTGTACTTGAGAAGATTTCACAAAATTTTCCCATATATTCCTTTGTAAAAATTTGATCCCCCATTGTGGCTCCTCCCTATCCCAGGCTTCATCATTTGAACACTTGAATCTACACTACCTGAGGATGCTTCCATATCAAAATGACTAATCATGGCTTTGCAGTTCTTCTTCAGAAGAAATTTTCCTATATATTTCTATTTAAGACTTTGACCCTCCATTGTGGCCCCACCCTACCCCTGGGGGTCATGATTTGAACAAAATAGAATCTACACTACCTGAGGATGCTTCCATATAAATATGACCAATCAGGGCTTTGCTGTTCCTGAGAAGAAGATTTTTAAAGATTTTTCCTTTATATTTCTATGTAAAACTTTGATCCTCCATTGTGGCCCTGCCCTATCCCCGGGGGTCATGATTTGAACAAATTTGAATCTACACTACCTGAGGATGCTTCCACATGAGTTTCATCTTTCCTGGCCCTGTGGTTCTTGAGAAGAAGATTTTTAAAAGATGTTATTAATTTTTCACTAATTCTTTATTATCTCCCCTTGAAAGAGGGCGTGGCCCTTCATTTGAACAAACTTGAATCCTTCACCCAAGGATACTTTGTGGCAAGTTTGGTTGAAATTGGCCCAGTGGTTCTTGAGAAGAAGTCGAAAATGTTAAAAGTTTACAGACAGACAAACAGACGGACGCCGGACAAAAAGTGATCAGAAAAGCTTACTTGAGCCTTAGCCTCAGGTGAGCTAACAAGATACTTTGGAATGGATCTGATGTAGAAACTATAACCAGGTTATGTATACTGATATTCAGATGAGGTATCTATATATTAGCCTTACCCGTGGTGTATACCATCCCTTATATGCATTTTGGCATATAAGAAGAAACTAAAGAATGGACCAGCTCCTTAAACTCTGATATTGTCATGAGTCCAGAAAAAAAAAACCCATCATATACATGTATATATTTAATAAAAAAAGGGGGAGAGGGCATTTAATATGAAACTGGTTTAGATCTCATGAATGCTTGGTATGATTTATTTGTCAAGCTTTGTTCTATGGAATCTACTGAGAATACCTGTAATATGGTATGATTAAACATATCCTTACACAAACAAGGTGGGGTCATTAAAATACAAGAGGCCCATGGGCCACATCGCTCACCTGAGCACATTGGCTAGGCAAAAGCACAAATCAGTTCAGTATTGAAAAGATTACCTGGGGTTTGGGGGGGAGGGGGGGCTTGAATTTTAAACTACCTGATGATGCTTCCATGTCAATATAACAAATGGCTTTATTGTACTTGTAAAGATTTTAAAAAACTTTTCCCATATATTCCTTTGTAAAAATTTGATCCTCCATTGTGGCTCCTCCCTCTCTCAGGGGTCATCATTTGAACTTGAATCTACACTACCTGAGGATGCTTCCATATCAATATGACTAAACATAGCTTTCCTGTACTTGAGAAGAAATATTTTCTCTATATGTTCTTATGTAAAACTTTCGATCCCCCAATGGGCCCCATCCAACCCCTGGGGGTCATCATTTGAACAAAATTGAATCTACACTACCTGAGGATGCTTCCATATCAAAATGACTAATCATGGTTTGCAGTTCTTCAGAAGAAGATATTTCCCTATATATTTCTACTTAAGACTTTGATCCTCCATTGTGGCCCCATCCTACCCACGGGGGTCATGATTTGAACAAAATAGAATCTACACTACCTGAGGATGCTTCCATATAAATATGATCAATCAGGGCTTTGCTGTTTCTGAGAAGATTTTTAAAGATTTTTCCTATACATTTCTATGTAAAACCTTGATCCTCCATTGTGGCCCCGCCCTACCCCCGGGGGTCATGATTTGAATAAATTTGAATCTACACTACCTGTGGATGTTTCCATATAAATATGAACAATCTGGGCTTTGCTGTTCCTTGGAAGAAGATTTTTCCTATATATTTCTATGTACAACTTTGATTCTCCATTGTGGCCCCGCCCTACCCCCGGGGGTCATGATTTGAACAAACTTGAATCTACACTACCTGAGGATGCTTCCATATAAATATGACTCATCATGGCTTTGCTGTTCTTGAGAAGAAGATTTTTAAAGATTTTTCCTATATATTTCTATGTAAAACTTTGATCCTCCATTGTGGCCCCGCCCTACCCCCGGGGGTCATGATTTGAACAAACTTGAATCTACACTACCTGAGAACGCTTCCATATAAATATGACTCATCATGGCTTTGCTTTTCTTCAGAAGAAGATTTTTAAAGATTTTTCCTATATATTATTTCTATATAAAACTTTGATCCTCCATTGTGGCCCCGCCCTACCCCTGGGGGTCATGATTTGAACAAACTTGAATCTACACTACCTGAGGACGCTTCCATATAAATATGACTCATCATGACTTTGTGGTTCTTGATAAGAAGATTTTTAAAGATTTTTCCTATATATTTCTATGTAAAACTTTGATCCTCCATTGTGGCCACGCCCTACCCCCGGGGGTCATGGTTTGAACAAACTTGAATCTACACTACCTGAGGATGCTCCCATATAAATATTACTCATCATGACTTTGCTGTTCTTGAGAAGAAGATTTTTAAAGATTTTTCCTATATATTTCTATGTAAAACTTTGATTCTCCATTGTGGCCCCGCCCTACCCCCGGGGGTCATGATTTGAACAAACTTGAATCTACACTACCTGAGGATGCTTCCATATAAATATGACTCATCATGGCTTTGCTGTTCTTGAGAAGAAGATTTTTAAAGATTTTTCCTATATATTTCTATGTAAAACTTTGATCCTCCATTGTGGCCCCGCCCTACCCCCGGGGGTCATGATTTGAACAAACTTGAATGTACACTACTTGAGGATGCTTCCACATGAGTTTCATCTTTCCTGGCCGTATGGTTCTTGAGAAGAAGATTTTTAAATGTTGCCATTATTTTTTCACTAATTCCTAATTATCTCCCCTTGAAAGAGGGCGTGGCCCTTCAATTGAACAAACTTGAATCCCCTTTACCCAAGGATACTTTGTGGCAAGTTTGGTTGAAATTGGCCCAGTGGTTCTTGAGAAGAAGTCGAAAATGTGAAAAGTTTACAGACAGACAGACAGACGGACAGACAGACAGACGGACAGACAGACGGACGCCGGACAAAATGTGATCAGAAAAGCCCACTTGAGCTTTCAGCTCAGGTGAGCTAAAAATTTGGATCATTTAGTAGACTTAAGATGTTTCTAATGGTTTGATCCAATAAATACATGACTAAATCTCAAGTGCCAAAATCTAATATTTGATCTCTATTTAAGCAAACTTTCTTCAGCAAGAAGACATATAAGATAGTTCTGGTTAGCTATCACATAAAACTTACAAATACACCTCAACATACAGGACACCACACTGTTAGATTGAATCATGCATGTAAAGAAACAGATTCAAAGCTCAGGGATACAAAATTTTGAAATGATTCTATTCATAAAACACAACTTTGAGTATAAAATTTGTGCAATGTGTAAATTAAATTGTACTATTCAGCAATATAATCACTTAAAAAAAAACAACAAAATATCTGGCACGAAATGGAGGCTGGGAGATCAAAATAAATACCTCGACATTTAGCATACAACTTTTAGTTATAAATCTGCTGTACTGGTTACATTGATCAAAGAAATAAAAAGTTTCTTTTTGTTCAATTTCAGTAAGAATATATTTAAGTATTCACTGATCTAGTTATCTAGTCTTTCTTGAAATCTTCACCAAATCACTTTTTGTAAGAATATATGATGATAAACATTTCACATCTAATACTGACAATTAATGTAAAAGTCATTTTATATATATGCTCGAGAATTAATGATAAGAAGTCAATGATAACCTATACTCACCTAGTAAATACTTACACAGTTTCTCTATAGGAAATAATTGACAAGAAAAAAAAAGAGAAAAATCTGATAGAAAAAAACATAGCAGAGAGCAGAGAGAAAACTATAATTTCCTCAATTTTTGAAGAGCTACTTCTTTTCTAAGCTACATATCCATGTCTCCTCTTTATCGTTTAGTGACTCTAGCATAAATTATTGTTGATTATAAGAAAAGTATTAGTTCTAAGGATTCCAGTTTACTAACGTATACACTAGCATGCATTCAACAGTTTTTAATCAAATTAACAATTATTAATGCTTATATATACAGAAAGGATTTGGATATCAAAATAAAATATAATAATGATGCAAGAGGAGAAATTTAAATAATAATATGTTTTACTTACAGAGGCATGGCGCCAGTGTTGAAGAATTTCGTTTATATTCTGAGAAGGAGAGAGAAGCAGAAAATCCCTCCATTCTGACCATTCAATTTTTAGTGTACCATCTTTGTCCATTCTGGAATAAAATATGTCACATTTTGAGTCCTAGCTAAATCACACAATTATTGGCATAATTTTGACATTTACTTCTAAGGGTATGTAATATTTCCTGGATCTTTGAATCTTAAAGAATTAAGCCAAAATTTATCAGTCTCTTGGAAATGAAAAACAAATAGCCTCCAAGAAATTTACATTAAAAGTACTAATGCCCCCCCCCCCCCCCCCAAATTACAGGCCATCATCGGATACCCATGGGTGATCTCGTCTTTTACTCATCACCCGTGGGCAAACCTGGCGAAAAACTCATCATATGTAATTAATATGTGCGGGTCATTTGATTGGCTGCTGCACAGAGCAATATCAAATCAACGAATCAAAGTTTACGTTACTTTTCCATAGTCAACACACTGATTGCAAATAACAAACTAATGAACATATTTTCAAAATTGAAGAGTTCCAACTTTCTTATTGGTTGTCTATAATCATCAAATTAGCATATTTTACAATAATATTTCAGGAATTAAATTTTCCCAAAGGTGATGAGTAAATGACGAGATCACCTGTGGGTATCCAACGATGATTACAGGCTAAGAGTCCTATCAAGTGGTCTAGTCCCTAAAGACAAATCACCCTATTTCCTTTTCATCACAATATTAAAAATAGAAGTGTCAGGAATTAAAATGCCAACAACAAACTAACCCAAGATCAAACAATTTCATCATGATCTAAAAGCCTTCCTTTACCATGCATGTTCCATTTGTGGTCTAATAATTAACTATAATGCATTCTGTTGTTTGACTCTGGATTGATAGTACACACTTTATCCATGCAAGTTTATTTAACAATGGAACTGCAGGTTCTTGGCAAAAAAAATACTCAGAAAAAAAAAAGAAGACATCTACTCATTCAGAAAATATATGTCACATTCCAAGATGCTACATCTTTGCAAAATTGGTTAAGCTAGGCTCTTTAGATACTTGGGAATTGGAATGAACCTGCTCACAGAAAATTTGACCACGCTACATGGTTGAACCATGCTAAATGACTTTCAGCTAATCATTTAGCAAATATTCTGTATTATGTCAGATGCAGCACCCACATCCATATTGGAACTTATTCACATTTGCAACCTAAAGCAAAACATCTCCTAACAGCACTGAATTCTTGATATCCTATATTTAGAGTTTGTGCAACAAGCTCTCATAAAGAACCCATTCCTTCTGAGTCAGAAACTATAATGGATGTTTACACGATAGATCTTTCATTTTTTTCCTACCATTATTTACATATGTATGAGGAAATTCTTCTGAAAAGCTTCATGTTTTAATAGGTCCCTTTTGGACATCCAAAGATCCTAGGGCCAAAACTGACTAACACCTTGCCATGCTTACAGCATATCTACATAATAATATGGCCAACCATATGTCAATAGAAAATGAAAAGAGTTCTGATGATAAAAAATTGTGACAGATGGACATACAGACAAATGGATGAGGATAATATACCTGAAATTTCTGTAAAAAGAGCAGGTATGTTTTGAGTTAAAAAGATGCATCAGTCTCAAGTATGATTCTTGAAAACTTCAATCAATGTATAATGTGAAAGATAATATGACATTTCCATCATCTGAAGACTTACTTGGACAATAATTTATCTGCTTCACTTGGCTCAATGGCAACACCAAGTCTTTTAAATGATTCAATAATTTCTTCTCTATCAATAGACCCTGAAACATTAAAATTTCTCTTGATCAGAATTTGGATAACTTATAAAATTGCAACAAAATAAATAATAATAAAACATAGATAAAGTTCTCAACTACTGTAGTTACTACTGTAAAATCACACATTTTCATGGGGTCAAATTTTCATGGTTTGCGGAAAAAAAATATATTGGTTTGTGGGGATTTGATTTCAAAGAAGTGCTTAGTTGTTGTATGTAATTTTATATTTTGTTTAGGACAGGAATTCATGTGTTTCTTCATACCACGAAAACAATGTAAATTATTAAATTAACCCCCACGAAAATTAGTGATTGCACAGTACTGTAATTAAATATTGCAGGTGAGCTAAAAATGCAAAGAAAAGTGCTCTCAGTTTACAATTGAATTTACAAATTCTCACTCTTTCAATATGTTTTAAATACTAACTATGCTTAGAGGATAAGCTAGTATGTACTAAATTCATCATGTGTGTTTATTTGTAGTCTTACAACAATACAAGAAGTAACAAAACCTCCATTTATTTACAAACAGAAAACTTAATGACCTCAAGCTTGGATTAAATTTTTAGCCAGTAATAATAAGACAGAAATTGATACTCAGTTTAAAAGGACGCACCATCATCATTTGTGTCAATTTTCTTGAAATACAGCCGTAGTTTGCGCTCATGATCTGTGACATACTTAACAAATTCTGCAAAGTCGATCTGCCCATCTTTATCTTTATCATGCTTGTCAAAGAATTTCTGAAATAACAAAATTTCATCAGATATTATAAAGGGTGGCATAAATCAAATACATGTATGATGTATATAATTTATAAAATTATCTCTTCTTCAGACCTAAACTGCCTGAAGAAAAAAGCACTAATTTTGCATTGGGTGATTTGGTTTACATATAAATTTACAAAATAAAGACTGGTAACTGTTCCAACTGTTCATGAAACCCACTGGATAAAATGAAGGGCTAATGAAAAAAAATGAGGCACTGATGGTCAATATTTGTGCACTGACTTGCCAGGTCCCATTCTGTAGGGAATCCAAAATACATCTCTACATACTGAAGGACTATTTGACACACATTTCTCTGAATTTAAATACCTTGAAGAATAAATAAAAAGAAAAGTTGAATAATTCTGGTTTAGTGATACATGCTGAATGAACTGTTTTCTTTAACTTTAAATTCCGTAAAAGTGTATACACAATTTTATGATTCTGTTGACCTGATTTACCAGTTTTATATTCTGTTACAGTTTAAAATAACAAATTAGCTAGCTCGACATGACAAAATTTATTGTGTTCCTTTTATATTCCAAAGTCAAAATATTTTCTCCTATTTCATCATGGACTCATGGTTATTGCTCTTCAGTTCTAAGACAGTTTAATCTGTTTCAAAAATTAGAATTACTGACAAAATTTATCTTTGGTCACACTGATCAGTGCTTTATTCAGGGTGTAACACTGATTAACTGAATACAAAGTAAGAAATCAATAATCTTTGAACAATTTGTATGAATTTCAATTAGACATCATTACAACTATGCAATTTGTCAGCATTGAAAAATTACAGCAACTTGCATCTCCAGTAAAAATTTAAAATAAGCGTGCCCATATAACCATGAAATGATTTTTATGCCCCCGGATCAAAATATCCCGGGGGTATATTGTTTTTGTCCTGTCTGTCTGTTTGTCTGTCTGTTGTCAACTTTAACCTTGCCCATAACTTTTGATTGGTTGGAGCTATGACTTTCATATTTCACATGTGTATTCCTTGTGTCAAGACCTTTCTTTAGGTACATGTACCATCATATTTGACCTTGACGTTGAAGTATGACCCACTTTTGCAAAATTTTATGAGACTTTAACCTTGGCCTTAACTTCTAAACAGTTGGTGTTTGAGGTTTCAAACTTCACATGTGTATTCTTTGTGACAAGGCCTTCCTTTGGATACCAACAACTTTGACCTTTTGACTTTGACCTACTTTTGAAAAACTTTAACCTTGGCCATAACTTTTGAACGGTTGGTGCTAGGGCTTTCATACTTCAAGACAAGACCTTCCTTTGGATACCAAGCACTTTGACTTTGACCTTGACGTTTTACTTACTTTTAAAAAACTTTAACCTTCACCATAACTTTTGAACAGTTTCAGCTAGGTCTTTCAAATTTCACAGGTATATTCCTCGAGACAAGACCAACATTTTTTATCTTTTGGCCTGGATTTTGACTTGCATTTGAGAAACTTTAACCTTCGCCATAAGCTGCCATATGGGGACATCAGTGTTTCACAAACACATCTTGTTAGAATATATTTCTAGATACTGAACAATGTCAGTTTTTATGTCCCCGTATTGAAAATTCAGGGATATATAGTTTTTGCCATGTCTGTCGTTTGTCTGTTTGTCCGCAAAAACTTTAACATTGTTCATAACTTTTGATTGGTTGGAACTATGGCCTTCATATTTCACATGTGTATTTCTTGTGACAAGATCTTTCTTTGGGTACCATCATATTTGACCTTTTGACCTTGGAGATTGACCCAGTTTTACAAACTTTTACAAAACTTTAACCTTAGCCATAACTTTTGAACAGTTGGTGCTAGGGCTTTCATACTTCATATGTGTAATCCTTGTGACAATTAAGACCTTCCTTTGGATACCAATAACTTTGACCCTTTGACCTTGACCTAGGAGTTTGACCTACTTTTGAAAAACTTTAACCTTGGCCATAACTTTTGAACGGTTGGTGCTAGGGCTTTCATACTTCACATGTGTAATTCTTGTGACAAGACCTTCCTTTGGATACCACCAACTTTGATCTTTGACCTTGACCTAGGATTTTGATCTATTTTGAAAAACTTTAACCTTGCCCATAACTTTTGAATGGTTGGTGCTAGGGCTTTCATACTTCACATGTGTATTTCTTGTGAGAAGGACTTTCCTTTGGCACCATTAATTTTGACCATTTGACCTTGATGTTAGACTTGCTTTTGAAAAACTTTAACCTTTTCCAAATCTTTTCAATGGTTCCTGCTAGGGCTTTCATATTGCACAGGTATATTCCTTGAGACAAAACCTTACTTTGGGTTCCAAAATATTTCACATGCATTTGAGAAAGTTTAACCTTCGCTATAAGTTGCCATACAGGGGCATCAGTGTTTCACAAACACATCTTGTGATCTTACTTGTTAGTCATGTTATACCATAACTCAGAATTCTACAGGCCTAGCACAATAAAAATTTTGCTTTCTTTACTGAAATATGCAAGAATTGAAATGAATTCTTATAAAGAAAGAAAGAAGATATTGGATGCTTGGGTATTTTTTTCTCACTGCCAAATACAGGTTATCAAAGGTTTACAAAGCTTGCCCCAATGAATATTATCTGTCAGTTATGCAAAATCTCACATCAAATGATAGTGGTGTACCAATAATCAGAAAACATTGATTGTTGACGAAAAAATGCTACCGATTCCGATGATCGATTATAATTTTTCATAATCGATCATCGGAAACATACTTCTAATTCAATACTTTCTGGAATTATCCATTTCTGATATTAAATTTATTTCTTCTTAATGAAAGAAAATGGTGTCTGCATCTGATACGAGCCAACTAGCACGAAGCAGAGGTGATTAAGAACCGAAAGATGCATATATAGAAAGTGTAAAAGAAGCAAAACAAGAAAGAAAATAATATATTATATATTCTATATATTTATGTTAAAAAAGTAATAAGAAATAATTGTAATAATCTGCTTTTTATATACAAAACTATGAATTCCGATTATAGGTAAAATTGCATTGGAAGCAGTAACCGATTCCAACTGATGATTGATTATGAAAATTAACCGATGTCCCATCACTACCAAATGAATCCTCTGGTAGTTGGCATCCCTAGAAAGGCCTAGATGAAACATCCATGCATGTTTGCTTAGGTGAAGACCTAAAATTACTTGGGTATGAACTTGCTTTAAAATTAAATTACCCAAAAATATGGTATTAAGATTTTCGTCATAAGCAGGTCTGGTTGAGTGCATCCAAAGATGCATCATCTCTACAAGTTTGGTCCAGGTAGAGGTGGTGATATGTCTCCTTCATTGATATGATGTGCATTGTACAATTATAGTTATTTTCTATACATTTTGATTTTGACAAAAAGTATCACTGACAATGAATCCATACCGGTGAACCAGTTCACTCCTGCGAGGACGTGCTCCACTAACTTAAACCTATTCAATCATCCAGAAATAATCTAATTTTGGTTGTAACACATCATTTGATTTGATCAAAAATTAGTTAATATTCCCTTTGATTGAAAGATTGTGTGTCTGTGATTTATGTTAATAGTAGCTTTACAAGAAGTTTAATTTACCAACTGGTTATGATATCAGGTAATTATAATTTATGTAAAATGTGTCTAAGGCCAAATAAAAAAATATGTGTGGTTCCGGTTACCCGACCGTCCCTATTTTATACCCCCGACCCTAAACTTTTTTTTGGCAATTTTCATATTTTTTCCGGAATTTTCCCCAATTTCCATCATTGGTTCTGGTTTAAGTTTTAGTTTCAGCAATGATGGCCCCCTTGCACAACATAGTGCAAGTGTTTATTAGTGTTAAATCCAAAGCAAGCTAGCATGTAGGTGTCCCCTACCAATATTGACTAGTATATTATCACACCACATCTAAATGTCATTTGCAAAGTAGTGATAAGTATTATTTAGAAAAATTAAGAAAATCATTTTGTTAAAAAAAAAAAAAAAAAAATCCCTACCTACCTACCCTAATTTTTTTGGAGGTGTAACCGGAACCACACATATTTTTTTGTTTGGCCTAACATTGCTTAGGGCAGGGAGGGGTTCTACTTATCTTCATATTAAATAATTATTGATTTTTAAAAGAATTTTTTTTTAAATTTCAAATTGTGTTTTAATTTGTTGAAGTTGATAGAGAAGAAAACTCTTTTTGAAGTAGTGATTACATGTTACAATCCATGAGGTTGATATTTAAAAAAAAAAAAGATACACATTTATTTTCATTACAAAATGCTGTGATTTTTGAGCTTTCATTAAAAATTTGTTGTTATGCGCTATCTCCCCCAAGGAGATTTTCAAAAGATGGCACGTGTGCTCATCAGTTGAGCACCACAAAAAACGGGTATACGCACCAGCCTTTAATATGAGCCTCATGGCTCGGAGAAGGATTTATACTTTCTAACTTTAAAATGGCCCATCTTTAAAACTGAACAAAAATGGAAAATAACATCAGATGTTGGAATATAGGTATGATAAGCTAGCTGTCACTAATGATTAGGCTATCCATTCGTCAGGTGCCTGAGCAAAACACATAAAAGGTATGTGCAAATCATTTTTCAGTCCAACATCATTTGAATTATAAAATTATGCAACAGCGGACCTATTCCATTCTGTCACACTGCATTTATATGAGACAAATTCTGTGGTGAAACTAGAAAGGCTGTCCCAAGGAATATATATTTAAACTAGTAAAAACTGGTCAAAATTGCCAAATTTATTACTTCAAACGGTAGTGTAACGTGAATCAAAATATAACTTATCATTAGTCTGGCATTACACTATAAAAAATCAATAATAAGCTATAATATAATTTTTGCTTTTAAATGTAACCTTTGCATGACCCGGTGTTTGTGGAACTTGTAAGGTGGACAGAGCCTGAGTCAGGTCATTGATGTCAATTCTTCCGTCTTTGTTTACATCCAGATTGTCAAATAATTCCCTCAGTTTTTTCTCCTCTTCCTTCGAAATGTCCAGTATTCCTTCAGTGGCCATCGTGGCTATTTCAATCACTGTCGTTTACTTTTTTTCATCCATTCCCTCTTTCCTCGTGGCAGACGAGCACTGAATGATACAAGCAATTCGATTGGATTAAAAAAATGGTGTAAAGAGAGTTGAAGCGGAGATCCAGGGGTCATATCAAAATTTGAAAATTATTAAATTTGTCTTGGAATTTTTGTTGACAAGCAATAAGCAATAAAAAAAAAACTTAAATAATTTAACATACTTACACGAAACTTGAAACCCAACCACCCCCCTTTTTTTAATACTTATGCACGTGGCTACCCGGCCTCACCCCCTTTTTTTAATGAGAAAATACTTATCTGGGGAAAATACTAAATTTAAGCATTTATAGTTCTTATTTTTGGATGTTGTCAGTCATATAACCATGATAAGAGCACCTTTCCGTGCCTACAAATTAGTATAATACAGTTGCTGATCCAGGGTTCTTAAAAAGGGGGCCAATTAACCAGTTGGGGTTGGAGTGGGGGTGGGGGGGGGGGGTGGACAGAGGGCAAAGCCCCCGTAAGCTCTCAGGTTGAAGGGTTTTTTAAACAGTTTTTTGACTTATTTTAGCTATATTTTAGGTTTAGTTAATGCACTATCTCACAATAATTTTTTTCTTTATTATATATAATCAAATAATCGATAGATGGATTTTTTATTTCCAGTTGGGAAGCTGAGTCCAAATCAAGACCCTTTCAGTCATCACAAATAACAAGCATGATTGATACAATTACAACAAGCACAGACAAAATAATGAAATTATTTTTAGGGACTCATTTACGTCCCTAATATTTTTTTAATTTAATTTAAAAAGTCATCTTTGCTAACCCTGCATGGGAGATGAGCGGATTCGAATCGAATACTTAGTGAGCGCAGATGATATACATGTATGAAGCTACATGTGCATACGTTCATGGTTTGATTTCAGTTTGTGTGGTAAATTTGATATCTCTGTGTCCCTTTTGTCCTTCTGTTTATGTTTCAGATTTGATAAAACCATCCTCAAACAATCACTAACCATGACTACTGGTCGTAAGATGAGAGGTGGTAGCTAGAATTAAACAGGGGAGAAGGAGTGGGGGTGATATAATGGGAAGGATGATAAGAGCTAAGGAAAAGAGGAAGAAGGGGAAACGGGAGGGAGAACAGTGAAGGGGGGGGGCGTGGGTGGGATGCCGGGTTAAATTGAAAAAAAAAGGGTATCTTATGTCCCCCAACATTTTTGCATGGATATTTAAAGCGTAGATTTATATAATTAATGTTCAATTTGTCAAAGTATCGCACATCCAAAGCATAAAATGCTTATACTAGATATTGGCTTTCATATTCTTACCTGTCGAGAACTGCACGCGTTTTTATAATCAAATTTATAACGGTTTATTATCCTCAAAATATGTCAGCACACCTATAACCTTAAAGTTACAAACGCCAGTGTGAGAACTCTATGGTTTTCCAAAGAACATAACTTTTGAATTGAACTGCCCCAGGATTCAGCAGTAATTATAAATGGACAGGTGTCCTTGCTTATTGTTGAAATTTAAATGAACTGGGTGCTTTAACTGTCTTCAAATAATTGTTAGATCTTGTATTTTGATTACTACCCATATATTGAAAGAAAGAAAAATGTAAAACAGTGAATTTATCACATCATACCCCAATGTTTGGCAATATAAAGAAGAGAAATATGACTTTTTCCCTATTGGCTCTTTGGTTGACCCCTCAAAGGGAAACAACTTTTGCAAAGCATAATAGTACACATTTTGAGATTGACCCTTTTCTGCGGGAGATCACTCTAATTTGTGAATCAGGAAATAATGGACTGACTGGGCGTGGTGACTCGTGGGTGACGGCTTATCATATTCGAGGAGCACAATAGTGGCCCTCTGACAAAACGACAAAATATTCCTCGCTTTGTCAGGTATGTGATGCGTGTACAGCCACATGGTCATGACATTTTTTAAATACCTTGCATGTTTTGGTACCGCAGGAATGTGAGCCGGTGTTTAAAAAATAGTTGCATTTTGATGCAACTAGGACGTAATCAGAGTTATAACTGTATTTTAATAGAGGAATAAGCTCTATAAAAACTTTAGTCAATTGTAAGTATGCATATATTTTCCGTATGATTTTTCACATTACGTTTATAAGAACCAGCAGTGATAATTTAGTATCTTTTGAGTATGTATAGACAAATACTTGGTATATGTTCTAGTATATTTGTAACATTGAACTGTATTTACATAGGACCCTGATAGTTATAAATAGTCAAACATTTTATAGACTTTTATTTTATACTTTATAAGAAATGACATATCATTTCTTCTCTTGTTAGAGAAATCAATTAAACACTTTTAAACGAGGATACATATGTACTTTACTGCCCTTAAAAATCATATCTGTGTACATCATAGGGTTAATATGTCATCAAGGAACAGAAGCTATACTATAGGCTAGCTAGTTCTAGGTTGTGAAGTATGTCTTATTGTTTATTTCATAGAGCCCCAAATTTTTTAGAACTTTGATTGCAACATCTCTAGAGTACTCTGAAGGTTAGACACTTAACCTGTCTCTAGGAATTGAAATAGCAGGGGACATTAAAAAAGTAGAACAATTAAGGTTTTGGGTTCCTCCCCAAACAGGGGGTCGCTCCCCTAACAGGGGGTTTTGGGTTCCTCCTAACAGGGGGTTCCTCCCCTAACAAACAGGAGGTTGATGGGGGATACCAGAATAACCAGGGGATTACATCATTATAGATGGGAAAATTCCCTGGCCCCGGGGTCATAAGGACAACCCTGTGAAAAGCAACTCTTTTTCATGTATTGTTTTCCAAATAGTTCAAAGTTGAAAAATTGTTACATCACCAAACATAGCAGTCAAAATCCCTCCCTGTACTTGATACTAGAACAGTTTAATGTGCCACTTCCTGAGTTCACAGTGAACAGATTTGTCAGTAAATTCATACATTCATCTATTTTTAGAACAAGATAGACATTTTGTAAACTTGAGATCAGGAAATCAAACTTACCCTTTGTTAAATGTCTGACTGTTGCTGGTAGTTTGGATGTTCATTAATTGAATTGTTTACTAGATATAAAGTAGTGTATTGATTTCCGGTAGTGTATGTAAGATCAAGTTATTAATTATCAACCTTATAGGTTGCAAATGCATGGAATATTAAGTTTGTTGCATTACTTTTCTGATTGAGTCATTAATTACTCTATCAGTTTCAAAACAAACTATTTTTACTTAAATTTATGCTCTATAGGCCTAAACAGTTTATATAATGAGTAAGCCTATATTAATATGTAACATTGTTACTAAAATTAATATATATGTCGTTAACAGTATTTATACTGTTGTAAGATTGTCAGGTTTTATGAATTATTTTTTTGATCATTTCAGTTCTGTAATTCATTATGAGTACCGCAGCGGAATTTGTAGATGGTGGCAACTTTGTGGAAGCCATTCATTCTGTGCGAGATGACAACACTGATGATAAGTATGTCTTGGTCCAACATGTTGATGGAAATCCCAATAAATTGACCGTTCTTCAGACAGGTCAAGACCCAGCCGAGTTAGTTGAATGTTTAGATGACAGTCAGGCTATGTATGCTCTAGCTAGATATGAGTCAACGTTTGATATGTCCAACACTATCAAATTTGTCTACTTCAGATGGTATGTGTTCTTGAATTCATATGACGTTTATATATGCATTGCATACTTTCAAAATTTATGATCAACCACAAAGGAAAAGAAATTGACATTATATTAATAAACTCTTGTCAGCTACAGATCTTTATTTGACCATATAGGCAATTTGATTCATAGCATCATTCCCTTGT